GGACATGGTCAGATTCATGTGGTATCTGACTTCTGGCCTGGAAATCTGTTGCCTACCACCTCCCCCCAATATGTCTTGGTCCTGCCTTCTAGCTAGAGAAAGGGTGGGGGATGGCTGTCCAGGCAGGCCTGTCCCCTGAGTGAGAGCAGATGGCCACAGAACCTGGTGATGGCGGTGGTTCATCCACGGTGTAGAACCCAGTGAGCTTAACTGGTAACCCAGAGTTCATGGGGAGGATTGGTCTCCGCTCACCCCCATTTAAAAACCCTGAGTCTGACTACAGTTCTAGAAAGCTGTGGAGCTAAGAAGGGCCCTGTGGCTGAGGTGTCTCCTGTCATTCCCTATCCTGGCAGATTAAGGCTGACTTGGTGACCGGCTGGTTATTGCTGGAGCACCAGCTCTGAAGGGCCATTGGGCTGGTCTCATGGTCTGAAACCAGCATCGGATCGCTTCTTCCCAAGGACAGAAAATTCCGACAGCTGTTCACCCTGTTGTCAGGGTGCTTTATCTGTGAATTGCCAGCCCCACTTCCACGTGGCTCTGATGAGAAGGATGAGGCGTGACGTGGAGGTGACAGGGACAAGGCACGGAGAGGGCTTTGGGTATTTTTCCAGTTTTGATTTTTCTCTGCGTTTTGGTTTTTCTTGGCGTTCAGGATTTCCTTTATTTCGGGAGGCAAAAGAGGGTCTAGAATTTGAATCTTGTCTTTGGAAATCAGACTTTGGCTAGGCGAGCAATCCTCCGTCATGGGATGGAGAGCTGAGGCCCTGGGTGGACAGGAAGTGTGTCTGGGTGGTCCCTGCGGCTCAAGGATGAAGAAGGATCAGAGTGCCAGGACTCGGCCCCAGGAGTTAACAGCCGCGTGGAAAGACAGGAGACTACTGCAAAACTCTGAGCAGGGGAAATTTGATGTCACACATGCCAAATGCACAAGCACATGAGGAGTGAGGTCCCACAGTTAACCAGGGGGTTGCTGGGGAGGATCAGTGGAGTCGAGCATCTCTGGCGGGCTTGAAGGCCCTGTCCTTGGGAATGGATCTCCGGACACTGCCTGGAGTTTTACAAATGAGCTTATCCCACAGGGCATGATTTGCCCAAAGTCACAAAGCAAGTTAATGACAGAATTAGAGATAGAAGCCAACCCCCATCTGTTTCCTCAAGCACTTTGTACTCCAAATCGAAAAATCCACGTGGAACAGGAAAGTTTGGTGAGCAGAGCTAACATGGCTTCTGTTGCACATGGAGATCTGGAGCACCCGAGAAAAGGCTTTTGGCTGTGGTCTCATTCGTGGAGAAAAGGAGAGAAGAATCCGTGTTTTCTGACACTCAGAATCAATGCGGTTGTCTGAATGGCCTCAGAATTTCTGTGCACTTGATGGACAACAAAAGGCAAAGCTATTTAATCTTGTGAATTTAATTTTCAGAATTTTTTTAAAAAAGATAAACAACTGGATTAGGAATATAAAAAGTGAGACCTCAGATATCTGCAAGCAGAAAAGCAGAAGAAATGCTAAGCAAATGCAGGAATGTCTCCACTGTCTAGGAGAAAGATAACCAAGGTTTTATTTTGTGTAGCCATTCCTCACTCAAAACCACAGTGCCATTTTTAAATTTGAGTCATCAGAATTTGTCTTTGAGGTCCTACTGTATCCTAGGATTGTGTGGAGTTTTGCAAAAAGGGTCAAAGAAATTATTATCTCACATGACAATGGCTGATAACTGCCGAAAAGACTACAGTAATGGAGAGTACATAGCAGAGAAGGCACTCTGGGCCTTCTCAGTATGCAGGCGTGGGCTGCACAGGATTTAGAAAACAGGGCAGGAAGGAGGGTGAATTAGTCCATTTTCTGTTGCTATAACATAATACTTGAGACTGGGTACTTTATAAAGAGAAGAGGTTTATTTTGCTCACAGAAAGTCCAAGATTGGTCAACTGCATCCGCTTGGCCTCTGGTGAGAGTCCCCCTGATGGTGTTACATAATCATGGCTTGCATCAGGACAAGAGGATGTGAACACAGGGTGAGAAGGAAGAGTGATTCAGGGGCTAGGCTTGCTCTTTTTATAACCACTTGCTCTATCAAGAGCCAACTCACAGCCAGGAATGGTGGCATATGTCTGTATTCCCAGCGACCTGGGAGGCCCAGGCAGGAAGATTGCAAGTTCAAAGCCAGCTTAGCAATTTAGCAAGACCCTGTCTCAAAATAAAAATAAATAAATAAATAAATAAAAGAGGGCTGGGGACATAGCTTGGTGGTAGAGTGCCCCTGGGTTAAGTCCCCAGTATAAAAAAAGAGAGAGAGAAAATAAATAAATAAATAGATAAATAAATGAAAACCTTCCAGGAGTGCGGCATTGATCCCTCAGGAAGGCACTGCCAGGGACCTAATTGCCTCATGACCCCTCCTTTTACGGGCGCTCAGCTTGTCTGTTCAGAGCTGACTTGCCCAGGAATCAAAGAGCGGCTTCTCCATCCTCCTCAGGGGAAGACTTGGCAACAGGGCGGGTGTGACAGGCCGTCATTCACTTGCCATCAGCAGCGTCTGATGTCACCGGGGCTGAGAACTGGTGAACATGTGCCCCAAGTGCTGCCGCCCCAGGATTCGCCAGCTTTGGAGTCCTTTCCTTCCCGCGCTGCCACAAGTCACATCTTAATTAAAACCAGGAAACATTAAAATAATAACAATAAGTAGACAAGTGGATTGTAGGAAAGAAGAAGAAAGGATGCCCTTTCTGCCTAACAGTTTTGAAAATCTTCTAGATTGAATTTCTCACTCCTTTTTCCATTTGGGAAACCAGTGAAACGGAAAGATTTTATAGAGGATTGGATTAAAAAAAAAAAAGTGCAGGTTTTACCTTTGCTCATAAAACAGAATGTGTGCCTGTCTCTTTTTCTGCTTCTCTAAGGACTGACTTAGGAGGAAGTGTGATCCAAAAAAAGGCTTAAATTTAAAGCACGAAAACAGGGCAGTTTCCACTTGTCCACGGGCTTCGCCTCTCGTTTTCAGATCCACAGTTAACAGAGCAGATGGCAGTTGCAGATAACCGGTGCTTCCTCCCGTGCCTGTGTGTTCCCATGAACTCTGAACTGAACAAGGTTTCGTCACACTCTGCTGACCTCGTGGCCCCTTGCAGGCTGTGGGTTCTCCCTCCACCTTTACTGTTTGTTCAGAAGGCCCCTGCCCAGGAGGGCGTGTCCCCGGGAGCGTTGCAGAAGAGGTCATTGCCGCAGAGCCACAGCAGCGCCCCAGTGTGTGCGCACAGGCACTGGGGGCACAGCAGATCTGTGCTTTTCTGTGACTCCAGAGGTCCGCAGTCATATCTCCCTATCGCGACTTTCACCTGAGAGTAAGAAGACAGCGGTTTCCTAGTGTACGTGGGCTGAGCAGAATCCCCCAGGTTCTGCCATATGTCAAAGTGATCCACAAAACGGTTTTCCTCATCCCTCTATATGAGTGGTCTCCCCCTATGTACCCAACATCATATTGCCCTATTTATGTTCTTACTTTCTTTCTTATTTGTAATGGTTTTTCTGTTTTCTTTCTGACACTTTTCATAGTCTGAAGTTGTCTTGTGTGTGTATGGATATAACATAATGTCTTGTATAATATTTTCTGTATACTTATTTATTGCTCTCGTTCCCTCTCTAGAATGTTAGACTCCTGGGTGCAAAACTTTGTTTCCAGCACATAGCACATGCTCATTGTTGGCTGATTTAAAAAAATATGTATATATATATGTATGTATGTATATATATATGCACATACATATATGTATATATATACGTATATATATGTGTGTGTATATATAATGAAACCAGGTACAGTGTTGCACACCTGAAATTGTAGAGACTCTGGAGGCAGAGGCAGGAGGATCACGTTTGAGGCTCGCCTCAGCAACTTAGCAAGGCCCTGCCTCAAAAATATAAAAGAACAAAGGACTAGGGATGTGATCAGTTGGTTGTAACTTCATTTAGATCAGTTATAGTAAGTTATTAGAAGAGCCCTAAATAACAGTTTAATATCTGAATAATCTAACAATTTTCCTGGAAAATAAAGATTTAAAAGTAATATTTATCATTTTATTTTCAAATATCCCTGACCCTGAAATCACATTTCTTTCTCCATTCATGATTCTGTCCTCCAGGACATTTTTTAGAACGCCTTCTCAGTGCTGGCCTCTAGGGACAAAACTAACATGCTCCTCCTGTGGTCGGGGCTCATCCTCCACAGAGCGCTCACGAGGGACAGGCCAGGCCATTGGGTGCTGGGTGCTGGGTGCTGGTCAATTCCGGCCACAGCGGAGACATGAGTTGGGGCTTTAAGGGAGAGCTCCTGAGTGGCAGCTGAAGTCAGCATGGCCAATTGGTGGAGGTGCCCAGTGTGGGTGAGCAGGGGCTGGGGCCGGGTGGGAGGAGCAGCAGGGGAAATGCCCAAGGAGAGGGGCGGAGCGGCTGGGAGAAACCCACAGAGGTTGGTGGGAAATGCCCTGGGCTTGGAGGTGTCTGGGGAAAGTCCCTGGAGGGTTTTAAGCAGGAAAGACATGATAGGAGTTTTAGGGTGGGTGGGTTTTGATGTACTTGGAATTGAGGACCAGCCAGCCTTCCCACAAATTGCTTATCCATTTTCCTGTTTTCTGCCAGTACTGAGAAGTGAACCAGGTGCTCTGCCACTCGGCCGCATCCCAGATCTTCTTATGTTTTGAGACAGGTTCTCACTAAGCTGCTGAAGCTGGCCTCAAACCTGCAATGCTCCTACCTCAGCCTCCCGAGGGCTGGAATTATAAGCATGAACCACCATGTCCCTTAGCACTTTGCCACTTTTCAAGTTGCAGTGAACAGAGGGAGCCCCGGGCAACGCCATTCCCTCCCAGCGCACAGTGTGTCCTGTAGCACAGCGAGCTGGCTAAGTAACACTCCCAAGGAAGCCATCAGGGACGCTCCCTCTCCAGCGCACCATTTCTTTTTCCAATATCTTTTCTCCACCTCTTTTTCCCATCTTAGAACAACAAGGTCACGCTCTTCCGCCAGCTGCAGCAGATGACCTACAGCCTGATTGAGTGGCGCTCCCAGATCCTGTCTGGGACACTCCCCAAGGACGAACTGGCAGAGCTCAAGAAGAAGGTCACAGCCAAAATTGATCATGGCAACAGGTAAACTGAGGGTGCCCTTCACTGGAAACCTGGAAAATGACCACACCTTCATGCTGAGGATACTCACTGTTCCCAAAGAACATCTTTAAAAAAATTTTTTTGAATTTTAATTGGCACAATAATTGTACATAGGTGTGGGGAACAGTGTGGTATTTCAACATGTGGATACAATTTTGTGATGGTTTGATCAGCATAATTGGCACATCCACTCTTTATTTGGGGGGGGCGGGTACCAGGAATTGAATCCAGAGCCACTTAATCACTGGGCCCCATCCCCAGCCTTTTTTATTCTTTATTTTGGGACAGGATCTCTCTAAGTTGTTTAGGGTCTCGCTAAGTTGATGAGGCTAGCTTTGAACCTGTGATGTTCCTGCCTCAGCCTCCAGAGCCTCTGGGATTACAGGCATGCACCTCCACGCCCAGCCATGTCCACCACCTTAAACAGTGATCATTTCTTTTTTGGGGGGACATTCAGAGTTCTCTAGTGGCTATTTGGAATATACCTACCGTTCATTGCTGCCAGCCATGGTCACCCTGCAGTGCTGTAAAGCACTACGTGCTTCTCCTCCTATCTGACTGCCCCCCTGTGCCTCCCCTCACCCCCACTCCCACCCTCCCCAGCCTCACAACAAACTTTTGATCTATGAGTGACCAGAGAATGACGCTTTCTGCTCTCTTGGTGTCTTAGAAAACAGTTAGTTTCATTGAACATTTTTCACGGTCGCCTTGCGGTCCAGACACCGTGTTGGCCCTGCCTTCATGGTGCTAACACCTAAATAGAAAGCTCGGAGCTTGGGATGAGGCTGCTCCGCTGCCCCAGAAGCTGAAAGGGACTGAGCACTGGAGCTGGCCCTCGGAGAGGCCTGTGACCGTGTCTGCGTTTTGCTCCAGCAGTGGATGCTAGCTCGCTGTCAGGCTCCTTCTGTTCCTTTACTTCTTCCCCTGGTTGGGACCCTGGCTTACAGTGATTGAAAACTGGCATCTCCAGAGCACCGAGAGGTGTTTCCAGCCAGCGATTATGTCTGCAGTCTGAAGTGCCCATCACTTTATTGATCTTCCGATTAGTTCAGGGAGTAGGTCCCAGCTGTCACTGCCTTTTGGGAAATGAGAAGTTCAGTCAGTTTATCCCAGTGGGTAGAGGCCTGGCATTCACGCCTCCCAGATGGCCCCTTCCCAAAGGTGGCAGTGGGTCTCTAGTTAGCTTTTGTTGGGATCCGAATGGCATCGCATTCCGTTTTCCGAGTTTCTTCAACTTGTGAATACGTGATTTTCTTTTCTCAATACCTTTAATTCATTTCTCTAGCCTCGGGACTCTTTTTTTGGAGGGATACTGGGGATTGAATGCAGGGGCCCTCAACCACTGAGCCACATGCCCAAACCTATTTTGTATTTCATTTAGAGACAGAGTCTCACTGAGTTGCTTAGCACCTCACTTTTCCTGAGGCTGGCTTTGAACTCGTGATCCTCCTATCTTAGCCTCCTAAGCCACTGGGATTATAGGCCTCATAGACCTACTAAAATACAGCTTATTACCCTGCCCATTTGTCAGCTGTATTCAGAAATAGCTGAAGTCAACATAACATGCACATCCAGTCAGTATTTAGGAAGCACCTCCTTCGTACCCATTATATCTTAAGCCCTTATGAAGTCATGGCTCTTATTCCCATTTTATGGGTAAAGAAGCAGACCGTGAACTGGGTATGCTGGTGCATGCCTGTAATACCAGTGACTTGGGAGACTGAGGCAGGAGGATCGCATGTTTGAGGCCAGCCATGGCAATTTTTCAAGGCCCTGTTTCAAAATAAAAAATAAAAAGGGCTGGGGATATGGGTGAGTGGTAAGATACCCCTGGGTTCAATCCCCAGTACCAAAAAATAAAAAAAGCAAAGAGACCCTGTGAGCATAAGTGGTTCTTTCAAAATCACACAGATAGTAGATGGGAGAGCTTCATTTGAACCCAACCCTCCTGACTCCCTGTCCCATGGTCCTGCTGATACTTGGGTTAGTTGGTTGCTCTCTCTGTCATTTAGTGTCAGAGGACTTTATAGAAAGCCAGCCAAGCTGGGAAAAGACATCTGTTTTAGTCAGCTTTTTCACTGCTGTGGAAAAAGGACCCAAACAGAACAACTATAGAGGAGGAAAAGTTTATTTGAGGACTCACAGTTTCAGAGGTCTCAGTCCATAGACAGCAGGCTCCATTCCTTGGGCTCAAGGTGAGGCTGAACTTCACGGTGGAAGAGTGTGGCAGAATGAAGCAGCGCACGTGAGGATCAGAGAGCTGAGCGACAAACTCCACTCAACAAATAAAAAATAGATACCCCAAAGGCACATCCCCAATGGCCACCTCCTCTGGCCACACCTTACCCTCCTTCAGTGACCACTCGGTTAATCCCTTCCAGGGATTAACTCACTGATTGGGTTAAGATTCTCACAACCCAGTCATTTCTCCTCTGAACCTTCCTGCCCTGTCTCACACGTGAGCTTTAGGGGACCCCTCACATCCACACCACCGTGGTGTCTCTCCATGCACATGTGCAGCCTCTGTCTCGGCTCTTGCCCCAGTGCCTTGGCCTGGAGTCCCCTCAGTCTCTGGCCTAGGATGTCAATGCCCCGCAGGTGGTGGCACACGCCTGCTTTCCCATCCCAGCCCTTGAAGGCAGCTCGGGAAATGAAGCTGATCTGACAGTTGCACCCGGGACCCAGTGTGAGCAGCCAGCAAGGCCCTCCTTCATGAGTCTGGGTGGCCCATGGGTCTGGCTGTGGTTGAAAGGAACCTGCCAGATCGGATCAGTGGACTGAGGTGCTGTGAAATAGCGAGGGGGCATTCAGGCATGTTCACTTTCTTCCCAGAGACTTGGCACTTCAGTGTTTTCCTGAGTGTTCTTGATGTTTAGACATCCCCGCTCCCAAGTTTCTGGGGCCTGGCATGCACATGGGGCGTTCCAATAGCAGTATTCTGTTACTGCCAGACTCCAGCTTCTTGGAAGAAGCAAAATTATTTCTACTTTTGTGTGCCTATTGGGCACCAAGGCTTGGCAGGGGCGATTCTATGGCCCTGGTCTTCCCATGCAGCAGCCAGAGCTGCAACTTAATACAGCCAGGTCTTCCCCTGCCAGCTGCTGCGATAGGGCTGACATTTATGGGGTGCCGTGTGAGAGATTGTATTCGGTACTTTACATGCATCGTCTCATGGACTTCTCCGAGAACTTGGAAGGGTTGGAAACATTTATAGATGAAGCAACCCAGGCTTTGCAAGATTCAGGGGTCACAGTGGTAGCAAGTATTAAACCGATGCTTCAGACCCTAGACTAAATGACTCCAGAGCTGTGTTCTTTGGATGGTTGTGAGACCGACAACCAGGGCTTTCTTTATGGACCTCCTGTGAAACTGTCTTGAATTCAGTAAGGAAATCAGGGCAGGCCCTCAGATAATTGTGCCTTGGTCTTTCCTAGTCGCTGTGCCAAATCACAGAAGGCCAGGGCAGAGAGGCTCTGGGGAGAGGACTGAGAGTCCTCTCGGTTCTTTTATGAGGGCTCTTCCACGGACAGTCTGCCCTGGCGGGAGAGTAACTGCCTGGCTGCTCTCTCCTCTCCAGAATGCTTGGGTTAGATCTGGTGGTGCGAGATGACAACGGAAACATCTTGGATCCAGATGAAACCAGCACCGTTGCCCTCTTCAAGGCCCATGAAGTGGCCTCAAAAAGGATCGAGGAAAAGATCCAAGAAGAAAAGGTACACATTTCCTCCAGTGTGAAGATTTTGGCTGCTGGGATTCCATTTTTGCTTTGGTTGTTGAACGAGAGGAAGGAAGTCATTGACAGCAGAAGTAGACACGTCTAGGCAATCATTTGCCTTCTCATTATAAAGGAGAAACGGCAGAAAGAACGGCCCACTCTATATGTTCTGTTAAGGAAAGATTGCAGAGCTGTGTATATTTTAAGTGGAAAAAGCAAGGTGCAGGATAGTGTATACAACATGCTGTCATTTCTGTTTCAAAAAAGAATATACAGGGGAAAAAAAAGACACGCTTATGTGTGCAGAGAGCAACCCTGAAATGATAGACAAGAAATTGATCATGAAAGGATGCCTCTGGATAATGAGGTTGCAGGGAGACTTTATTGTGTAACCTTTCTGTGTTTGGTGCATACGTTCCTATTTTTTTTTTTAAACTTTTTTTTAGTTGTCAATGGACTTTTATTTTATTTTATGTGGTGCTGAGAATTGAACCCAGAGCCTCATGCATACTAGGCAAGCGCTCTACCACTGAGCCACAACCCCAGCTCCCTATTTTTGAAAGTAAAAAATAACATTGAAAAATGAAGTGGAAGATTTTGAAAGTAATAACTGAACATTAAAGAAAAATTACCTGTAGAAAAACAGATGAGAAAAAGAGTCACCCACATCGTTGCTACCCCAATCTAATCTTATTGGCATTTTGGTGTATTTTCCAGTTTTTCTGTTTTAATGAGTACAGATTTGTCTTGATTTTCTTTAGTTTATAGCTTTTATTTCTTTACCGCGTCATGATGATAGTTAACTGTATTTCTGCATCCAGTGGCATCCACACCCAGGGTGAAGTCTCTCTCTTGTCAGCATTTTGGCTGCTGTGACTAAAGGATCTGAGTAGCACAAGCGTAGAGGAGAAAACCTTTATTTGAGGGCTCACAGTTTCAGAGGTCTTAGTCCCTAGAAGGTAGGCTCCATTTTTTTGTTTCAAAATGAGAGTGATTTCCATAAACAGGGTTAACAGATCAGGGTTTTTTTTTTTTTTCCCCTGTTTTTGAGCTTTATCCAGCAGTCTTGATGAAGAGGTAAGACCTTCCTGAATCCACTAAAACCAGGAATCATCGCCTGCAGGCAGAGTTTATTAAATTGCTTGTGTTCAAGGCTCTGATCGGGACGCTGGATCATCCAGTGATGCTTATTCCTTGCTCCTCTGTGGGTTGGGTCACTGGTCCGCTTCCGTCCACTTTCTTCTCAGTGACCGCTCCTGCAGGGTGTGGCTCTGTTTGATCCTGACGTGCAGGATGATATCTTTGCCAGCGTTTCCCGTTAGCTGAAACCAAGGCATTTCCATGTCTTCTCCAGTCCATTCTGCAGAACCTGGATGTGCGGGGCCAGGCGGTCTTCAGCACTGTCCACACTTACGGCCTGTATGTGAACTTCAAGAACTTCGTCTGCAACATCGGGGAGGACGCAGAGCTGTTCATGGCCCTCTACGACCCAGACCAGTCCACTTTCATCAGGTAGCAAAGACCCAGATCCCCTGCCGTTGACATTGCAAAATGCCCGTTTTCAGAAGGGGAGGCAGGAAAAAAAGGGAGAGGATTTCCAGGCAGTAGGAAGGAAAGTCCGTTGGTCTCGGAGGCTTTTTGCTATTGCTGCTTAAACAGGGCGACCTCAGCCCGTGCACTCCGCGGGATGCAGGGGCCACTTGAAGCCAGTCAGGACAGAGGTGAGAACAAAGAGTCCAGGAGACCACAGCGGAGGAGCAAGAGAGGGATGAACAGAGGGTTGTTAGGGCCCTGAAACCAGCCTGTGTGATCCAGTCGTGGTGGACGCATGTCATCGTACTTTTGTTCAAACCCTTAGAATGCCCAAGACCAAGGGTGAATGCGGATGGCCCCTGTGTCCTGTGGGGGGGGTAGTGCTGCGTTGGTGCAGATTGGTCGGTTGTAACAGATCACTCTGGTGGGGGACATGGAGGGGGGAGGCCGTGTGTGCCTGGGGCAGGGGATCTGTGGCAACTCTGTCCTTTCAGCTCAGCCTCCGTGTGAACCCAGAGCTGCTCTACAGAACGAAGTCTCTGAGAATGTTTTCCACCCAGGCCTTGGGGAATGACGCCGGGCCTCTTCAGCCCTGGAGTGGCGCTCTCCTGGGCTCCTAAGGAAGTGCAGGCTTATTTTCAAGAAGGCAGTTCAAAGTAGAGACTGATGAAATGTTTATTTAAAAAAACAGTCTTTGCTTGTGGTGATATGGATGACAAGGGGCAGATTTGAATGACTGTAATAAAACTAAATTCTTGACTCAGCAAGGCAGAGAGTTCTTTGCAAAGAATGGGAAATGGAAAGAAGGCCCCAGAAAGTAGAGTCCCATAAAGTCTGCCATGCCTGTGCCGTCCACCGTCTGCATGAGTGTGCCCTGTGAGGTGCAGCGGGGACACTTCCAAAGCCAGGAGACCAACACCCCACCTGGCCACTGTCACGCCTGCCTGTTGAATTACACTGAGTGTCTCTGCTCCTTCCTTTACCTTGAAACCAGCACTAACAACATCCTTCATTCCCCAGGTGCCTTCTTATTAAGAATAATTTTCTTTTTTTTTTGGCCAGTGAAAACTATTTAATTCGTTGGGGCAGTAATGGGATGCCCAAGGAAATTGAGAAGCTCAATAACCTTCAAGCAGTGTTTACTGTAAGTTCGTCTTCTGTTTAAAATCCTCTTCTTTGTTATTATGATATTAGTGGATACACAGGGTGGAGATATGGAAAACACAACAGATAAAAAGAAGAGTCATCCTAATCCTCCTAGCAGAAATAACTTAGTTGTTTATTCAGCAACTATTTATTGAGCGCCAAGTAGATGTCAGGCATGGATTTAGACACTGAGGTACATCCCTGAACAAATTGCATGGGGGACAGATGGCTATGAACAAATCAGGGGGCAAAAATCCTTGTTCTCAAGCAGCATCATCCTAAGGGGAAGGCAGATAAGAAGCAATCGTTACATAAGTGACCAAATTGTATAGAATGTTACAAGTGCCGTGTGCTTCTAGGAGTTGGGGTCCTCTTGCTGAGAGAGGCTGTGTTTTAAGTGGGTTGGAAAGGGGCTGGGCATGGCTCAGTGGTAGAGCAGGTGCTCGGCATGCTCCATGCCTTAGGTTTGGTCTCCAGCACCAAAAATAAATCGGTAGTTTGGTCAGGGGCCACCGTGAGGAGACACTTGAGGAAGAACCTGACATGGCTGAGCCTGGGAGCTGTGCAGACAGCAGGGCCGTGGGGTGGGAGCTGCCAGACCTCTCACAATGTCACATTCCCGCAGAAGCAGGATGGAGACCTTTTCGGTGTGCCTATATTTGAAAGGGCGTTTCCTTCCCCTCCAAAGTGCTGCTTGATGTAGCTCAGGGCAAAGAAAAGCGATGGGCTACATTTGGGGACATGGTGACTCGCTTTCCCTTAAGTTAGGAACTTTCTGGGCTTCTTTTCTGTTTATGATCTTGGTGTTTAAAGTATACTGTGCGGCCACCGTCGAGTGCTCTGAGAGACCTTGGTGGGCAGGGACTGTCAGGTGCTCCCTTCAGTCCTCCTCCACCAAACCCACGTTTTATCTCCTCATTCTCTCACTGCTCCTAGGGCAAGAGAGCCCCAGTTACAGCACTAAAGGGAGGACAGGAAGGATCTGTGGTCCCTGTACAGGCCACTGTTGTGCTTCCTGTTAAGTCTTCTCTCTAGCACAGACAGGGGCTGGTTACCATCCCTGGCCGACCCCTCTGGATCTTCACCACCCAGCAGAGCAGGCAGCAAAGATCCAGGAACTCTTCCCCAAACCTCCCTAGTTTTTCCTTGGTTCAGAGAAATGTGGGAGTTTTTTCCTAAAATCAAAAGACATTTATCAGCCTAGATGCACTTTTTTTTTTTAAGTTTGAAAAAGAATTATTGAATCTTTGGTGCCATCAGAGAAGAGCTGTAGTCCACCCTCCTTTACCCCCCTCCCCTGACACACCTGTAGTTAGGATCACCTAGTGTGTACATTGCATGTCCTGACTTTTCTATTAAAGAGAAGGTGGAGATCATCTCCTGCTGTTAGTTTACAAAATCTTCATTTATTGCATATTTAATAATATACATATATATGTGCCATGGTTTATGTAACCGGTCTCCTGGAGTCTGAATCTTAGTTAATAGAACTCACAGATCCTGGAGTAGGAATTCAGGACTGATGTTAGTGGTGTAGACTCCTAACTTAGTGACCCAAGATAACTGGGTTGCAGGGGATGGATTTGGAAAAGTAGTTCTTGGTTCAGTAAAGAGGAGTTGTGCTGCTGTTTCATAGAAAGACTTTGAGGTGTAGTTAAATTATTTCTGATGTGAAGTGAATAAGGTCTGTGAGCACATTCTGGGTTTACTTGCCTGTCCTTGTGAATGTGAATGGGAGAGCCTCACCACATGGAGCAGAGCCCCCCCACCCCACCCCAGCCACACCTCGGGGCCTGTGCGGAACTTGCCTGCCAGGACTGTTTTGAAGACAGGATGAAATGTCACAAACTTGTGTGGGTACTCAATAAATGTCGATGTCATAAGAGTTTTTATTTCATTTAACACTGCAATGTATCCTGTACGGAGACAGGCGCTAAAAGGATATATACCCATAGCAACAACTGTCCTCATTTCTAAATACCCTGCTTGATTCACTAAACTAGGGATTTTAAATTGACTATTATCTCTTTTAGAAATTTTCTTCCTGTTTTTCTTTCTTTCATTTATTTACTTTTGTGGTACTAAGGATTGAGTCCAGGGCCTCATGCATGCTAGGCAAGTGCTTGACCACTGAGCTACATCCTCGATGATCATGGGGCAGGAAGGAGTCATTCTGGTATTTCAGCATTGAGAAATATGCTCTGCACAGTCTCCATTGTAGAGTGGAAAGAGAATTCTCTCGAAGGTGGCAGTGACCAGCCTGACCCCCTCCCTCTGTGTTCTTTGTCTGTGGCCAGGACCTCAGCAGCATGGACCTCATCCGGCCTCGCATCAGCCTGGTGTGCCAGATAGTCCGGGTGGGCCACATGGAGCTGAAGGAGGGCAAGAGGCACACCTGTGGACTCCGGAGGCCTTTTGGAGTAGCAGGTACAAGAAAGGCCCAGAGACCCATGTGAAATGGTCCAGCGACTGCGGGCTGCAGTGTGGCAGATCTGCAAAAAGTTAGGGGTGGAACTGGTACAGGACACAGCAGCTCTATGTCAGGGCACGAGCCCCAGAGAACTGAAAGCCCCAGAGCGCCCAGTACACTCACATTCATAGGAGCACCGTTCATAGTCTCCAGAAAGTGGAGCAACCCAAGTGTCCATCCAGGGATCGATGGGCAAGGGAAATGGGGGTGGATGGGGGTGGATGCATCCGAGGGAATCTCCCTCAGCCTCATGAAGGAAGGCAGATCCGACCCATTCTGCAGCAGGCATGAACCTTGAGAACAGTGTGCCGGGGGACATGAACCAGACACACAGGGGAAAATACTGTGCGATTCCATTTACTTGAGGTGCCTAGGAATTGGATTCAGAGGGACAGTAGAAAGCAGGGAAGGGAGGGGAAGGAGAGAGCTGTTGAATGGCTACAGTTTCCGTTTTGAAAGATGGAGAAGTTCTGGATGGCTGGTGGTGATTTTGCCGCCCCTACGTGGATGTGTAAAAATGGTTATGGTAGTAAATTTTATTTTACGTGTATTTTGCCACAATTTAAAAAAAAAAATTAGATGTTGATGGACCTTTATTTTCTTTGTTTATTTATATGGGGGGCTGAGAATCGAACCCAGTGCCTCACACATGCTAGGCAAGTGCTCTGCCACTGAGCCACAACCCCAGCCCCGATTTTACCACAATTTTAAAAACTGAAAAAGATGAGGAAAGGTGGAAAACAGACAGGCTGGCCTGAAAGCCAGTCCGGATGGGGAAGGATGGATGATGTCACAGTCAGTGTCACTCACACAGCCGTTGGCACCTGGGACTGCCAGGTCTCTATTGTGGGATTCTAGGTTCTCAGCCCAGCCACCCGCCCCCGCCCCATCCTGTGTTTCCTGCTCTGTGCTCAGCTCAGTGTCTCATTCAGCAGAATCAGATCCTTCTATTGGAATCCTTCCTGCCCATGCCTATGTATTGATTTCCTTTCTTTACATGAGGTGGATGCATTCGAGGGAGTCTTTTTTATGGTGCTGGGACGTGAACCCAGGGCCTCATGTTTGCTAGTGTTCTACCACTGCACTCTACCCGCACCCTAGTAATTTTGTGTGTGTGTGTGCAATTTTTACAAGGTTTCATTAAGAGCTGTCAACAGGTTGAATGTGACCCCTGCTTCCTACACTGGCCTAGCTGAAGTTTCCCAGGGCTTCTATACTGTGTTGTCTGAGTTGCTCTACAGAAAGCATTTCTTCCTGCTCCTTAGTTCTTTGTAGAATTATCTCAGACCCTAGTACTTCCTTTTATCTCCAAACAGGTTATCTGGGGAGTAGATTGTGAATGCAGAGTTTATGGCCAACCTAACTATTGACCAAGGCGTCACCTCTTGCCAAGGGCCCTGTCTATCAGCAGCTTCACATCAGCCCACTTATTGATTACTTATTAATAATTGAGGCAGCTGGGCTCAATGGTTACATGACTTGGCCCTGCAGTCCCTGTTGGGTTCACAGCTTGACTTTACTACTTAAAACTGAGTAACTCAAGGGAAAATCACTAACTTTTCTGGCCCTTAGTTTCCTCATTTCTCTTTTTTTTTTTTTTTTTAATTTACTTTTTATTTTTTTGCACTGGGGATTGAACCCAGGGATGCTCTACCACTGAGGTACATCCCCAGCCCTTTTATTTTTATTTTGAGATAGGGGTCTTACTAAGTTGTTGAAGCTGGACTTGGGATCCTTTTGCTTCAGCCTCCCGAGTGAGTGACTGGGATTACAGGTGTGTGCCCCCATGCCTGGTTAGAATTCCTCAATTCTCAAAGTAGAGCTGATATCTGTAGAAGCGAGATAACCTGGCAGCCAGCCCAGAACAGAGCTAAGGGCTCTTCTTTGGGGAAGGAACAGGTCACTGTTGGGTCTGTTGTGATGCTCCTGCCCAGATTTCTGAAGGAAACTGGATGAGAATCTGTCAAAGAGACATATTCTTGACCCCTTCAAGTCTTGAGTTTCTCTCTGGTCTTTTCATTTTTGTGATAGTCCTGACCAAAAAAATATGTATTCCCTGTGACTTTGAATGCAAGCTTGCTAAAAATTCACACCTCAGGTCATCCATGTTGTGGAGATTTTAAAAGGGCTGGTGTATAGGGTGGATCTGAGAGAATCAAGACCTCTTCCTGAGCAGCCTCAGGCCTTGCTTCTCTGCTGGGCTGGGCACCCTGGGAAGGTATCACTGGCTCAGAAGGAAAAGGAGCATCCGCTTGATATCTTTCTTCCCGTGTTCTGTGTTGGCTGATTGATGCTGCCCTTTTCCATGGCGACTTAGCGAGGCAGGGAGTGATTATTTCTCTAATTAAGTTCCTCTCCTTCCTAGTGATGGATATTACTGACATCATACACGGGAAAGTGGACGACGAGGAGAAGCAGCACTTCATTCCGTTTCAGCAGTAAGTACTTTGGCATATCCTGGGTGACTTGAGACCTGGATCAGCTGTTCCAATGCGGTGTGAACACAGAACCAGTGACAGGTAGCCTTTTGTCATTTAGGGAGGGAGACCGCTGCAGCTGGAAGGTTGTCAGCTAGGAGATCCACAGAAGGCTTTATTGGGAGTTCTTCACATTGGACTCTAAGAGAGTAAATGGAACATTTCCTGATTGCCCTCACATAACCAAAGGAATATAAAATCAAGAGTAAAGTGTACATCTGTACTCGAAGCCAGAGAAGGTGCCATTCAAGTGTCAGAAATGCTAACACGTGTCCGTACCCTGTGGAGCAGTGGAGTCACATTGGAGAGAGGGAGCTTCTCAAACTGTCTCATGCATAGGAATCCCTGGGACTCTTGTTACAAGGCAAAATTTGATCCAGTAGGTCTGAGGTCTGCATCTGACAAGCTTCCAGGGATGGCCACGGCACTGGTCCAGGGACCACGCTTTGAGTAGCAAGGGTTTAGGAGGTAAGAGAGTGAAGGCTGACGAGCCCCTAGTTAGTGTTACTGTACACGGGAAAGCCAGCCTGGGACCTCGGGAAAGGATTCCCCCAGAGCTTTATTAAGGCCCCTGCTCTGGGCCAAGGGAGCTGGCAGGCCACTGGGGAGCTGTTAGTGAGCACATCTCAGTCCTGCTGCTGAAATGACAAGTGTGGCCTGAGCATTGGGACTGGTCTGACAGTCAGGCTCCTCTCACCACCCCCACCCAGTGTAGATGGTGGTGGCTTAGGGGAACTTAGGAAGTTTCTGGAAATGACTCCTCCCATAGCCAGTCACTTGCATCTGCCCCACAGAATTCCAGAAAGCAGTTCAAGGACATTTGTGATAATAACTCGTGATTTACATATCATATTGCCAATGAGGGGAGAAAGATAAATTATGTTAAAGAAACATTTTGGAGAAAATTAGCTGATCACTTAAGAAACATTAAATTAGAGCCCAGTCACACACCCTATTTCAATATAAATCACAGATAATTAAACCTATCATTTGTAAGAACTAAATCCTTCAATACTATAGGAAGAAGTCTTATGTAACAGTGATATAGAAAGGTCATTTTAAATCACACACCAAAAGTGTGACTGAAAAAAGAAAATTGATGGGTTTATCCAGCTTCCAAGTTGAAACAACTTATACACAAGAAAAGAATGTTTACGATATGTATTAGAGAGATAAGAGGGTATCCATAATATATAGAGAGGGCTGGGGTGGTGGCTCAGTGGTAGAGCACTTGCCTAGCATGAGTGAGGCACTGGGTTCAATTCTCAGCACCACATATGAATAAAATGAAGGTCCATCAACAACTAAATAAAAAATTTTAAAAAAGACTTAAAAATAAAAAAAATAATAAAAGTTAGTAAGCACATATAAAGGAAACAGACAAATTCAAGAAAATTCACTGAGGATCCATGAAGTGCAAAGGAAACAAAGTTTAGTGTTGGGTTTGAACATATTTAAAAAAAATATTCAGTGTTGTTAAGAACCCAGTATTTGGTTGGGCACAAGGAAACACATATTGCTTACAGGCATGTGAATTGTGGTTTTTCCTTTATTTTTTTTTTTTTGGGGGGGGGGGGCGTACCGGGGATTGAACTCAGGGGCACTCAGCACTGAGCCACATCCCTGGCCCTATTTTGTATTTTATTTAGAGACAGGGTCTCATTGAGTTGCTTAGCGCCTTGCTAAATTGCTGAGTCTGGCTTTGAACTCAAAATCCTCCTGCCTCAGCCTCCCAAGCTGCTGAGATTACAGGCGTGCGCCACTATGCTGGACTTTTTAAATGCAAATTGTTAAAAGCCTCAAAATTTAGATATTGCAAAGAATATCTTTCATAATTAATAATGGTTATTTACCTTGGTTTAACTATTTATGATTTCATCCTTTTTGTTTGCTTCCTAGTTTTTTTCACAATAAATATATGTTAAATGTGAGTTTATTATTTAAAATATAAAGATCCTAATCTTTCCATTTCAAGTTCAGTTCTTTGGGGCTGTTCTAAACGTCTTGATGCAGATTGCCCCCAGTAAACAGTACTCTCCTCTTTCATCCAGAGGCTGCTGTAAATTATTTTTAAAATACCCACTAACCTGGTACCCTGCAGGGACACAGACCTTCCATGAATAGGCTGAGTTACAGATTATATGTAAGATAGTGCTGATATTAGTTAGAACTTACATCCGTGAGTGCTCTTCCTGAAACACATGCAGAGGCATGAGTTGCTTGCCTCTTGGAAAGGGTGTGTTCTGAGGTGCGTGCCGTCAGGCAGTTTCATCATTACATCCACATTAGAGAGCATGCTCACACAAACTCAGATGACCCCAACGTCACCAGCTGATATATTCTTATGGGCCGCTGTCACATATGCACACATATGCAGTCTCTCATGAACCAAAATGTCGTAATGTGGTACATGACACTCAAACATAAATATGTATGTATTATATATAAATACGTTTAAATAAGTATGTTAAATAATTATATTGTTTAATACAGTGTTCATGTATTACTTTGTTATACTTATGAATATATTTAATGTTAACCAAATGGCTTGGATGAATATAAATATATAAAATGTTGCAGGTGCATTACACATGAGTATGCCTTTGCTGTCCGTGAATGCTGCCTTTGCTGTACGTACTTATATAATCTTACATGTGCATTGTGTGTATATTTACTATTGTTATAAATATGAACCTACGTGTTAGGAGCAGCATTCATGGGTATGAAGATGTCTGAATATTTATGTTCATTTCTGTGGTGGGTTCCTCCTTTGGTCACGTGCCTCCCTGCTGGGTTCTGAGCCAGCGGCAGTGTACCAGTGGTGAGCCCTGATGTTGTCCCCATTGAGAATAATGCCTGTTCTGAGTCCCCAAGGAACCAGCCCTAATTTGATTACTGCTCACAGTTACTGTGAAGTGTTCACATTTGCAGTTGTGGCCTCTGGCATTTAACACCTGCGATTTATGGCAAGAGCTTTTATAACCTGCTGTGGTGTTTGAGCCTGGAAGGTTCTGGTAGCTCTAGGGAGAAAACAGCTTGGATTTGGCAGTCCCAGGTTCCAGTCACATGTTTGCTTTATTAGCAGGGTACAGGGCTCTCTGCAAGGACAGCTGGCCTGGAGGCAGAGGAGAGGAGAGGCTACTGAGCAGTGCCAGGCTGATAAGCAGGCGCTGATAGCGCCTTCCAGAGAATGGGCTGTTGGGTCCCTTGACCTCCCTCTAGGATCCTCAGCCTGATGAGATCATGCGATGGGGTTTGTTTGCAGTGCCCCTCCCATTGCAGTCCTTAGTGTGGTTTGTCATCATGTGGGATGACAAACACAGGTGCCATACACAGGGACCTCTCCTGTACACTGGGTGGTGGGGTAGGCGGGGCCTCAGAAGGCACCGGAACCAAGCCCTTTTCCTCACAGAGGAGGAAGCTGAGCACTGTCAGGTAGAAGCAGGACAGAAGCCAGGTCCCCTGCCCCTCTCACCAATGTGAGATCTGCAATTCCATCCTAGCAGCCACCTCAGGAAGACTCTGAGCATTGCCTCTGATCTTAGTTAACAACATTTTTGTTTAACAGCTTTGTTTTTTTCTTGGGTTTGCCTCATGTCATTTCCAAGATGAATTTAATGTTTAAGACAAATAAACTTTATTTTTCTTAAAAAATGTCAAGGACAGAATTATAATAACTTCTTTTAATATCTATTTTATTTCATTTTAGCACTAAGGATTGAACCCAGGGCCTCATGCATGCTAGGCAAGTGCTTTATCACTGAGCTATGTCCCCAGCCTTATTTCAATTATCTTAACCGGCTTGGCTTTATTTTCTGTTCTGGGATTAGGCAGCACCTCATTCCACAAAACGGAATAACTGTCCGGATGAGCTGAGCCCAGTAGTTGATCATATAGACAGAAAAGAGCTGAACAAAGCAGAAACAAAAAAAATAAGAGGATTGGTCATTTCAAAGTTACTTCCCTTACAAGTCAGGGGCAGCAGGACAGGACAGTAGGAAAAAACGATTGACGAGTTTAACATGGTTACTTTAGTAGTATCTCGAAAGGTACCTTAGGACCTTTATGGTGGAAAAGATTAAGGCAGACAGTGCTTCATGGTGCCGAATGAAACGGGCCTGTTTGGGAAACTTAGCTGTTTTCTCTTTCTCTCTCTCCTTCACCCCACCCCCACCCCACCCCAGGCCCCTCCAGATTTCTGGAAGGTCAAACGTGCAGCTTAGTTTCAACTCCATGAACTTTCAGCTTGGAACTTTACCATGAGTGATGCTGTTTTGATTTCCAGCCAGATCTGGGGTCCAGTACAGGAGCTTACTCCACAAGAGTGGCTCCCTGTGATTTGTGTTTAACATCGAGTCCTCTAGTTGGGTTTGGGGTTTATGTTTCCCTGAGACCCACCGTGATCTCGTGATCTGAGGTTGTGCGAGGGGACCCTCTGTTCTTCCCCTTTTCCTCCTCACCGCGTCTGTCTTTCCCAGAATTGCAATGGAGACCTATATTCGGCAGAGGCAGCTCATAATGTCACCCTTGATGACATCGCATGTGACTGGAGAGAATGAGCCACTCACTTCAGTCCTGAATAAAGTGATAGCAGCGAAGGAAGTGAATCACAAAGGACAAGGTACAGCACCCTGTTCTGGGCTGAGTGGGGACTTTGGCTAGGGTGGGAGAGGCTTTTAGAGCTGGGCCTTGGACTCCTGCCCTTTCACTATCTCTGATACAAAACAGCCTCTGCTGGGGACCACCCACCTCAGGCATTTAATACCGGAGAGCCCGGAGAGCACACCAGTGTGAGTGAGATCACAGCTGAATTTGGAAATCCTGCGAAACACATTTTCATCCCATGAGACTTTTCTTCCACCCTACATTCCCAGTGTTGATGCTCTGTGAGTGCACCAAGAAAAAGAGAATCAGAAATAACTAGGTTTTACCCCTGGATAAGTTTATTCCATACCATCTTCTAAAACTGAAAGGAGAAGTACAAATCAATATGTATTAATGTAACATCATAATATATAGTTTTACATATAACCATCAAATATCTCATGAAGCTTTCTTGGGTACTTTTAGTGCCCCCATGTCTTATTCTGTTGAAAGAACTTTAATAAGTTAGAGAAGTTCTGCTTATGGAAACTCATTTTAAACTCATATAAGGAAAAATACCTAAAGTTTTAAAGTTAAGATTCCAAGATGGTGACCCTAATTGGGTAAAAAAAAAGTGATTGAGTCACTTTTTTTTAATCACCCTATAATTAATTGTCTTCTGAAATAGAAGCAGATATATTTAGTTTCTTATGTATTCACAATATCCTGAGTGGGAAAGATAGGTAAACTATAAATAAAAAATCTGAAAACAAATAGCTAAATGTATGTGGTATTTTGGAGGGCTTAATCTAAGAATTCTTACATTAAATACATTGCTGTGCATATGTGATTTCCTTTTTCTTTGAAAACTAGAAGTACCATTTCCTTTTTTGCTGATGAAGAATAGAACAAGCACTTTTCAAATGTTTTCAGATTCTGCACAAATATGTTTGCAGCTGCATAATATTCCAGTGCTTAAAAAAAAAAAGTTACAGCAAATTTAAAGATCTTAATTGGCTTCATTTTCTCTTCTGGAATTGTGCAATACTTCATTCCATAAGTGTTCTGATGATTTGAACAGGAGAGATTGGCATTACAGACAGAGAAAGGCTTAAGAAAACACAAAAACAAAGAGCAATTGGTCATTTCAAACTTACTTCCTTGTCAAGTGGAGATAGGAAAATAAATGACTTGCTCTCCTCAGGTTACTTCTGGTTACTTTTTGTGTAAAGATTAAAACACTGGGAGCTTCATTATCACGCTGTCTGAAACTGGCCTGTTTGGGAGATTCGATGTTATCTCTATTCCCGATTTCCCGGATGGTCAGAGAGCACATGAGTTTCATTTTGAGGATGTGTACTTTAACATGGGTGATGCCATTTGGTTTTTAGCATGGTGTGTTGGGGCCCTGTGTGGGAGCTCAGCCCAGAAGGATGGCCTCCTGTTGTTTTGATTTAACAAATTTAAGGAAATTAAATCCCCTAGGTAAACACCTAAGTGCTTTCTAATTTACCATAGTAAATTTAAATTCTTCTGCTATGATGATCTTTAGACTGAAGCTTTTCATATATTTAGGACTGCCTCCCCAAGAAAATTCCCCAAAGTAGGATTTAGGGTCCAATGGTGGAGACACACTTAACCAGAGACATAATGTGGCCAGATGGCCAGCCAGAGGTTTCCCCCAGGGGTCCTGCTCTCCTGGCTGGAGGGGGCCCCCTGCCTTGCACTTGGTTGCACTGTCCCAAAAATTGAGACCTAAAAATCGGAACCTACTTGAAAGGTGAAAAGTAGCCTCCCCTTGTTCTGTGGCCTGTTTACTTATTTATTTATTTGCTTTTGAGAGGAGGATCTCTCTAGGTTACCTGTCTCAGCCCCCGAGTAGCTGGAATCACCCACCTGGCCACTGCTCCCAGCTGCCTTGCTCTTTAGTTGGTGCTCAAGGGCGAACCTCTACCCTTCATCCATATTTATGAGTTTTCTGAAGTTTCCCATCTCAATTTTATGAGATCCTTATATAATGAAAGTAATAAGCTTTGTCTTATTTAAGACACACTTTTGCAACTTCTAGTTTGCTAAATATTTATAAACTTCTCATTCTTCTCTCTGAATTGTCTGTTCATTTCCTGTTTACTTGTGTAGAGGACATTTTTTTTTTCCTGCGAAGGGGACTGGACCCAAAGACGCTTAACCACTGAGCCACATCCCCAGCCCTCTTTATTTTTAATTTTGAAGCAGGGTGTCACTAAGTTGCTTAGGCCTTGCTAAATTGTTGAGGCTGGCTTTGAACTTGCAATCCTCCTGCCTCAACCTCCCGAGTCACTGGGATTACAGGTGTGTGCCACCTCGCCCAGCACTTGTGAGGATCTTTACTTTCTTATAATGACAATGAATTCATAATATCTTACAAGTATCTTATCATTTTGTAGTATATTTTTTAGAGTTTTATGCTTATGAAAGCTTTTAGTTTGTATGTGGATAACTCTTTTGCTTTTGTAATTTGTGTCTCTTTTTAGCAGAGTTCATTCTCAAAGATGGCGTAACTACCCATTTACTCTTTTAATTTCTTGACTTTTTTCCTGTTTGCTTCTTTGTCATCTAAGGAACTTGTTTTGTATGAATGTATGATGCCAGAAGTTAAATTGATTCTGCTATAAGTAGCAAGAAATTGATCCCAGCATATTTATAGAATTGGTGTGTGTCTGTCCCTGTGTATCCCCGCCCCCCTTATCTGGAGAGTGAGAGAGGCCTTTTGTCATGCATTAAACTGCCATTTACTACAGTACTTAGTCTGTTTCTAGCAATACATACCGCTGGCTTCATATAGCATTATAGCTTTACAACATATTTTGGTATCAGCTTGGACTGTCTTTATTTCTTTTCTCCCACCCACATAAGGATCTGTTCCTATCACTATCCAGTTCTCAAAGAAATCCTATTGTGATTTTGATGGGAGTGTCATTAAAATTGTAAATTAACTGGGGGAGAATTTGCATCTTTACAATAAGGTCTCTGTTGTCATTATTATGCAACTCTTGTTTTTCTCAACATTTCTGTGTGTGTGTGTGTGTGTGTGTGTGTGTGAGAGAGAGAGAGATAGGTCATCCAGAAAACTGAAAGTTTATCTTTTCTTTTCTTAAAGGACTTTGGGTGTCCTTGAAGCTATTGCCAGGTGATCTTTCGCAGGTTCAGAAGAATTTTTCACACTTGGTGGATAGATCAACAGCAATAGCCAGAAAAATGGGCTTTCCTGAGATAATCCTTCCCGGTAAGCACTGCGCTCGACCATCCATGTCCTCTTCCCTGTGAGAACTTGTTCCAACAGGACATGTGAGGCCACTGCGGTCCACTCGCCTGCAGTGGCCCCAGGATGGTGGCGGTACAGAGCTCCAGCACCCTGGGAAGCTACGCCATAAGCAAGACCAAGGAAACGCTTTTACTGGAACTCAAAGCTCTCTCCCTCTGTTCTGCACAGACCCTGGCAGATGCTTCCCTAGCTAGACTTCAGTCAGGAGTGGACGCAGCCCAGGGCTCCCCTGCAGGAGGCTAACTGGACACGTTGGCATGTTCCCCGGTGCCGGCTCCTGGCTCTGCTCCGTTCCCTTAAGGCCCTACTATGTTCTGGCTCTGCCCTTTTCTGTGGTGACAGGAGCCTAGACATTCGTCCTCAGCATCTACACGGGCACCTTGAGTTCTGGCAGTCCAGGGCTGGTGCTCCTTTGCTGCGTTTTCTGGAGGATGGGGTCTCATCCACGCAGCCGCACGGTTGAAAAGCTGAAATTCCCCTTTGCAACTCACAGAGTTCGTGAGGAAGACCTGCCATTTTTTTCGTGAAAGACCTCTAATCCATTCCTTCGTTCATCTCCGTCACCTCCACCAAGCTGGCCCCGGGGTTTCTGCCCTGGACAGCTGTGTAACTTCCCTGAGCGAGCGGCTCTTCCTGCTGACTCTCCCCCCTCCCCAACCTGTGGCATGGATGACTGTTCCTCTGAGCTCACCTGACTTCCTCTCACTCCTCCTTGCTGATAGCATTGATAGACTTCCATTTATGTGCAGGATAAAGATACAGATTCTTGATTTGTCCTGCCGGCCTGTGCGGGGAAGGGATTTGACTTTTGTCAGTCTCTGAAGCCTCGTCTCACCCCATACCTCTCCCACCTCTGCCCTTTCCACCAACTCCTCTCTCAGCCCATGATATCGGCTTGAAGGAAAGATTCCCCACAGCGTCCAGACAAGGTCATTGTCCACATTTTTAACAGAACCATGCATTATTTTACCTTTGGGAGACCTGAGATGCATCATTGGGTAATTTCACTTTGTGCGGACATCATAAAGTGCATCTACACCACCTAAAAGACTGTGACATCACTAGACAACGTGATCTCGTGGGACCACTGTTCTACTTGTGCTTCACTGTTAGTGGAAATGATGTTCGGCTCCTGGCCGTGTTTGACATATGACCAATGGAGTTGCCGTGTCAATTAAGGCTCTTGGCACACACTGTCAGGTTCTCTGTTGGCAGAGTATGTCCATTAAGATGTCAGATTGGAATGTTCTAGCCGCCCCCTTTTCTTCCTTCTTCTCAGCCACTATGGGCAGTATCATCTTTTTAACCCCAAAAGGGAAAACTGATAAAAATGACACCTGTTCCAAATATGCAGCCCAATTTTTCTTGTCCTGCTATCAGGTTTAGTTTTTTTTTTTTTTTTTTTTTTTTTTTTTTACATTGGGGGCAGTTTGATGTCATGCAAATTTTGGGGTCATATTTTTAAAATCCTGAGTCCTCTCATCCAGGAATTTGAAATGCCTTTCATGTATTCCAGGTGTCTGTGGGAGCCACACCTGTATTAATTAATTAATTTTAAATTTGTCATTATTTATGTTAAAATATCACACTCTCCAAATAACGATATGAAAAAAACATCTTGTCACTGTATCCCAACAAAATATACATGTGCTCGTTGTTAGTCAACAATTATCACCAAGTGGAGTGAGGAATCCCTACTGGAAAGACATGTTGGTATAGAGAGTAATAAGCTGAGAAACACATGTGGAAGTTTGCTGAGAGCACCGTTTGTTGTAATCCGAGCATTTCACGTTTTCTTTCTCTTTTATATCTTATTCCATCCCCCGAACCTTTGAAATGACTTCTCTCAGCAACACTCACAGGGTGGGTTGTCCCGTTGCAGGAGATGTTCGGAATGACATCTATGTCACCCTGATTCACGGGGAGTTTGACAAAGGGAAAAAGAAGACGCCCAAGAACGTGGAGGTGACCATGTCTGTGTTTGATGAAGAGGGCAACCTGTTGGAGGTAGGTGTCACGGAGTCCTGCCGCTTCACACCCCTCTGTACAGTGGCGGTGGACTTGCCCGCCTCATTGTAGTTATTCTCCACATCAGGGTGGGTTGCATTTTTCCTAAGGGAAAGAAATAAAATCCGATTATCATTGACCAGTTTTACTAGTGAACCTGCTTAGACTCTTAATTTGATTTTTCTCCTATGCAAAGAAATAGCTCCAGCCACTGAGGGTTTTAGGAAGGAAACAGATGTCCAAATGGTTCACCAAGCCAAGTCACTCTGTGTCCGAGGGACAGGCAGAATGCGTTGGGCCATGGGGTGGGAGGGTTTTGTTTTTTTTTTTCCTATTATTGATTGAGCCCTTGTGCCGCGTGAGTTCATTCCAAGTACACACCTTCCCTCGTTGGTCATCTCATAGCTTTGCTGACCAGAGTGGAAGTGCCCACTGAGGCAGGTTCTCCAGAACAAGGTGGTTCATTACTAGGAAGAGACACAGCCATGGATTTGAGCGATCATGCTGAACCATTACCCCAAGTCCCTAAAGCAGAATGCAGACCCCAGAGAGAGACCATTCTCAGACGGCAGAGTGTTCACACATGAGACCTGCATCCTAGTCCCTGTCACCAGGCCTCTGTTCCCCGAGAGAGGAGAGAAAGAGGAGAATGTGTGCCTCAGGATGGAAGAGAGAACAGAAATCTCAGGACGGAGGACACAGTGTTTGGTCCTTAGCTACTTCCAGGTTTATATGCTTAGATCTTCAATGGAGTAGTAGAAATTCAGTCTGGCTCTGTTTATCATCCCCCAGATGAGCTTACAGATGCCAGTTAAGGGCATATGCTAGGCATGGGGGCTCTGCCTCGTGTGTGGAAAGCTCTTTCCTAGACCGTAGTATCCTCTCCTAATTTTTCCTTTCCATCCAAAGAAAGCCATTCATCCGGGTGCTGGCTATGAAGGCATTTCAGAATACAAATCAGTGGTCTATTACCAGGTCAAGCAGCCCTGTTGGTATGAGACTGTCAAGGTGAGCATCTGCCATTTGCAAGACTTTTTATCTGTTAAACCTCCCTTAGATTCCTGTCTGCTCTTTAACCTCCGAATCATTTCTGACCTTTCCTGAAGTCTTAGATAAGTTGCCTGTGGTGTTCAATAAGAAATGAATTGCTAGTCCTAATTCTGATTCAGAGCCTCTATCTTTAATAAAAATTCGGCCCCCTTAAATAACAGTCTCATTCATAAATGTAGAGAAATTTGAATAGAGAAACTCGTGGTTGGCACGATGCAATCAGCTTGCCAAGATGGTCCAAAACTAAGCGGAAATTTTCACACTCTGCAAGCGATTTCCTAACATGTTTTTCTTCTTGGCTCCTACCCAAGCTTGCCGGGCCTCTTTTCAGTTTAAATATGGGTCTTACAAATTCCAACATGGTTTTCAAATCAGGCATCTCCTTTGGGTCCCACAGAGGCTTCGGCAACTAAGCAAGCAGACTTTGAAAAGCCCTCTTCCTGATGAGGAGACTGAGACTCCAAGAAATTAAGTGACACCCAGGATCCTAGAGCTCCTTCTGTCCGAGCTAGCCCTGGAGCTGCCTCTTCTTAACTTGAGACGTTGTGGGTGCTTTCTGATTGTCGGGGCCATATGAGCTCTTCATGGAAAACTAAAAAGAAAGTGCACAAAACCCAGAGAGATTGCACTCATTTCTCAAGAGAGAAGCAACTAGTGCCACCTCTTATCTATCTAGTTCGTGGTGTTGGAATGACATTGCTCCTAAAAGTTTAATGTTGTGCTTTTTTTTTTTTTTTTGTACCAGGAATTGAACCCAGGAGCACTTAACCACTGAGCCACACCCCAGCCCCTTTTTTTGTATTTTATTTAGAGACAGGGTCTTGTTGTGTTGCTTAGGGCTTTGCTAAGTTGCTGAGGCTGGCTTTGAACTTGTGATCCCCCTGACTCAGCCTCCCAAGCTGCTGGGATTACTGGTGTGTGTCACCATGCCCGGCTAGGTTGTGCTTTTTAAAGGTAGTTATCTCAGGTATTCTGAGTTCTCCAGAGACAATTTTTGGATGTTTATATAATGCTCCATCATATGGTCATGCCAGAATATATTGAACCATTCACCACATATTCCTGCCCTTTCCACATGGCTTTTCTCCTGCCTCCTCTGTGTATAAAGAGCAGAAACCTTCCTTGCCCCCATGCTTTATCTTTTCCTTCTGTTATGGCCCCTGATTATTATCATCTCATGGACTCCTTGCAGTCAGAAAGGTCCTGTCTAGACCTCAAAATACCACTTGGGAGTATTTGATGTTTCATATTGGAGTAAATGCGAAAAATCCCGCATAGCTCCGTGCTCTTAATCTATGATCAACAGCAAGATGAACTTCTCCTGAGATTCTCTTGGTTTGAAAATAGTTCGATCTCCTGTGAGTAAAACCTTATAGCAAGTCTCACTCTAACCATGCCTGCTGTGGTAAGATCCTAAAATCGAGAGTCTCGTTCTCGTTATATCTCAAAATAGCTGGGAGTGAGGATATAGAATGTACTCATATGAAGAAAGGATGCAAGTTGAAGATGGTGGCTGTGCTAGGTACCCTGATTTGATCATTCCACGAGGCTTGTGTGAATCAAAACATCATGCTGTACCCCACAAATATGCTCATTATGTCAAATAAAAATAAGTTCATTAAAATGGAGCCTCCTTCTGGGCTGGGTTTGTGGCTCAGAGGGAGACAGCTCACCTACCGTGTGTGAGGCACTGGGTTTGATCCTCAGCACCACATAAAAATAAAATAAAGATCTTGTGTCCACCTATAACTAAAAAAATAAATATTTTTTGAAAATGGAGTCTCCTTCTATAAAATGAGCCTCGGAGGCCAAGAGCTAGGTGTCTGTAAACTGTAAACTCTTTGCCGTTTTGCAGGTGTTCATCGCCATAGAGGAGGTGACGCGCTGTCACATAAGATTCACCTTCCGACACAGGTCATCTCAGGAATGTAAGTATTAGGAGGGCTGAGACATATTTCCATTTAAAAAAGGAAAAAAATGGACTCTTCCTTCACAGTGCTTTTGTGGATCAGGGGAACAAGCTACTTAGAAACTAGATCTTGGGCAACTTTATTTCAGAATTCATTGGTGCAAAGGAAGTCAGACCAAGGAATTGTGCCGGGCTTCCAAAAATCTTTATTATCACCATCTCTCAGAATCCCTCCCGTGCATGTGTCATGGAAGATGCTAAGAGATGCCACATGGCAAAAGGGTTCCACTGTGAGGCAGGTGTCGGAGATGCTGCGTGTTATGTTTCCCTCTGAGACGTTCTCAGTGGGGAATCTCCAAGCTCACCACCAACGAGGTCTCTGTGTAGCAGGCATATGCGAAGCCCTGTTTGCACACTGCCTTGCTTAGTGCCCACGGTCATCTGATGACACTTCCTGCTTTTATGCACATTAATACCACAGGGCATAAGGTGCAGCAAGGCCAGGTCCTGGCTAGGATGGGATAGAGCCGCGCTAGGGCCAAGGCAGCCACTCCAGACGCACAGAGCCAGATCCCGAACGTGAGAACTACTTTATTCCAGGTTGTGGAGGAGCCCTGAGAGGTGGCCTCTGGTGGGGGTTGGGGGTTTTATTTTGGGGTGTGCTCATCATAGCTTTATCCATGACACCCAGCATTGGAATGGCCCGAAAACCATCAGCAGGAGAGCCGGTAGAGGGGTGGTATAGTCATGCAGTGTGTCACTGCTCAGCCACCCCTGTCCCTGCAGACCCTAGAGCCGTGCCTCAGATGAGAGCAGGCCACAAGGTCCCAGCCACAGAGGTCAGGGCGGGTTAGCAGCGAGCCCAGAGGCTGGCCCAGTGCCCGGCCTCCTCACGATGCCCCAGGACACACCTAGGCTGTGTGTTGGGGAGGGTGGACAGGCAGAGGCCTCAGGCAGCAGCATCCACCCTCACAGCCTCGGTTTCAGAACAGCAGAAGTGGAGATGCTCGAGAAGGGTCTGAAGCAGGACAGGCAGGGGCTGGGTTGGATTGGATTAGGGGAACCTCCCTCTGGCTGGATATGGAGACAGTGTTGGGCAGAGGAGGACTAGAGAGACAGACCCGTTAGGAAGAGAGGACACAGGTTCCACAGCCATTTAGGATGTGACCTTGATGTGCTGACGTGGGGTGGATCGGTGGCCACTTCCACCTTCTGATTTGGGTGACTCGTTGGATGCTGATCTCGTTTATTAGGGAATGTAGGGAGAGCCCGTACTTGGGGGTGCCAGGTGACTTCAGCTTGGAGGTCTGGGAGACACACAGGGCTACCTGCTTGCTGACTGGGTTGACTACAGTGTGGCTGAGCAGCACACCCCGAGCAAGCGTGAAATTAACCAGCCCAGTTCTCAGCTGCTGGTGTCTTTCCCCACTGCTCAGACACATATTTCTGTCTTTCCAGCCAGAGATAAATCAGAGCGCGCTTTTGGGGTATCCTTTGTGAAACTGATGAACCCAGACGGCACCACCCTGCAGGACGGGAGGCACGACCTGGTGGTATACAAGGTGCTGACAGAATAAGCTCCAGACGGCTGGATTGAAACTGGCCTTTTAGACCCCTTTCATATTGATGTGTGCAAACATCAGCAGCCTCTCCAGAGCCATGTATGTTTGCCATTTAAAAAGTCTAGAAAGACAGAGGAGGACCTGGTGGTCCCACGTTGTGGCTTCTCAAGCCTTTCTGGAGACAGTGAGTTACACTGCTGTTGAGTCCTGGAAGAGTGTCTTACCCTCAGGCAGAGATCATGCCATGGCTCAAGGAGCCAAGGGGCCGGTTCCCCTCCTCCTCGACATCATCCTGCACTGCACACAGACAGTGTGCTGTTGGCCCTGGTGTGAGCACCGTGGGATGTGGTTTCTATGTCACCATAAACAATTCCCTGCTGTCAAGGTCTTGCTTCCTTCCCCGAGAGCTTTGCTCCCATTCTTCCCCTCTAATGCTGGTGAGCTCTCACATCTACTGATCCCAGGGTTTGGAGTAGACACTGGAAGATCTCACGTATCCAACAACTTTTGGGGGTTTGTACCATTGAAAACTCTTTTGAGTTGTATCTGATGAATATTTGTAAATAGCTTAGAAGGCATAGCAAGCTCTCCATCAATCCAGTAAAATGTGACCACTTATAGGTTCAAGAAAGTGGAGTGCAACCTTATTCTGCAATATATGTATTTACTTCTGGCAGAGACTAGGATATTCTGGTTTCTAGTTCACAACTTCCTCCATTTTCATTCTGTGATGAAATTATTTCTGGGCTCATTCCCTGTGGAAAGATTCGACAGTGTCAGGGTGGAGGGGATCGGGAGTATGATTTGGTAAAGCCTGCATCTCACACTGGAAGTACACTGTGCTCCTGAACAACTTTTCTATTGCCTGTGAGAGACATTGCGTGTTTGGTGTTTCTAACCTGCTCTCTTTTCAGGGGGACAACAAGAAAATGGAAGATGCTAAGTTCTACCTGACCCTGCCTGGGACCAAGGTAGAGATGGAGGAGAAAGAGCTCCAAGCATCCAAAAACCTGGTGGCCTTTACCGCAGGCAAGGAGAGCACAAAGGACAGTTTCCAGATCGCCACCCTGATTTGCTCCACAAAACTCACCCAGAATGGTAGGTGTGGTGACCACGTGGACACCGCTAAGCTCACCGCCCAGTCCTCCTGGGCCTCCTGGCTAGACTCCAGGTGCTGTACCACATGGGGCCAGGTCTTCCAGGGTGGGATCTGGACAATTGGATTCTGCTCTCTGCTCTTCCAGTGCTGTTCTTGGGGGGCACTGATCAGATTGCAGAACTTTCTGAGGTTTCGTGGTCCATCTTTAAAATAGAATGGAAGGCATTTCAGTTGTTTTTTTCTTAATGTTGTAAAACCTATAAGTATGTTCACAGACGCTGTAAATCTGCAAGTCTTGTGTTTCCTGCCTTCCAGGCAGTGACTCTAATAATGTGTTGTTGGTAGTGTGTGCCCAGGAGGTGTTGGATGAGGGAGGATGCTGGCAAGAGCTTCATCAGTCTCCTGCCCAGGCAGCAATGGCAGAGAGCAGCGTTTCCTGTTAGAGTTCCTCTTTTTCTCATGTATTCACCCCTTTCCTGTTTTTTCCAAGAAGTCAGGAATTTTCTGCAAAATCACCTGATTGGTCTAAATGGGGCTTCATTTGGTCTCTCCTTCCAATCTCTGATATCGGTTCCGGCTCTTGTATATAATGTGGCTTTTGGTAGCCAATGACTGCTTCTTACTCACTTCACCTATGTCACACCCATGGCGTCCCACTGAACATAGTGAGTCAAGGACTGGCTGCCCAGGGGCCCTGCTTTAGAAATTCTATATCCCCTGTGCTGTGGAGAGGATTTGAGCAAAGGACCTGGCAGGAACTCTGCCTTACAGAAGTGCAAAGATAGACCAAACAGTTTAGATAATCCGGTACAAAGATCCGATCTTGGCTGGTCTTTCGGAGGGTGGATATTGGGTTTGTTTTGATGAATCATGGCCGGCTGGAGGATAGGGATGGTATTTCAGCTTGGGCAAGTGGCTTCACAGAGTGAAGTTCAGGTCTCCATATGGGAAAGTAAAAACTCACTCATCAAAAATTAAGCCAGAAAACATCCTGAGCTTTATAGAAGACATGGCAGAATTATACCAGCCACATAACCCTCGTTATAGAAATGATTAAAATAACAGCTGGTAGGGGTTCAAAGGCGCAGCATTTTTCTTAAAATATTTATTTTTTGGTTGTAGTTGGACACAGTGCCTTTATTTTATTTATTTATTTTTATGTGATGCTGAGGATTGAACCCAGGGCCTTGCACATGCAAGCGCACTACCACTGAGCCACAACCCCAGCCCCAAAAGGTGCAGTATTTACAGAAGATAAATTTGACTCCTTGCAAATGAACCTCTGTAACAATGAGAGCTGTGCACAAGAGTGACTTACGTCTGAGGATGGTTCCCCCTATTCATAACAGGGAAATCATGCAAACAACACAAGTGTCCAATAGTTGGAATCAGTTTGAATATTATAATGTAATTGATGAAATTTACACAGCTGCTAAATTTGGATTTCAAAACATAGTTGAGGTTGTGGCAGACTTTTTAACACTATGTCCATGATCCCAGTTTTGTTTAACTGTGTGAGGACACTTTACAGCCAGATCTCCTGGTTCACATCCCTGCTCTGCCACTTACTGACTAGCTGTTATGTCTGGGGCAAGTGACCTGACCTCTCTGTGACCTGATTTCCCCATGTTTAATAGCGAGAGTGTTGACAGCACAGATTGAGTATCCCTTACCCGAAGTACTTGGAGCCAGAAGTATTTTAAATTTCAGATTGTTTCTGGATTTTGGAACATTTGCATGTACATTATCGGGAATCCTGGGGATAGGACTCCAGTCTAAACAGAAATTCACTTGCTTCATCATTCCTTTGTCAGCCGTCATTTTTGCTGTTGTGGTTACATGGACACAGGAGAAGACGAAAAGAAAAGAACTCCAAAAGTTTGGAGAATTCTTCATTTTTAACTTCTTTCTGGTATTTTCCAAATATTTAACTTCAGAATGTCAGAATATCGTTGTTTTTTTTTTAAGCATGGTAATAAACTGTATAAATCACTAATGCACTTAACTATCAAGGAATGTTCAAGAGGGAAGAGGGTCAGGGCCAGTGTTTGTTGAGTTTCTAGTGGGTTGGATCAGCCTTTCCAGACTAGACCTCAGAAGGCAAAACTAAAACAAACAAAAACTCCTACAAAAAAAACAGAAAGGAGTGTGTAAAATTAACTTGTAATAAAATACAAAAGAGGGCTGGGGATGTGGCTCAAGCGGTAGCACGCTCGCCTGGCATGCGTGCGGCCCGGGTTCGATCCTCAGCACCACATACAAAGATGTTGTGTCTGCTGAGAACTAAAATAAATAAATAAATAAATATTTAAAAAATAAAAAAAATAAAATACAAAAGAATGAACATGTTGTTACAATGCTGTTGTCCCCAAGCCAGAAGCAAGGAAAGCTTATTGACAGGTAGCGTGCCTCAGCTTCAGTGCTGGGTTTGCTGGTATCTGCTTCACCCCGTTTTCTAATTTGAAACCTGGGCTGCCTGGATATGGTAGCCATTAGCCACATGTCCCTTGCAAAATTTAAGTTAATTAAAATGAAAGAATGGAGAATGAGGAGATCAGTGGATACAAAATTTCACTCAGGAGGAACAAGCTCAGGGGCTGTATTTTAGCTCATGGTGATGCTAGACAATGATGTCTGCTTCGGAATTGCTGGGAGTGGAGTTTCAGTGTTTCTATCACAAAAACAGTGTGAAGTCTCTGTGTGTCAATGAGCTTGACTTAGCCATTCCACCGTCAATACACGTATCCTAACATCAGGTTGAGCACCACAAATAGATAGAATTTTTATCAATTTAAAAAATTTCTAATTTAAATAACAATCAGTTAAATTAAATTATGATTCAATCCCTTAGTTGCATTGGTCACATCTCCAGTGCAGCTGGTGACTTTCAGAGGGGACAGCACAGATCAACGTTTCCAGCATTGCGGAATGCTCCCTTGGACCACCCAGTTTGATGAACTTTTTCATCTCCAAAAATACTCACTTCCGCAGGGGAAGAGAAACATCTCCCCTTGGGTCTAAAAAGGGAAGCTTCATCCTAGAGGGAGAAGGGACCAAGTGAGAAAGATGTCCCCTTATTGTGAGCATCAGAGAAGTCAGGGCAGGTGACTGACAGTTACGGATTGCTCCTGCGTTTGCTTTCTCCTGATTTGATGGAAATGATAAAGAACCAATGTGATTTATGCAGAGGAAGCAAGGGCTGAAAACACGCACAGGCCGTCCACCGTGAGGGAGCTCAGTGAGCAACGTGGACAGCCATTCTCCTCTCGCACAGAGAGCACGGGCTTTTCTCCTTAGCTGAGGATGCCTCTTCGTGCAAGAGGTTCAAAGCTGCTGGCACTGATCACAGACAGATCTTGTCCACTCTTACTGATTGATTGATGTGATTCTCTAGAGCAGACAGGTGGGTATGGGCACGCTTGGTGCTTTGTCCAGATGGAGGTGTGGGTAGACAGTGTCACCGAAAGGGGAGGAGGACCTCTGGCCTTTGCAGTGTGAGGCCCCCCGGGTGACTCTCATGTATCCTGTCCTGCACACCCTGGGACATGCGAGCATTGGTATTGCTATAATCATCCCCAGTTTGGGGCTGAGGATGTGGCTCAAGTGGTAGAGTGCTTGCCTGGCATGCAGGAGGCACTGGGTTTGATCCTTAGCACCATATAAAAATAAAATAAAGATGTGTGTCCACCTAAAACTAAAAAAATAAATATTTTTAAAAAAATTTTAAAAATCACCCCCAGTTTATTGATCAGAAAATCAAAACTTAAAAAAAATTTTATGCATATATGGAGTATAACTTCCCGTTCTTGTGGTGGTACAGGAGGAGGAGTTTCACTGGTGGTGCGTTCATACACAAACATAGGAAGGCATGTCCAATCCATTGTACTGTCTTTTCTATTCCCATCTCCCGCCCTTCCCCTCATTCTCCTTTTGCTAATCCAGTGAACCTCTATTCTCCCCACCGCACCCCCACCTTATTGTGTGTTAGCATCACATACAGAGACAACATTTGACCTTTGGTTTTTTTTTTTTTTAGGACTGGCTTATTTCAGTTAGTATCATAGTCTCCAGTTTTATTCATTTATTTGCAAATGCCATTGGTTCATTTATCTTGATGACTGAGTAATATTCCATTGTGTATGTATACCACAGTTCTTTATCCATTCATCTGTTGATGGGCGCCTAGGATGGTTCCATAGCTTAGCTATTGTGAATTGAGTTGCTATAAATATTGGTGTGGCCCTGTCACTATCGTATGATGATAGAAAAATCAAATTTTGAAATGGGAAAATATTTTGCCTGAGTTTATAGGTGATGGGCTTAGACCTTTAAAACAGATTTTTATAGCTCCAAAGTTTATGGTTTCTCTTTGTATTTTTTTTTTTCTTTTTAAAATTATGAGGTCTCGGGCTGGGGCTGGAGCTCAGCGGGTTTGATTCTCATTACCACATAAAATAAATAAAGGACTATCAACAATTAAAAAAAATAAAAATAAAATCATGTGGCCTCTAATTCTTTCCCAAAACTTATTACTACCCTGAATTTGGGGACTGTCATACCCTTGCTTTTCTTTATATAATTTATTAAGTTTATATCATGAAAATTCATCTGGTTTAGTTTTACACATTTTTTTCAGTTCATGTAAATCTAATTGCTCTTACAACTCTGCTTGTCTGTTTATTTCTCTGAAGAATTCTGGGGAAGGAAGGATGGCAGGGTAGCAAGAATGTGGATTTTGGAATCATATAAACCTGATATTAAAATGCCATTTCTTCCACCCCTTAGCATTGTGTGGACTGAGGCAAGTAATTCAATGTCATAAAGCCTCAGTTTTCTCATCTAAAAAATGGAAAAAGTGAAATCTCTACAGTGCAGTTGTGATGTTAAAGTGAATTAGTGCATATATATAAATCCCTCCCTCTGAATCCACCCAGACAAGGGTAGTAATAAGGGGAAATTAGACAAGACAGCAAATTACAGGTGGGAGGTGCCTTTTAAGTTTACTTTTTATGACTGTGATGTTGTTATTTGAGGAGTGTGAGTTCCAGTCAGATGTCCTCTCGTGGTTTTTTATATTAGCAGTTGTTTCTTTCCCATGGAAAGATGAAAGGATCACAAGATTTCCTCTGACTTAAAAGACAGAACTGAACGAACATATCAGGCGTTTCTTGAATCAGCCATGATTAAGAGCAGCTATCTTTTCTAGAGCTTTCTGTAGCTGTGTCCTGAAATGGCCTGGGTTGCTCCTTCTGATGCTGATGTTTGTGATCACTCTTCCCAGTTGACCTTTTAGGCCTGCTGAACTGGCGTTCCAACTCCCAGAACATAAAGCACAACCTAAAGAAGTTGATGGAGGTGGATGGAGGAGAGATTGTTAAGGTAGGTTTCTGTCTTCAGCTGGAAACACACCTATTGTGTCATTAGTTCCGCATTTTAAATCCAGCCAGTCATTGTAGGTGTAGGACTTGTTTTCTGCATTGCTAAGCAACTGTGCCAATTTTAAAGAAAAGGTGATTTTTAACCCCATTCCACTGAAACCTAATAGACCCCAAATTTCTGCAGTGTGGAGCTGAATGAAAGCACCCAGATAACCTCTGTTTCTCTCGTCTTCAGTTTTTGCAAGATACACTGGATGCACTTTTTAACATAATGATGGAAATGTCAGACAATGAAACATACGACTTCCTGGTGTTCGATGCCCTGGTAAGCAGTTCAGCGTACCCACTAGTACTTATTCCTGGAATGGGGTAGTATTTCCCTATTAGAAGTAATTGCTATGAACATCCTCCTGCATAAACATGTTTATACATCTCTCTGATTATTTCTTTAGGCTGAATTTCCAGAAGTAAAATTAGAAACAAGTAGCTTACATTCCAGTCTTTTATTTCTTTGTTTTCTGTTAGATCTCACTTTTTGACCTGCCTTCGCTTTTTCATCAGGAAAAACGAAGGATTTAATTCAGTTAGAAATCAGGAAACATTTTAACTCACTTTGCTGTCGTCTGACAGTCTAAAACCAGGGGATGCCCTTAACAAGGAAGGCCATCACTGTGTGGCTGTGCACCCTGTATGTTCATGCCCGGGAGGCTGGATTCACAGGTCAGAGTCACTTCTCGGTGTCATTAGATACAGCACACAGCCCAGCAGACACCTGACTTTGTCATACAGAGTACTTAAATGTACAGCCTGTCCTAAGAACTGAAATCAGAACACGGACAGGAGATAACCAGAATCTGGGAAGGTCAGGGTGTCAGTGGAGGAGAAAAGGCAGACATGTCCAAACCAAGCTTCGTTTCCTTATTGCTGGGGGAAAAGTTCAGGTGGGGTTTTACCTGATGCTGCCACTGAGGAGGAAGGTCAGTTGCAGCTGTGGGTCATTTGACAGCTTGGAAAAATTAATCAGTTTAACAAATGGTCGGTGCATCAAAGCTAAGGATGTAAGATGAAGAGAGGAGACGCAGTATCGCCAAGGTGAAGCTGGGTAGGGCTTCCATGGAACAAGCTCTGGAGATAAGCCCTGTGGGGTGGGCAGCTGGCTGTGGCATGGATGGAAGTCCCAAGTGCCTTTACTTTGAACACTTTTGTCCTGTGTGGGGGCAGTGTGGTTGGTTGTCGCTGTGCACCTTATAGTCATCTACATAACATACCATGGGGAAGTGGGGAGGCAGACCTCGGGTGGAGTTCAGATGATCGGGGACACTCACGCTGTACTCAGAAAGATGTTGGGGTATTTCATCAGCTGCGAACTTGGCTGAGTTTATAATTCCCACGGGAAACCCCTTTCTGCATCCTCCTTCCTCGTCCCCTGACTGGTGTTACCTGTGTAAAGACTGCCCTCCCTTTGAGACAGCCCCTCCTGGGAACAGGGATGCCAGCTGGTTCTGGTGCAGGCATAGCACTTAGCACTGTGCCCATGTGTGATGGCCTCTCCGTGTTAAATAAATATTAACCTCCCAGACTTGGCCTCAGCTCCGGGATTGGACAGCAGGAATGCTGCGGAAATGAGAAAGCAAAAGCACCAGGTGTTTCGACCCAGCTTGTTGGTGGAAAGCCTGGGCTGTGCAGGGCTGCTAATGACCTTGTTCACCTTCGGCAGGTGTTTATTATTTCGCTGATAGGAGACATCAAGTTCCAGCATTTCAACACTGTACTTGAGACCTACATATACAAGCACTTCAGTGCCACTTTGGCATACGTGTGAGTACGGCTGGAAAGAACTGCGTGGTGTTGGGCTATCGGGTTTGTTCTCCAAAGGCTGGATTTTGGTGAAGCGAGAGGAACCTGCCTTTAGTAAATGTGTCTGTGAATGCAGAACTTGTCTCCAGGCCTCCTGGTGGAGAGCGGGGGCTGTTTAAGCATCACCCCTGGAAAAGGTGTCAGGCCCAAGCTTCCTTCTGGTTAAGGAAGAATGTCCATGGAGGAGTTGAAGGACAGGTGACCAGACTGAGCCCCCGAGGAGCTGATGTTGGCAAGATCCACAGGGGCACGAAGGGGTCCAGACAGGGATTTAAGCAGGACCAAGTCTGATAGAAGAGGAGATCCTGCCCTCAACCCTGTACCACAAGTGCTCGTTCTGTGGGATTGAGTACTCACAGAATTAAGATTTGACTTTTCTTTCTTTTGCATGGGGTGGTTTCTACCTGTTCTGCACTGTAGCCTTCTTTCTGTTGGGGTTGACAAAGGGAGCAGCTGACATTCACTCTGTGCTTCTCCCTGGAGTACTCAGCTCATGATGGCCTTGTATGTGGCCTGTCACCTGCCGCTTCCTTGAGTTCTAGTTATTGTGCAAAGCAATGCGATGAATAGCAACAGGGATGTAGCCAGATTGGTGAACAATATTTTGGACAGTGGCTCATGCCAGATCATGTCAGTTGCTACTGACTGATGTATCAGGTCAGATCTTCGAATCTGGTGTTTTCTAAGCCAAGCAAGCATGAAGGCAGAGAAACACAGGTTGAATGAAGGCATTGTCACGTAACATAGTTACCAGTTAATGTGATGGTTATAAACCCCCCAGATTGGGGAGGTGTAGACACACTACAGTAGTGTTCTTTCACTCAGTGGTTTTGCCTTCCAAGTCCTTGTTATGAGTGAGGACTGGTATCAGTAGATCCTCATCACACTGAGCCACATAAGACCTTCCAGGTAGTAGTAATCTGGGCTTATTTGCAATACTTGATTGATTCTGTGTGCTTCCTTTGGATTTTGTGCTAGTTCTAGGAAATGTCAGATATTCCCAGAAGGAAGGCCCAAAATATCAGCCTCCTAAAAAGCCTGAGTTAGCACAGGATCAAGACTTTTCATAGTCCAAAGACTCCAGAAGAATATGAAGAGCAATTTAAAATCCCAGATGAGTTTTGTGATGGATGAAGAGTCAGATTGAACTCCACTCCCCACGCACAGAAGTTTCCATCTGGCACCGAATTTATGGCTCTCCAAGGATTGGGACAGAGATTAAAATAGCGCCTTAATTTGAAGCCTTTCTACTTTTTCATTTCTAGATTTTCCTTTTTAATCCTACAAAGGGAAAGAAATCTTCCAGTATCTCTAAGCCAGAGGGAAGGTCCAAACTTCTGCAGCAGATGAGGAAAGGTGTTAGTTTGCCTGTCCAGGGCATCCTCCAGAGAACATGGCGGGAGTGGCTGCTTCCTACTCTGCCACCTCCCCTTGCAAGCCTCAGAGCACCCTGTTGCCAGCCAACTTAATTTTTCTTTCCTGTTCTTTTAAGGAAACTCTCCAAGGTCCTGAACTTCTATGTGGCTAATGCTGACGACTCCAGCAAGACGGAGTTGCTGTTCGCTGCTTTGAAAGCCTTGAAGTACTTGTTCAGGTTCATCATCCAGTCTCGAGTGCTCTACTTGAGGTAATGGTCACCGGGCTGAGATGTTTAAGCTGTCACCAGTCTCTCCACGTTGGTCCCCTTACTGCTCATGCTTGCCTCCGGCTCTGTGACCCTTTAGATCACCAAACTGCCAAATTTCCAAACTTCAGAGCTGCAGGTGGCGGTGGATCATGAGACCGTTGGAGAAGGTCCATTTGAATTCCCTTTACATCAGCAGAACCCTGAGGTAGTAGTGGCAGCAGCCCTCGGGGAGGCAGTGGCTAAGTGTGCCCCTTGCCGGAAGCCTTTCCTGGGGATGGTGTCTGTAGGGAGGCAGGTTTCCGGGGCAAGGAAGCTTGGGTTTTATTCCAGGGGTGGTGGGAGGCGTTGGGGAACTTCAGTTAGAGAAGCAATAGAATCCTGCTTATGTTTCAAATGATCATCTCTTCTGCTCTGTGGAAATGGATTATGGAAGGCTAAGACCGAGAGTGAGCGAGCACCTTTGCAGTGCAGCTGTGAGACGCTGTGGCTCTACCCTAGCTGCAGGCGGAGGGGGTGGACTGGTGTGTGCAGAGCCCTGACTTGCTGGTGGATTTGATGGGACAGTGAGAGGGAGGGAAGGACCCCAGATAACCTCAAGGTTTGGGTGGGCAGCGGTGCTATTTGCTGGTACTCGGAATGCCTAGAGCCCAGCGGGAAGATCCAGAGAGTTCTGTTTTAGGTATTCTGTTTTACTTTTGAGATACTCTGGGGACTAACTTGCAAATAAAGTTCTTTTCTAGTTCTACCAAGTGGGTGAATGAAGAATTACCAATTACCTCTGATTGTATAATTTTATCAGGGGAGGTCATACTCCTTGGAGACCCTATAAGTATCCCTTATCCAAAATGGTTGGGATCAGAAGTATTTCAGGTTTCAGATTTTTTAGAATTTTGGAATTTTTGCATATGCATAACTGAGCTATCTTGGGAATAAGACCCAAGTGTAAACATGAAATTCATCTACATCTCATAGCCCTTATACACAGAGCCTGAGGGTGATTTCATAGAGTATTTTTAGTGCACCTGCATTTTGACTGCAGCCCATCACGTGAGGTGAGGTGTGAGAATCTGTCCTTATGGCATCCTGTTGGCGCTCAAAAGGTTTTGGATTTTGAATCTTCAGATTGGGGTGCTCAGTATGTATGGGTGCATGAAGGAGACTAGTTTAAACATATCCATGTGTGCATGCATGTGTTGAAGCATGTGCTTAAAATTCAGAACCCACCATCCCTCCTCCTGAGCAGTCGTTGGTGAGGTTGCCACCCAGCGTAGAAGCACATGCACTACCAGTTGGGACTTTGGTGTTTTCTGGGCAATTGGTCAAAGACCTCTCCATTTCTACTCAGGAGAAAGAGCCAACTCTTGAGTTGATGGACAGATCTGGTAAAGACAGGAGGATACTTTAACCAAGGTGAGGGTGTGTCCGTGAGGTTGGAGGCCCTCGTGGTAGAGCAGGTCAGCATCGGTATGGGCAGTGTGGTGGACCGAGTGGACCCTGACTGGTTTTGTAGGCCTGCTGGGCTCAGAACATATCTGGGTTGAGGAGCTTCTTAATCCATTGTCTGAAACCTCAGCTTTTAGGGTCAAGGCGTGGTAAGGTGAGACAGGGTAATACGGAGAGTCATGCAGGGGAAGGAGGAGAGAACGTGGCCAGCAAGGGAACTTTGCTTGGGGTCCCTGCCTGCTGGACATTGTACGAATGAGCTGAGGAGACAGAAACGCAGGGCTCACCTGCTACATCAGGCATGGTGACTTCCTGATGTCCCTTCGTCTAGGAAATGCCCACAAACCACCAGCATGGACTCTATCCCCAAGCTTGGGGCCCTTCAGACAGCATCCTGGGATCTTTACCAACTGGCTAATCCTCGCTGACCAACTGGAAAGCCTTGTGTCAGGGCTTTATTTAAAACTTACTACCCTGCTCTTGTCCAGGTGGTACTGTCTTTTCAGTCTGAAGGGGGCTTACTCCTGGTCCCTTTGAAACCATCTTAGGGTGACTCATAAGAAGTCTTTCTGCATAATTTGAGGTGATCACCCATGAGGCGCTGACCTCCAGTTGGTTTTTGAGGCCACACATCTATTTTAAAATTTCTTTTAAAGATGGAAAATCTGACTGCTTTTTTCTTTTTTCCTGTTTAGATTTTATGGTCAGAGCGAAGATGGAGATGAATTTAATAACTCAATCCGACAGTTGTTTCTCTCTTTCAATATGCTCATGGACAGGCCTCTTGAGGAAGCTGTCAAGATCAAGGTCAGCATGGTGTCTACATAGGTAACCCTTCAGGCCATCAGCGTAGAGGGTCTGGACAGCATGGAACTGACCGTGGTGGGAGAGGAAGGAAATCAATCTTGGTTTAGTAGTAGTTAGAGTAAAGGAAAACCTGCACATTTCAACTTCAGTTACTTTTATATTTTCAAATGTCAGTTTGCCAAAGACAAGCTACCTGCTTAGACAATCCCTTGATTGGCAGTTACAACCTCTGTTTGACCCTGATTTCAGCACACAGATCCTAATGCTGTTACAGGTGACAGTTTTCTATTCTTAGCTGCCCCATTGCTCCCCAAAGTGCAAAGTCACCATTTTCTTTATCAGCAACAGGTTTTTTTAAAAAAAAATTTTTTTTTAATGTCAAATACATAATCCTTGAAGATTTCAATTTGAACTTTATTATTCATTCCTTATTCTTGATGGTAACTTTGTGCTGGAGACTTCAAGAATTTAACTTCTTTCTTTGGTAGAAAAATGAATTCCAAATAGATGGTGCCCGCTGGTTGTGAAGACAAGGGCTATACCTCCTGCATTTCCAGGAGAAAGATTTGAGGAGGTCATGATGAGCTTTCCCTTCCTTGCAAGGGCGTCTGTGTCCAGTTCCTATACGAAATCCAAGTGCAACCCTTTCTTTCTGGGATCAAACCATAAATTCTGGGCTGGGGATACAGCCGGGTGGTTGAAAGCCTGCCTAGTATGCACAAGAGCCTGGGTTCAGTCCCCAGCAACTGCGGTGGACAGGGGGCAGTAAATTTTGTATTGGTCTTACTTGGCAACTGAATTTGCCTTTGGTGTTTTCTTACAGGGGGCAGCTTTGAAGTACCTCCCTAGCATAATCAACGATGTCAAACTTGTGTTCGATCCCATTGAGCTCAGGTAAATAACAAAAAGCCATGGGTTTCTTGTCTGTGACAGAGAAGTAGCCCCCTGCTTGGCCGGGGACTGAACTCCTGCACATACTTTTCTTTTTCTCACAAGTATTAACAGAGCATCTTTTGCGCTCATTTCTGTGGAAGATGTGAAAGAACACACCAAGCCTGCTCCAGAGAGAGGTTTGCACTCTCTTTGGAGAAGCAAGACATGCAGACATGAAATTAACTCTAAAAGAAAGTACATAATAAGGTGCTTCCGGCCCTGTAACTAGCACCCCAGGAGTGCAGAGTCCTGTTGCAGTCGAGATTGGAGTGGCTTTAGCCAGAAAAGGTGTTTTACAAAAGCTGAGCGTGGAGGCAGGCCTGGAAGCAGCTGGTGGAAGTGGAGGTGCTTGGTGCTGTGGGCAGAGTCAGCTCCAAGGCGGGGCTCTCTAGGGAGCGGGATGCAGGCCCTGGAGACAGCCCTGGGTCTCTAGGGGGGTTTTCCAGGTGCACCTGTCCGGCCCAGGTCTTGTTGTGGAGGAGATGTTTGTGATGCTGCCTGTCGCTTGGCAGAGTGAGAGAAGTGACACTGCGGCTTCTCTTGCAGCGTGCTCTTCTGCAAGTTCATTCAGAGCATTCCTGACAACCAGCTGGTGCGGCAGAAGCTCACCTGCATGACCAAGATGGTGGAGAGTGGTCTCTTCCAGCAGTCAGGTGAGTCTCCACCCAGCCCGCCACCTCCTGAGGACCAGTCTCACACCTGCCGCAGTCACACTTGCCCTTTTATTTTATGTCAGTAATGCCTTGCCAGTTTGTGGTTCCTAAGTATCTCTGGGAGGCCAGTTTTAAGAAGCTGAAGTTAGTTTGGTATTCCTAGCAGTTACTAAAAGAGCCCAGTTGTGTTTAATCTTTAATTAGAGCAAATCAGCAAAGAATTTGTTCATTAGAAACCTTTGTCCTCAAAAGAGGAACCCCAGAAAATGACAGGCAAGCAGGAAAGGCAAGGGTTCCTATAAAAGAATTCCTGCTTGACCTGTACGTGGTACATCAAGGCACAAGCCAGGGGCAGGGCAGGCAGCAGCGTGGCTCTGGGCCAGATCCCACGAGAGGGATGGTGTGGTTCTCTTCTCAGTTGGGTTCAGTGATGTCGTAGCTGGGACTTGACTATGGTGGAAGCATTTCCACCCCAGAGATTGGCCAATGGGGCTTTTTTTTTTTTAAAGATGGGGAAGCTAGATGACTGGCATCCCACTGGGAATGGGCACAGAGGGGAGAAACCCCTTTCACTGATACAGTGCTTCTCCTAAGTACAGTGGAGTGTGTAGCCAGCTCATGTGACTCTGTGCTCATATCCCAGGCTGATAGGAGGAGGGGGCCCAGGACCTTCCTTATAAACCCAAGACTCGCTGGAGTGGGCAGCTGTAGGAACTTCTTTTGAAGCTGCCACAAGATCAGGGAGTCCCCTCATGTTAGGAATGTCGAGTGCCTGTCCAGCAGCCTCCTCAGAAATCAGGAAAGTTGAGTGGAGTGTTGGTAGGAGAATCCTCTGGCCTTGTCCCCAGCTGGTTATGGAGCTCAGCATAAATGAGGGACTTTCTCTCCATGTCAGCTTCTGTTTCAGTGGAAGGAACGGCTTGAATTAGATGATATCAGTAGCCTCTTTTGGCTCTGATATTTTCCGACCCCATTATTTTGTGTTTGGAAATTTCAAGTGTTTTTAGGTCATAATTGGAGGCAGAGCTGATGTCTTCAGAAAGCTAGTGAATGATCTCGAGTAAAAACCAAAGTATCGCTAAGCTTCCTGATAGACTGTGACAAGCTCTGCCTCTAAGGATGCCGAAAAGATAACTGAGACAATAAAGGCGGGTGTTTGAGTGCAAGAGGAAGCCGGTCACTAGACAGGACCAATGAGAGGATGGAGGCTCACTGCTAACAGTCACTGCTGTAGTGTCATAATCATGTGTTATCATAATGAAGACCCTAAAAGGAAGACAGTAAATAATGCCCTACTTTCTATAAGCCATATGCCTGCAAAGACATGAGTGGAATGTTCTAGAAACGTAGTAGGAAAGCTCAGTGTTTAGGAATTTTATAGTCAATTTTAAAAAGACTATCTGACTTGCTTAGTTTTTATTGGTTCCACACGACTTAGCGTTCATGTGTCAAGCTGGCATTTAAAAGGCCAGAGGGCTGGGGCCGCAGCTCCGTGGTAGAGTGTGTGCTTAGTGTAGGTTCAGTCGGCACCACCAAGTAAAGTAACACACAAATGACAAGTAAGCCTGGAGAGATTGTTAAGTAATTTAAGCAGGTGCAAAATCCTCGCCTTTCCCTCTAACAGGGGTATTTCATGAGTCTAGTCCTGGCACAAGGCTGAAGTTCTGTACCTAAAGTCTGTGCTCCTCAGTGCCCTGGAGAGGGACTCCATTCCTGCAGGGCTGGTCCCAAGAGCTCTGGGGACAGGCAGAGAGGTCTGCAGTGATGGCAGCTGGGAGGGGGCATTTCCTCGTGTGAGCTACTGCGTTTTCTCCCTCAGAGTGCAGAGACGTGCTATTGCCACTGCTGACGGACCAGCTCAGCGGCCAGCTGGATGACCACTCAAGCAAGCCTGACCATGAGGCCAGCTCGCAGCTTCTGAGCAGCATCCTGGAGGTGCTGGACAGGAAGGATGTGGTGAGTGCGGGCATCCCTAACATGATGGCACATGCCTCCGCTGGCCCTTTGCACCAGACAGGAGGGACTCCGTGACCTTCTAGTCTCTGGTGGTTTAGAACCGGGCATTGGGCCCAGGGGTGCCCATTTTAGAGGTGCCTAGAGAAACCAGAGCTTTCTGTACAAATCTAGGTCCAGGCGAGGTCAACTCACAGCTGGAAACGCCACTGGCTGGTCTCCAGCTTGCCCCGTCGGCCCACCCTGAGATCCCTGCAGGAGCTCTCAACAGCTCTGTTAATTTCTGCCAAGACCCATGGAGAATTTGTTTCTCTGTAGGAAGCTCTGACCTCCTTCTCATGCCTGACCCTATTGTAGAAATCCCTGCTCCTGAGAACTTCTGTTTCTATCTTCTCTCCCACAGTGTGGCTCTCTCTGGAGCCCAGTGGAAATCATGTTTTTTCTGTGATCTTTCCCCTCACCCCCAGCCCCCAGGCCGTGAGGCTGAACCTGCCTGGGTTTCCCATCTCCTGGCCATGGCGCTGCCCACAGGCCTTCGTGGGCCCCAGGGAACTGGCTGGAGGACTGTGCCCGGCCAGCACCCTGCCCCCCGGAGCTGATCTGGGCTGGGATCCTGGGCTCCTTGCCCCCTCCTGAGTGTGCATCTCTCTCCGTGGGCCTCGGTTGTTTTCCTAACCCCACCCAGAGCCCGGCCCGTGCCTGGAGGAAAAGCTGTGTCATCCCCCAGAGAGGCAGGTTTTCTATGTCACTTTTACCCACAGAAAGGAGAAGCAGGTAAAAGAAAAGCCGGGAATGAGGGCAGAAAAGCTAAAGATACTTAATACTTGGATGAAAATACACATGACCATGGACAGTGCAACAGGATGTCACTTATGTGGTCCCTGAAAGAGTAGAACCCACAGAAACAAAGACTGCAATACTGATTCCATGGGGCTGGGGGATGGGGAGGTGTTGGTCAAAAAAAACAAACTTTCATTCATGAGATGAACAGGTTCTGGAGATGTAGTGCATATGGATGGAGATGGATGTGTTACTTAATTCAATTGCAGTGATCACAATCTCCCAATGTATAGCTATATCAGCTATATATATATGAAGACATAGTCACCCGTTAAATATTTTTTGAAATAGTGAAATGTTAACAAGCAGGAAAATCCATAGTGGTGATTTAGTTATTCAAGCATTCAGCGGGAATTTTCAAATATCTGTCAGGAAGCAAGCATGGATAAGGTCCACAAGGTCAAGTTGAACACAGGTAGTTTGGAGCTGGGTGAGTGTCACATCTAACTAGAGATGAGGAATGAAGGAAAGAGGAGGATGCACAATTATCTGGCACCGTCATGTGCATTCACACAACCAATCCTGTAAGGAAACCTTATTATCCACCTTGTGCAGCTATGAAAACTAAAGTAAGGCAAAATCGAATAGGGGCTCAGTCACAAGGGACAGAAGGCTGAATCCTCGTACTGGTCTTCTCAGTCTCCCAACAGCATCCCACAGACTGGGTTCCTTAAATGACAGAAGTGTATTTTCTCAAAGCTCTGGAGGCTGAAGGTCTGGGTCAGGGTGTGGGCTCTGTGACGTTCTGGGAGGGAGCCCTTCTCTGTGGCTGTCTTCTCCCTGCACGCACATGTGGCCTTTCCCCAGTGGGTGCACACACAGCCAAAGAGAAAGCTTGTGTGTGTGAGTGAGCAGGGTCATTAGGACCCCACCCTCCTGTCCTCCTGTGGCCTGAATTGCCTTCCAGAGACCCCATCTCCAAGCACCATTGGATGTTCAGGCTTCAAGAGGGACACAAAAATTCACCTCCTAACAGACCTCTTGCTTGCCTTTCTTTGGGTTTTTGCCCAATGCAGAAGGTGTTAAGAAGTCTGTACCTTTGCCTCTCCTTGCCCACCTGTGTCTGATTGTCCTGGGCACTGCTCTGCTCAGCATCAGAACCGGCACCTCGGACTTCCTGGAACTGTCCAGCCACAGAGAGCTGTCTGAGTGCACGGGAACCATCAGGGTTTTTGGGGGGAGCACCTGTCCCTGCGTGTCCACGCTCATCTTTTAAACGATCTGATCATTTTCAGTTGATTTGCTCTTATAAAGTTATGTGTTATTCTGTGACTCCATTTCCCCTTTTGGAGAAGAGATTGCTTTTTAGGGAAAAGAGGAGTCCTGTGACTGAGGTCCCCTTGAGAAGGCAAACCTGAGAAGGCAGAAATGGGGTCACACCTGTGTTTCACCCCCAGGGTCCCACGGCCATGCACATTCAGCTGATCATGGAGCGGCTGCTGAGGAGGATCAACAGGACCGTGATCGGGATGAGCCGACAGTCTCCCCACATCGTGAGTGTCTCTCCTGTGCACCATCCCACGGCCATTGCTGCTTCTCTGTGTCCTGCCTGCCTAGGGGACCAGTGGCTTCAGATGAAGTTCACCTGGCCCCGTGTGTCATGGCTGATTGGTTATAACCCTGAGCAGTGCTCACTTCTGACATGGATTTTCTATTCCTTGTTCAGTTGTTTTCCCTCCAGGGAATCCCAAGCAGCTTTTATTTCCAGTAAAAAGACGATGCTTTAAAGAACTTGTGTTAAGTGTCCTTTTCGAAAGGCCAGTGTAGCACTAGCCTCTTAGGTTCTATCTACTGGGCCCAAATGGATGTCAATAAAAAAGCATAAATGAGACCAGAGATCATTGTTGAAAGGCCCAGTCAGATCAGCATTAAAATAAAGCATCATCTTTTCACTATATTAAAAGCTAAGGTTAGATTTTAATTAGAAGTCATAGGGAAAGAACTATCTCAAATTGCTTTTGTAAGTACAAAAATATTCATTTATTAAGAATCTGTAAGCCTCTGGGCATTGTGGCTCACGATTATAATCTCAGAAGCTTGCGGGGCTGAGGCAGGAAGATCACAAGTTTGAGACCAGCCTGGACAATAAGGCCCTATCATAAAAAATAAAAAGGGATAGGGATGTAGTTCACTGGTAGATTGCCCCTGGGTTCAATCCCAGTGCCAAAAAAAAGAAAAGAAAAATCTGTAAGCTGAGCATTCTTCTGGACACTGTGGTGTATGTGTGAGCAGAACAGATTAAAACAGAACAAAACAAAACCCTGCCCGTGAGCAACTTGTACTTAGAAGTAATGATTATGGCTAAATAAACCGCAGAGTCTCTCTTAGAAGGAGACAGGGCTTGGAGAAAGATATGGAGAGAACAAGGGAAGAGTGAGGAGGCAGGGATTCAAATAACATGACAAAGAACTGCTTCCCTGAGAAGGTAGAATTTCAGCCAAAAACTTTGAAGGAGGTAAGGGAATTCCACGTGGCTCCCTGGGAAGGGCCTTCAAGAAGGGCCGAGCCAGGGCAGAATCCCTAAGACGTGCCTTGCAAGAGTCAAATGGGGGTGAGAGGAGACCCAGGCAAGAAGAAAGAGCAGTTAGTGAGGCAATTAAAACAGAAGCTTCTCCAAAACACTGTGAACGGATTCAGACCTTGTAGGAAAGGATTGGTTTGTGGCTGGGCTAATCCTGGCTCTCTGGTCTGAGATCATGTGATTACGGGGTGTAGAAAGGAACAGGAAGACTGCAGATGTGTGCAGGTAAAACCAAGTCTCTCACCTCAGAGGTAAGAATAGGATTGTTGGCCAAGAAACTCTCATTTCCCATGAGGGCTCGGCACAGCGGTGACCCCTACCACTCTGGGCACTGAGGGGAGGATCACACGCTAGAGGCCAGCCTCAGCAATTTAGCAAGACCCTGTTTCAAAATAAAATGGGCTGGAGATGGAGTTCAGCGGTAGAGTGCCCAGGATTTAATCCCCTGTGCTGGGTAGGAAAACAATAATAGCAACACACACACACACACATTCCACACCACACAATGAGTGAAGAAATCTACAAATCTGTGTTTCTCTTTACTTTGGGGCCCTAATGATGCAATTAATTACTTAATCAAAAACAAAATGCATGCTTAACTAATCTGTCTCTTCATGTACTGTTAAAAGTTGAAAATAACACCGAGAGTTGGGCGTGGTGGTGCATGCCTGTGTTCCCAGCTGCTCTAGAGGCTAAGGCAGGAAGATTGAAAGTTCAAGGCCAGCCTCAGTAACTTAGTGAGACACGATCTTTAAATAAAAATGCAAAAAAAGGCTGGGGATGTGCCTCAGTGGTTAAGTCCCATGAGTTCAATCCCTGTACCAAATAATATAATAAGAAGAATAAGAAGAAAACAAGTTGAATCATTTATGTGCTTAAAAGGAAGTTGAGCCGGGTAAGGTGGTGCACACCTGTAATCCCAGCAGCTTGGGAGGTTGAAGCAGGAGGATCATGAGTTCAAAGCCAGCCTCAACAATGGTAAGGCACTAAGCAATTCAGTGAGACCCTGTTGCTAAATAAAATACAAAATAGGGCTGAGGATATATGGCTCAGTGGTCGAGTGCCCCGAGTTCAATCCCCAGTACCTGCCACCACCCAAAGATTGGGTTGAGTTTTGGTTTTGGATTTTTAACTAGTTGCATAGACTCTACTGGTGGAGCATCCCAAATCCAAAAATCCAAATTCCAGTGGGATCCAAAATCCCAAACTCCTGGGAACATTTCAGATTTTCAAGTGAGGAATGCTCAACCTGTCCCTCTCTTTTTCTTATTAGTCTTCTCCATATTCAGATTTGTTTAACTGATCTATTACCAACATTTCTCCATGGACTTCTGTACTACAACCCAGTCTCAGCAAGAAACTGAAAGTCCCATAGGTATCACAATTAGTTGGTGAGCTAGCCGAGATCTTAAATCGGTGTCCCTTGACCTTCAGGATGCTACAAGCTCAAAGCTGTAGGTGCTGATGGGAGCCTGAGCCCTTCCATCTCTCCAGCTCTACCTGGAAGGAGGTAGCGTGAAGGAGAAATCTCAAACCAAGTGCCCTTGATCCTTAGGAAGCAGCATGTTTCCAGCTCAGTAGGGTCAGAGGTCATGGGGCTGGGAAAACCAGAGTCCAGGTTGTCCTCATCTTGTTCGGTCATTTGGTGGTCTGAGGAGCCTTGGATTGTCCTTTCTTCTTCCTCCAGGGCAGCTTTGTGGCTTGCATGATTGCCATCCTGCGGCAGATGGACGACGCCCACTACAGCCATTACATCAGCACCTTCAAGACCAGGCAAGACATCACTGTAAGTTGTCTTCACCTCATCCTAGTAACTTGAGACCTCTTATATTTGGTATAAATAAATAAATAGATAAGTATCTGATACCGAGTGTCACTAGACCAGGGTTTTCCTCCCTCCCACCTCTAGGGCTCTGTGGCTGCCCACAGTGCCGAAGAAAAGCACAGTTGATTCTTGCTCTCTGTCCTTGGTGGAGTTGAAGAAGGGGGTAGGACATGCACCCGAGAGTCCTCACACACTGCCTGAACCTCTTGGATTTAGAGAGAGCCCTCAGGTTTGAATTCTGGCTACTCACCATGATTGTATAGTGGTCAACACCTGAGAAGAGTGGCTACTTATAATAACAATTTTAATATTCTTGGGACATAAAATAAATTAACAAATATATTCTAGTGATTTTTTTTTTCAAATTTTCTTCAGAAAGCAGGTAGGACATTCTAAATTCATAGCTTGACTCCGTGCTTCTGCAGGAAGAAACCAGGCATATCTCCTCTGTGTGAGATGATGGAGAGCTCTTCCCCTGCCTCTCTCCCTCCCAGTGGCTGTCACCCTCCTGCTCTCTTCTGGGTAATTCCCATGGAACGCTTTGGCAGTGGGCTTCAGCTGGAGGTCTTGGGAGTCTTGCTGTATGAAGTGATGACCAAGAGCTGAGCGTAGACCATGTCGGGTGCAGATAACTGGCATCTCCAGTTGATCCATTTTCCATTTTAATCACAAACCAAGAAATCATGTTTATTGAACCAAATAATAATAATAACAGAATGGTCAGTAAATGGGTAGAAGCATTGATCACGTATGGTGAAAAAAAATGGTAAACTCATGGAAAATTCCAGAACCGAGGATGGGTAGGCCTGACTCATTATTGTACCAGAAGATCAAATCAAGTGCAGCAAGACGAGGCTGGGCTGTAGCTCGGTGGTGCACGAGCACCTGCTTAGCGTGTCTGAGGCTGTGGGTTCAACTTCCAGCAGGGCAAAAAAATAAAACAAAAACACAGCAAGTTCCTGCCAGAATCATTCCTGTTTTGTATGCCACTGACATCAAGAGTAGGGGAAACTAGCAGATTAACCAATGTCTTAGAAAAATGTCTTTAGAAATAGCTGGGCATGATGGTGCACGCCTGTCATCTTAGAGGTTGGGAGGCTGAGGCAAGAGGATTGCAAATTCCAAGTCAGCCTCAGCAACTCAGTGAGACCCTGTCTCCACTTAAAGTACAGGAAAGGGCTGGGGATGTGGCTCAATGGTTAAGTGCCTCTGGGTTCAACCACTAGTGCCTCTCAAGCACCACATCCTTACTGCGGTGCATTGTGCTTCAAAGGTGGGACTTGTGGGTTAGTGCCCGAGAATGCAAACTGGATTTTCATTTCAGGGATCCCAGTGCAGAAGGTCTAAATGGGTCTAATGGAAGTGCTTTCAAAACTTGATAGCTTTGCCTTTTAGTCTTATTGCTTTTTTTTTTTTTTTAATTCCTTTTTGCTCACAACCACCTTTGGATGAGAAGAGCTCTGTGCTGTGTTTACTTAGTTATTAGTTATTCCAGTTATCGTGAGCCACCATTACCATCTCCTTGTAGGGGCTGTGCAGGGCTCTTCTTCCAGGCTACACATGAGAACCTCTGTGCAGCTGGAAGGCTCATAACTGCTGCTTGGTGCAGTGCTTCTGATCTGTTCTAACCAGGACAAGGAAGAATTGAACTCCCATCTGTCCGAAGTTTCCATTTTCTCACAGTTGTCGATTCATTTTTAAGCAGGAGAGCTATTTCCAGACAGCACATGCCAGATGAGGACTAAAGAGAAACAAGAGCTGGAAACGTGGGGTCCACGAGCCCCGGGTCCCTTGCAGCTCTCCTGCTTCCTGGTTCTCTGGGCTCAGACAGGTCATTTAATGTGTCAGCCTCAGGCACACCACTTGTAAAACGTGGACGACCTTTTTGTCCTTGTTTTCCTTATAGAATCATGCAGTGCAAAAATCGCCTCATATGGTAGCCTGCTCTGAGAACGCATCGTTGTCCCTCAGTCCTGTAGGACAGGCAGTGACCTGGGACAGGGAAGGACTGGTGCTGATGTGGGTTCTTCTGTCCACACGCTGGAGGAGCGGCAATGAAGGAGCCGTCTTCCCCAGCTGTCCCTCCTTGCTTCTCCGCAGGACTTCCTCATGGAAACCTTTATCATGTTCAAGGATCTGATCGGGAAGAACGTCTATGCCAAAGACTGGGTGGTGATGAATATGACGCAGAGCAGGTGAGGACCTGGGGCCCACCTGGAGGCCTGGCTCTCCCCCGTCTGTGTGAGGGCTCGGGGAAGTGCTGGTCCGTCTCTGCTCGGTCCTATCTTCCTGCTCCTGTGACCCTACGTCCGTGCCAGGAGCTCCACTTCACCTGGGCTTCAGGGTTGCCCCATTCAGGGTCTCTGCTGTCTTCGGTGGGGACTGGTCTCCTTGTCATTCTCCTACTGATTCTTTGCCTCTGCTGCTCCCTCCATGTCAGTGTCCTCCCCATGACCTCTCAACCTCCCTCCCAACACCTAAGACCATTACCCCCAGTGCAGGCCTTTCTGGCCTGGATATTGTCTTCTCTTCCTTGGATTCTGGGTACCCCCTTTGAAGCCCTCTCATGGAATTTGTTTCACGTTCTCTATTGGATCAGGGCTCAAGTTAGATGTTTAAGATTCCTCCTTGGTGTTGTAACCCTTGGAAAACAGGAAACTGTGTATTTGACAAAAGCACCTAAGTGAGTGCCTTGCAGATGCTGGCCCACGACAGATACTGGTTGAATAGAAGTAGATGAATGGGATATATATGTATATTATAATAAAAGAACTTCAGATTTTTCTCAGTGAGCTAATTAAGACAAATCACTTTATGATTATTATTATTAACCATTCGTGGTCCTGATGTCTGATTAGAAAAAACCCTTCCCAACTCTGCAGATTAGAGGGAAAGCAGCACCAGAAGCCCTAGACTCTAAAAGAGAAGCATTTCTGGGCATGGTAATGCACACCTGTAATTCTGGCAACTTGGGAGGCTGAGACAGGAGGATCACAAGTTGGAGACCAGACTCAGCAGCTTAGTGAGACCCTGCCTCAAAATAAAAAATAATGGGGATATGGATCAGTGGTAAAATTCCCTGGGTCCAATCCCCAGTATCATAAATAATAAAGACATAGAAGCATCACTGCGGAGTATGAATTGCCCACACAGGGGCCCAGGCCACCTGCGTGTCACCTCAGCTAGCTGAGACTCTGCCAGTCAGTTGGGAAAGCTGAACTTCACAGACTCTGCCCGGTCGTAGCCTCAGAGGACACTGGCAGATCAGATGGCCTTTTCTTGCCAGTCTGGGATGGTGTGGCTTTATTTTAACATGGAGAGCAAAGTGTCCAAGGGCGGAGTCGACCTCCTAGTCTGGTGCTTTCTTCCCCAGGGTGTTTCTTCGCGCCATCAATCAGTTCACTGAAGTCCTCACCAGACTCTTCATGGATCAGGCCAGCTTTGAGCTTCAGGTGAGCGCCCGACCTGCTGGAAGTCCCTGGAAGTCTCAGCCACAGCAACAGAACTGTTGCGGCTAGGAAAGGGCCACCTCCGGCTCCCTCATCGTCACCGGGGAAGGGTTCCATGGTTCTCTCTTTTCCTGAGGGGCACACTCCTGTCACATGGTTCTCCAGCTGCAATAAGATGGAGGTTTTTCTTTCTGGAAAAGCAACATACACAAAAAGAAAGGTAAAGAAGTAATACTGAGAAAATACAGCTACACAAAAACAAGAAGGTTGGGCTGGGGCTGTAGCTCAGTGGCAGAGCACTTGCCTGGCATGTGTGAGGCACTGGGTTCAATTCTCGGCATCGCATATAAATAAATAAATAAATAAATAAATAAATAAAGTAAAGGTCCAAAGACAACTAAAAAATATTTTTAAAATAAGTAAATAAATAAGAAAGTAAAAAATATAAACAAAGTAATCTCCCTTTTCTGTGGGGGATGTATTCTACAGCCACCAGGGGATGCCTGAAGCCACAGAGTCCTGAGTCCTATAGATAATTATATGTATGATAAAATTTAATTTACAAATTAGGCACAGTAGGATATTAACAAAAATAATAGTAAATGCAACAATTATAATGAGATACTATAATACAAATGTGGTTTTTCTTTCTTGAAAGAATCAAAATAAATATTAATACTTTTGGACCTCGGTTAGCTGAGGGGAACTGAAACCTCAGAAAACAAAATTGGGATAAGGGGATGACTGCAGGCTTGGCCTTCACTGTTAACATCGTGGTGTGATCCTCTGTGTATAGGCACAAATGTACACAAGCATGTGGTTGCAAAAATGTGCTTAGACAACTCCCCACCTCAAGTGGTTCTGTCCTAGGCAGCAGTTCAATGGGCACTATTCTGGTGTTGCTTTTTATTTATACGTGCGCTATTTGGAAAGTCCACAGTAGTTGTAAAGCCTTTTTTCCTTTGTCCAACCAACATCAAGAGTATTTACGTGTTCTCGTCCCTGGCGAAGGCTCACCAAGTCCCAGCTCTTGTAGAGTCTGTGTTCTGTTGGTGATGTGATTTTTCTGAGTCTTGTGCTTTTTTGTATCAGTAGCATTTTTAGCATGGAAAGTCGTTAGGATACACACACAGGCGTATACATCTATATAAGTAGACACATATGTGCGTGTGTATATATACGTATTGCCTTAGGTTTATATTTATGCACATACACACCCACCAAAACAGACTCGCGCTGTGCCTTGCTCTGGGACCTGTTAATTTGTTTTCTTTACTTCTTTACTTCATCATTTTTTCAATGATGTTAACTATTTTTGCAGTAGTTTTAGCAGCTGAATGCAGTCCACTACATGGCCGGTTAATGATTTATTTAACCAAATTCTTCCTGAGAACATGTAGGTTGTTTCCATTTTCTGTTATGTTAAACAGCACTGTGGTGACCTTCCTTGTTTTAAATACTTTTAACTCTCCATAGTTATTTGGTCAGGAAGAAGTCCTGAAAGTATTTGCGAGTTCAGACGTTTGGCACAATTTTAGGGCTTTTGATACATGTTGCCAAACCCCCTACTATAAATAGGTGTACTTCTTGGCAGTACTTTTTCCCTATCCCAGGAGCAAAGAAGAACGTAAAAGTTTGAATTGGCAATGGTGGGGTTGGGGGGAGAGCTTAATATTAACTCTTAATACTTTTACGATGGAGTCAAACCCAAGAGAGAACTAAAAGTCCTGTGGATCTTACTTTTTCATGAATCCCTGGTTACTGACTTTCTGCCACGTGTCTGTTTTAGTATGACCCACACTAATGTTATTTTCCATTTCTTTGTGCTCACATAATGTTGAACAGCTCTGGAACAATTACTTCCATTTGGCGGTAGCGTTTCTCACCCATGAGTCCCTTCAGCTGGAAACCTTCTCACAAGCCAAGCGCAACAAAATTGTAAAAAAGTAAGTGTCCCTGTAAACTTGGCGAAGAAGGGAAAGGCAATTCTTCTGTGCACATTCAGAGCTGTACTTTGGGTGCTGCAGGAATACAGTGTTCAGTGACTACCCATAGTAGTCGCTAAGGGTAGTGATGGTGAGGTAGGTCTTAGTCACTTGATAACTCAGATTCCCTCGGGTCACATTTTTTTTTTTTTTCCTCACATTCCCATCAATCATCTGCCTGGAAAGGTGCCCTGTGTCTTCCTGGGCCCAGGAACAGCTGCCATCTGCTGGCAGCTCATCTGAATTGCAGGTGCAGGGCCTCCTTCCACTTCACAAGGGAATCCCTTTGGCACAGTCACCTACTGTCACTTCATCAGAGAAGCCAAGAAGCCAACAGCCTGAAATTCCAGATTTCTGGCTTGGAATTTAGAATGGACTCCGGTCCAGGAATGTGGGAGATTTAGGGACGGGTTTCGCTGTCTTCGTCTCTGGTCTGTTTCGAGTTAATTTAGATCCTGGAAAGGCAAAGCAGTGTAATTTAAGAGTGACTTGAGGAATTTTTTATTTAAATTTGAAATTTTATATCCATTTCCCCTGGTTGGAATATCCAGGGTTTTAGGCAAATTATTTAACATTTCTATATTTCTGTTTCCTTCCTAAAACAACTGAGGTTGGTAGTGACTGTGTTTTGGTGGTTGCTTTTGTTTTTGGTGGTACCGAGGATGGAACCCAAGGGCATTCTACCTCTGAGCCACATCCCCAGCCCTTTCTTTTTAAATTTTTAAAAATTTGAGAGAGGCTCTCACTTACTTGCTGAGATTGACCTCAAACTTGTGATCCTCCTGTCTCAGCTCCCAAGCTGCTGGGATTACAGACATGTGCCACCATATCCAACAGGACTGTGCTTTAATATACAGTGACTCAGAAGGCTGAGGCAGGAGGATCACAACTTTAAGGCCAGCCTAGGCAACTTAGCAAGATGCTCTCTCAAATTAAAAAATAAAAACAGCTAGGGGTGCAACTTAGTGGTAGAACACCCCTGGGTTCCATCCCCAGACACACACGTACACACACCACACACACCAAAAAGAAAGAAGAAAGAAAAAGATTACAGTATGACCTGTTTTGTAGATTTCCCCAAGGGGAAACACTTATTGCCTCCATCCCTTGATCATTTGCTTTAGAATGTCTTAAGTAACAATGTAACTTCTTTAAGGGATGGATTTGATTTGGGTTCAGTGACTGTAAGTGAAGTTACTTGATTGCAAGTCTGAAAAGAAAAAAAAAAGGCTACTTAGGATTAATGATTCTGGTTCTGGTTAAAAAAAAAAAGTATGACAGTGAATAGAAACCATGTAAAAACATGTGTGTATAAGGGCAAAGATAAAATTTGGGGAATAAAACCAGTTATATTAAAGTTATAGAAATGTGAGGATTTGTTTCAAGCTTTCTTAAAGTAGGATCAGCAGAAGTATTAAACAATAGGAATAGTGATACTTCTGTCTGTTAAATCCCAAATGTCGATGACATAGGCTCATCTAACTTTAATAATAAAATAAGGTCAAGCATTTTGTTAGATGGAATAGTTACAATTTTTTAAATGCGATTTTTTAAAAAAAAATAGTGGCTTCTTACTAGACATCAAAATGACCAAATTTATATTATGTACTAATATGTGTTGCAGTGAGTTCCATTATTATGTTCCATTACTACAATGCACCAATGATAAAAGGAAGAAAATATGCGGGCTTATGAAGGCATTTACAAAGGAAGAATTTGAATAAAAAAATGTTGGGGCAATCAAAGCGTCACTAAAATAGTCTAGAGCAGTGACCACAGGATGGTTTGTGAGCCGGAGTGTTCCCAGGAAATATCAGGACCTACCCCATTTCCGAGTTTCAGCCCCCAGCCTCTGATGTGGTAGGTGGGGTGGGGCAGCCTCAGGCGTAAGAATTCTTCAAAGATTTCCAGGAGGATGGGCTTGGCCTTCACCCAAGAATCACCTAATCACTTGGGAGTCACTGCCTAGACCAGTGTTTCTCTGCTCCTCCTCAGTATCTGCTGGTGAGCTGTATGACTATCTGCACCATCTGTATAAAAGCAGTAAGCTCTGGGTTTTTTCCCCCAAGCACAGGTTTTCCCCCTTCCTGGGCTCTATTGCCCTGAGAATGCCGCTTCCCAGGGTGAGAACTTTGAAGAACATGCTAATACAGGTGTACATTACCCCTCAGTATGACTATGTACCTCAGCCTGTTGGCAAGCCCCCATCACATCCCTGTGGAAGCCAGCCCTCAGTCCTCTTCCTCTTTATTAGTTTATGTTGAGTGTTTATTATTCTTTCCCCTGAAATCAGTTTGTTCATCTCACTTTTCTTTTTTGTACCAGGGATTGAACCCAGAGGTGCTTAACCACTGAGCCACACACCCCACCCTTTTTTGTGTGGGAGGGTGGTTCCGGGGATTGAACTCAGGGACACTCCACCACTGAGCCACCTCTCCAGCCCTTTTTTGTATTTTATTTAAAGACAGGGTCTCACTGAGCTGCTTAGCACCTTGCTTTTGCTGAGGCTGGCTTTGAACTCACAATCCTCCTGCCTCAGCCTCCTGAACCTCTGGCATTACAGGTGTGCGCCCCCCGCACCCGGCTCATCTCACCTTCTTAGTTATTTTTCAGCACTTACATTTGGTTCCTTCTGGTCATAAGTCCTCTGTCCTCCATGGGGTTCACTGGGGCTGATTTCGGTACTGCCCTCCTCTCTTACAGTGTCAATGTCTCATGTGTGACCCAAAGGAGCACAGGCTAATTTTATTCCCCTCACCATTAAACACGTAGTCCTCTGTGTCTGTGAGTTCTGCATCCCCCAACAAAGGGATCAAGAATATTTGGGGGGAAAAATTACACCTGTATTGAACATGTATTTCTTGTCTTCATTCCCCAAGCCATCCACTGTAACCAGTATTTGCACAGCATTTACACGGTATGAGATCTTACTGGTAATATGGAGACACTTGGAAGTGTGCAGGAGGATGTGTATAGCTATGTGCAAATACTGTGCTCTTCCATATAAGGAGCCTGAGCACCTGCAGATTGTGGAGTCTGAGGGGTCCTTGATCCAGTGCCCGCTAGAGACTCAGGAGTGACTTTGTTGCATGCAACCCGTTCCTCCTGCAACTCCTCCTCTCTGTTTATGGTCTTCTTCCTAGATATGGGGACATGAGGAAGGAAATCGGCTTTAGAATCCGGGACATGTGGTATAACCTGGGTGAGTGTCTGACCTTGAACGGGCCCCAGCACAGCTCCATTGTGATAAGCACCCAAGTGGACTCCTATGTTAATTCAAATAGTCCTGAGATGTACTGGGTGCCTGGAGGTAAAAGCTCTCCTGTGGCTTTCACACCCTCACCTCAGCTGGGACATTGACGTCGAGCCCTCTGTTCCTACGGCATCCAGTTCATCAGTATTTCATCCCTCACTCCTGCACCCAGGTGCCTTACCCACATGCGCTCTTTCTTTTCTTATGGGCCCTGTAGAGGAAGATTATGACGCTCGACTTAATAGCAAAGTGATTGTTTCATATCCTCATTTACCTTTATTTCAGGTCCCCACAAAATCAAATTCATCCCATCGATGGTGGGTCCCATTCTGGAAGTCACCCTGACCCCCGAAGTGGAGCTGCGAAAAGCCACCATCCCCATTTTCTTTGATATGATGCAGTGTGAGTTCAATTTCAGTGGAAATGGCAATTTCCATATGGTAAGGAGTGGTGGACTGGAATTTTACTAATGCACCGAAAATCAGCTCTTACTTATTTTCTTTCTGTACGGAAAAGCCATAGCCTGAGTGATACAGATCAGCGTTGATCTAAAAATTCCTTTTACATTTCATTGTGTCAAGTGATCGGAGATGTAATCCAACATTCCAGCCCAGAGCCCAGAAGGGCTCTCTTGACTCCTGCCTATGCTACAGCAGCCTGTCTCCCCTCCTGTCTTACAGCAGCCCGTCTCCCCTCCTGTCCTACAGCAGCCCGTCTCCCCTCCTGTCCTAGAGCAGCCCGCCTCTCCTCCTGTCCTACAGCAGCCCGTCTCTCCTCCTGTCCTACAGCAGCCCGCCTCTCCTCCTGTCCTACAGCAGCCCGTCTCTCCTCCTGTCCTAGAGCAGCCCGCCTCCCCTCCTGTCCTACAGCAGCCCGTCTCCCCTCCTGTCCTACAGCAGCCCGCCTCTCCTCCTGTCCTAGAGCAGCCCGTCTCTCCTCCTGTCCTACAGCAGCCCGTCTCTCCTCCTGTCCTACAGCAGCCCGCCTCTCCTCCTGTCCTACAGCAGCCCGCCTCTCCTCCTGTCCTACAGCAGCCCGCCTCTCCTCCTGTCCTACAGCAGCCCGCCTCTCCTCCTGTCCTACAGCAGCCCGCCTCTCCTCCTGTCCTACAGCAGCCCGCCTCTCCTCCTGTCCTACAGCAGCCCGCCTCTCCTCCTGTCCTAGAGCAGCCCGCCTCTCCTCCTGTCCTACAGCAGCCCGTCTCTCCTCCTGTCCTACAGCAGCCCGCCTCTCCTCCTGTCCTAGAGCAGCCCGCCTCTCCTCCTGTCCTACAGCAGCCCGCCTCTCCTCCTGTCCTACAGCAGCCCGCCTCTCCTCCTGTCCTAGAGCAGCCCGCCTCTCCTCCTGTCCTACAGCAGCCCGCCTCCCCTCCTGTCCTACAGCAGCCCGTCTCCCCTCCTGTCCTACAGCAGCCCGCCTCTCCTCCTGTCCTACAGCAGCCCGCCTCTCCTCCTGTCCTACAGCAGCCCGCCTCCCCTCCTGTCCTACAGCAGCCCGTCTCTCCTCCTGTCCTAGAGCAGCCCGTCTCCCCTCCTGTCCTACAGCAGCCCGTCTCTCCTCCTGTCCTACAGCAGCCTGTCTCCCCTCCTGTCCTACAGCAGCCCGTCTCCCCTCCTGTCCTACAGCAGCCCGTCTCCCCTCCTGTCCTACAGCAGCCCGCCTCTGCTGCCTATCCTAAAGCACTCTGCCTCTGGGGAAGGAAAACTTGACTTCCTGCATTTCAGACCTGTCTGTTGCTGTGTAACTGAGAATAATGCAGAGGACACAACCTGCCTGTCCTGCCTATCATGGGACAGCTGAGGGGAGAGGCAGCGGACCCAGCCCTGCTCTGTTATCTGTGGCTGTGAGAACTTGAGATTGCCAGTGTTTAGTCTACACCTCAATTTCCTTTTCTACAGTGTATTAACTTGAAAAGGAGATTTTTGCATCTACAGAGATCAGCAAAAGCAGTCCCATTAGCAAGACTTATAGCCCGGCCCGAAATCTCAGTGGCTTGGGAGGCTGAGGCAGGAGGATTGTGAGTTCAAAGCCAGCCTCAGCAATGGTGAGGCTTTGAGCAACTCAGTGAGACCCTGTCTCTGAATAAAATACAAAATAGGGCTGGGGATGTGGCTCCGTGGTCGAGTGCCCCTGAGTTCAGTCCCCAGTACCAAAAAACAAATTTAAAAAAAGATAAGAAACAAAAAAGAAAATTAGAATCATAATGCTTTTTTAGATGCATAGTTGTAACAGAAAATAATATTTCAGATTTTGGAGGGGGGGGATGGCAAGGGTAAAGCAATGGACAAAGTAGTATTGGACTTCCCTGGTGCAGTGTTCATGAATGTCTGGAATGGGATCCTCTCCTGTCCACGTCGTAAGCAATCCACAGTTCAGTAAAAGGGTTGGGCCAGAGTCTAGGAAGATGAGCCAGGTATCTCACGAGATCTCTCCGAAGGACGTAACTTTCTGCTGTGAATTCCAACTCTGCTTGCAGTTTGAGAATGAGTTGATCACCAAGCTGGATCAAGAGGTAGAAGGTGGCCGAGGAGATGAACAATACAAGGTTCTATTGGAGAAACTGTGAGTATCTCCGAGACAGGACCTCGGGTTGGTGACACCATTTGACAGCGGGGAAGGGCAGGGTCTCTGCTGCATGCAATGCAGGCAAGCAGTCTCAGAATCTCTATGTCACACCCCCCAGTGGTCCTTGGTGAGTTGACAGATTGGAGGGCACCCACCGGTGACACTGTCCATCTCGTGGGAGTCAATGCCTGTGTTGTCCTGACCAGCCTCGAGCTGGAGAACAGAACAGATGGGAGAGAGGAGGAGATGCACGTAGCTGTGGCTCTTTGCCAGAATTTGTATTTCTGAACCTCAGCAGAAATGTTAACACCTCTAATTATGGCTTTAAAACAAACAGTTAAAGGAAAAACATTTCAAGGTCCACTTGATACCTCATGCCCCATAAGTGACCTTTAGGAACAAAGCAGTTGCCACGCCTGGTGTCCCATACCTGTAATCCCAGCAACTTGGGAGGCTGAGGCAGGATGATTGAAATTCAAGGCCAGCCTCAGCAACTAGGCGAGGCCCTAAGTAATTTACCAAGACCCTGTCTCAAAAAAAGAACAACAAAAAAAAAAACTGAGGATGTGGCTCAGTGGTTAAGTGCCCCTGGAACATCCCCAAATGCTCAGTTACCTCATCCCTCCCCCCCCCAAAAAAAGAGAATAAAGCAGTTATAACTGCAGCCAGCTTGGTCTTTCCACTGCCCCGTCCTCCGTCTCACTGAGCACATCCATTCCTTCATCAGAATGCACCTCCACACTCACGTCACCTCTTGCTTTCTTTATTCTTTCTCCTTTATAAAGAATAATAAAAAGGCCGGGTGCTGAAATCCCAGGAGCCAGGGAGGCTGAGGCAGGAGGATCACAAGTTTAAGGCCAGCTTTAGCAACTTAGCTAGGCCCTAAGCCACTTAGTGAAACCCTGTCTCTAAATAAAAAACAAGCCGGGCACCGTGGCACATGCCTGTAATCCCAGTGGCTGGGGATGTGGCTCAGAGGTTGAGTGCTCCTTGGGTTTAATTCTCAGTACCAGAAAATTTTTTTAAAAATTTAATAAAAAAAAGAAGAAGAAGAAAAAGAGTGTACATGTGGTTAAAACCCCACCAAACTGGGCATTAGAGAGAATGAGCCTCAAATCGTATTTTCACTACATACTAGGAGTTCAATTTTGGGCCCAGGGATCAAACCAACCAACACCTCCTTTTTCTATGTACAAAAACAGTATTTTTTTTTTTTAAGTATTGTTGTTAGGACTAAATGAGACATAATTGAGACAGTGCCCAGCATAGCATCTATTGTAGGTCAGACAGTGCCCAGCATAGCATCTATTTAAAGCGCTGGCTGCTTGCTCTGTTGTTGTTGTTATTACTTACAGATCCTCCCACCGTTCAGGTCTGGGCCACCCTGACTTGATTGGTCCTGTCCTCTGCACTTCCTAACATTGACCAGCAGTGTCACCTCCTAAGTTCTCCTCTAGGCCATTTGGGTTTTCCCTGGGTGATGGGAGTTCTGTGGATGAGGCTGAACTTGGGGACGGGCTCTCCCAACTCTTTTTTTTTTTTTTAAGATTCCCTAAGCAACCAACACACTGAATACTCAGAAGTACGATGGGATTGATAGATAGCCTAGATTTAAGGAACAGGAAGTCTTCCTTGGTTTATTTTTCGTGGTGATAAGCCCTCTTGGTGCTCTCTTTCCTGTTTCCATTAGCTCTCTCTGACCTTCAAGCCTCCTGGCTTATGACTTAGGCAATTTTGATCTCATGAATTAAGTTGAGAAGTTATATATGCATAGAAACATACAGTATTTCCACATGATAAACTAAAAAACTCATTAAGAAAAAAAAACTCCTAACGCTGTCTTTTCATGTAAAGATTATATTTTGTTTTCTTTGTCCTCTCTGGATAAGTAGCTCAGGAAAATATGACTTCAAACTCTGCAGTGCCCAGAATAATCCTAAAGCCTGGACTAATTCTTAGAACGCATTTCCTCACCGTTTCTCCCTTTTTCCTAATTTCCTTTTAAATTTCTAATCGAAGAAGTGCCAGAACTTTGTTCTACCTGGGCCCAAAGGGAAAGGTTTAGACCCCAAGTTTTGCCCAGTCTGATTTACAGCTCTGCATTCCTGTCTGAAAGTAACACTCCTGTTGGAAGTGCCGCATGCTTGTTAGGATTAAGTGAGACACCTCCTCTGAGCTGGACGTCAATCCACGGCTTTCCAGGATGTCACGAGGTGCCAGGTGTTAGGAAGAATAAAGACACAGGAAAGATGGTCTCAGACACCTTCATGAGTCACAAGACCCCATACAAGAGCCTTGTGGGCAAAGGTTCCGTTTCTGCAACATCGACGGAAAAAAACCACACACACAAACTGACCTTCAAAGGAGGATATTGTGGGCTGGGTTCTAGGTGATGGGGGTAGTTGAACTAAGTCCTGAAGAAAATGTAGAACCTGAGTAAACAGTCACAGCCCAAGCAAGGCCACCAAGACAGGATGGAGCTCCCCGGGGGGTGGGTGTCCCCTTCACCAGCATCCTGGGTCATCTTGCCTATTGCCACCTAGTGCTAGGACCGTGGTGAGTGTTCACAAATGACACTAGAGTGACAAGAGTGGAATGAGGACATTTGTCTCTGACTCTGCCCCTCTAGGCTCCTAGAACATTGCCGGAAACACAAATACCTCTCCAGCTCTGGCGAGGTCTTTGCCCTCCTGGTCAGCAGCCTCCTGGAGAACTTGCTGGACTATAGAACCATCGTCATGCACGACGAGAGCAAGGAGAACCGCATGAGCTGCACCGTCAACGTCCTGGTAGGCACCCGCCTCGGAGCAGGAGGCACCCTGGGCCGCCTGTAGGGTGCTGGTGTCCTGCTGAGTCTGGTGGGTGTAGCTGGCTCGGATTCGGACTCAGAGACACTGCCAGCCACAGACCTTGGGGGATGCATTTGGAAAGAGGGATGGGAAATGCAGCATAAGCACCCAGTTCTTCCCCGAGTCCCTCACCTGTGCTGGCTTTACTGTTGGAGTTATCTGACCCAGCCTGAAACCGGGTGCCAGGAAGAGGGTTAGTAAGTGAAATCCTCAGGTGGCCGAGCTCTTGGCCTTGCCTTCATCCCTGTCATCTGTACCTGGCAGCACAGACCTCCAAGGTCGAGTTCACCTTGTGTTCCTGTGCGTACTCTGAACTGAGACCTGAGAAAGCAGATTATCAGGGTAGCCTCAGGGTGCGCTGCCATCTGGTCCCCGAGGAGCCTTCTCACGTTTCTCAGAAGCAGGATCCTCAAAAAGCGCCTTGGCTTTCTCTTTATAATGGGTCGCTTCGAGGTCTCGTGGGGGAGTTTGAGAAAGGGCACCCTGAGCTCTCTGGAAAGCGGGGACACTGTTGGAAAGCAGTGATCGTGCCCAGGCTTCCGGGCAGACTCCCCCCCTTCCCCGGCTCTTGACACTACTGTGTGTCACCTGGTTTTTTTTGTTTGTTTGTTTGCTTTGGTAGAATTTTTACAAAGAAAAGAAGAGAGAGGACATATACATAAGGTAAGCTGAGGAAGCTTCTTGCCTTCGCGATTGTGTGGGGGCCTTGTGATCGATCCTTCAATAGCAAATGCTGGGCCAGCTGTCTTGCTACCTTTGCCCACAGAAAATGAACTCTTTAAATAGAGTCACAAAAGATCACACTGCAAGGCGTATACAAGTAGGGGCGTGTCAGGGTTCAGGGGAGGAGAGGAGACTTCCAGGCATTGTAATCTGGCTCACAGGGGCTGGCATGGATTCTGAACCTGGGGTCCCCGAGCACCTGAACATAAAATCACCTTGTGCGTAAACTCTGTGTGTGTGTGTGAGTGTGTGTGTAAATATATATATATATTTTTTTTATATCTTAGTTAGAGACAGGGTCTCACTGAGTTGCTTAGTGTCATGCCAAGGTGCTGAGGCTGGCTTGGACTTGCAATCCTCCTGCCTCAGCCTCCTGAGCTGTGGGACTGTATGCATGTTCTTGAGGAGGAAGTTCATAGCTTTCACTGGCTTCCTGAAGGGGCAAGGCAGGGAGCAGCACAGTGAGCAACGGGCTCTGCCTGAGAGAGAGGAAGTGTCTGTGTAGTGGGGGAGGGGAGCAGGCACGCAGGCCGGGGCTGCTTAAGAAAAAGCCACTGCAGGACCACCCCCCAAAGGACTAGCGTGCTCCCACCTCCCCTTCTTACCAGATACCTGTACAAGCTCCGAGATTTGCACCGAGACTGCGAGAACTACACAGAAGCTGCCTACACCCTTCTCTTGCACGCCGAGCTTCTGCAGGTACGTGGGTCAGCAGAGCTGCTCTACACGGGGTACAAAGGTGGCATGCCTTCCGTCCCTTGGGACCAAATTCTACGTGCTTCACGGTTTTAGCAGGAGAGAACCCTATCCACGGGATATCCTTGATCTAAGATGTTTTCACACCTTCTGGGTGGGCACAGCTACGTTTCAGACCCACGCTGGGAAAATGTCAGTTATCAATTATGTGAAAATCCTTAGGAAGTAGAGCCTCACTTGGAGGCCTCTGGTAATTGGCATTCTAATCAAAGAAATAAAACCCAAGTTCATTTACAGGTAAAGAGGTTTGTAAAACGGGAGAAGAGTGGATTGCACGTGAATAAAGTGCCATAGGAGAACTTCCCTACTTGTACTCTCTCCCTAATCACAGTTGTATTGTGGCGCAGTAGAGCTGCGTCTGTACGTCAGGAATCCCAAATAGCTGGGTCCCCCCTGACCTTCCTCTAACTCGGGATTCATGTCAGAACTGCTCTGTTGATCTTCGTCTCTGAGTGACTGGCCGACAAGTCGGACTCAGTGTGTCCATGACAGAAGTCTCTCCTTCCCTCTCGGCCCCTTGGCAGCCCTTCCTGTCGTGCCTTTCTTCCCCACCTCTGAATGGTGAGGCTGTCTGTTGAGTTGCTCGGAGGCATCCTTCATTCCTCTCTTTCAGTCACTGCCCTCTACTTCCCCAGGAGCAGACCTCGTGGCCCCTCTGTGCAGAGCGTGCCTTTCATCTATGAGCGGTTCTTCGTCCCCCGTGCTGCTGCCCTGGTCCAGGCCACCAGCGCCTCTCACTTGAGCGCCATAGTGGCCTTCCGTTAGATCTCTTGGCCTCCAATCTTATCCCTAGTAATTAATTTTCTTCTACTATTCAATTTTGTTTTATACTAAGGTAACACACCTACGTGGTTCTAAGCGACTAAGCGTAGGAATTCCCTGCCGCAGCCCTTCCCAAGGAGCTTCCCTGTGCACAGTCAGGGTCTGGGCACTCCAGAGCTCACTGCATGTCGCGTAGGTGGTGGGGGTTGTGGACTGGATTTTACCAGATGATCCAAAAGAAACAGCAGTGTCTGCCAGGCGCCCGACACACACCCCTATTCCCAGCAACTCAGGTGCTAAGGCAGGAGGATCAGAGGTTTGAGGTCATCCTCAGTTTAAGTCTCAAACTTAAAAAATAAAAAGGACTAGGGATGTAATTTCAGTGGTCAAGGGCCCCTGGGTTCCATCCCCAGAATCATAACTAAACAAACAAAAAGTGCAAAAGAGAAAGGAGATTCCCCAGGGTCTGTAACTCCCGGTCTTTTCACTTGGCCTGCTCAGAATGACCACCTCTCGGTCCTGGTGTGGGTAGGAGGTTGGGATGCAGCTTTCTTGCCCTACAGGTAGTTACTCAGTAGAGATGGCATCTATGAAGCACAGTCCACATCCTCTGGGCGTGCGATCGATCCCAGTGTCACCACAGGCTGAGTGCCTAAGTCTCCGGTTCCTGTCCTAGCACCACAGATTTAGTGACTCATTCTTTAGAATGTGGTTTATCCTCTGGGAACTACTCTTTTTATTGCTTTCTAGTTTTTCTTCCTCTTCCTTCCTGTTTATTTTTACATTTGAATGTTGGAATTGCAAAATTTAAAAATGACTTCAGTGAGAATTTGCATGTTTATGAAACAGAGTTTTGTCACCCAGAAGTGTCGTGTGAGTTCCCCTTTGATGCAGTCTGCTGCCGTGGCCTTCGAGGGTGGGTCCCAGTTCCCCACACAGGCGCCTTTCACATTTGTGACATTGACCCTGGGTGGTTGTGTCTATTGGCGTTTATTTTTGATTGGGTCTTTTCTTCCATTATCTCCTCGAGTGTTTTTACCTTTGTATCCAAAATTATTTATTTTCAAATTATTGATATTCTTTTTAATCTAACTACTTTTTCTCCTGTCGTGGGTGGAGGGCTCTCAGCAGGCAGGCTTGTGTCGTGAGGAATACAGCCATAATGTTTGCACATGGTGATGCTTTTCCCTCCTCCTGCCCATCTTACACTCACTTGTTTCCTACATCTGATTGTGTTAATTATGCCGTTAGCGCAGTCGTCGCGTTGGTGAGCCATTCTGCTCGGTTCCTTACTTTCCTGGGAATGCCGCGAGTGTTTGTCCATTTGGTATGACACTTGTTTGGGAGCTGGCATATGGGCACGTGTGTGTGTAATTTTTTGTGTTCAGTAAATAATTTAAAATACAATATGGACGGGTCCATGTCTGTGCGCGCGTGTGCATTTTCCTGTTTTTTTGGTGGTGGGGGTGCCTGGAAACCATTGCACTGATCTCTTGATTGATGAATCTGTCACATTTACCCCTCGTGTGGCCTTTGTTCCTTTTCAGTGGTCCGATAAGCCCTGTGTGCCCCATTTGCTTCAGAGGGACAGTTACTTTGTTTATACCCAGCAAGAGCTGAAAGAGAAACTGTACCAGGAAATCATATCCTATTTCGACAAAGGCAAAGTAAGTCTTGGGTTATTTGTTTCTGTACCTGTGCAAAGAGAAATGGCTGTCTTGGATGAATTTGCAATGGTGATCGCTCCCACTCGGCACAGAGAACACAGGATCGAGGAGGCAGCTCCCCTTTCGACCCTTGCTTTTGATACAGGAGTTTGTGGGTCCCCAGGCCATCTACAGTGCTGATCAACTGGCTAGAAATGTCGGGGTTCCCATGGCCCTCTTGATCATTTACTGGAATAACAACAGAGCTCGGGAAAGTGCTGTTAACAATTACAGTTTTATTATAAAAGATACAAAGCAGAACCAACCAAGTGAAGAGTAAGGTGTGGAAGGGTCCCAAACTAGTGCCCCTGTGTCCACCCATATTCCCTCTACCCCCCGCCCTGCCCCAGGAACTCAGGGTGCGTCACCTTCCCAGCAAATCCATGTGTCCTTCAGGCACAGGGGTGTGCACCTGTGGTCCTAGCTCTTCTGGAGACTGAGCAAGAGGATCACTTGACCCTAGAAGTTTGAGGTCAGTCTAGGCAACATAGTGAGACCCTGTCTGAAAAACAAATGATGTTGTACTTTAAAATTTTTTAAAAAAAAATTAAAAAGAAAAGAAAAACAATGATGTAGCTGGCCATGGTGGGGCACACCTGTAATCTCAGTGCTCTGGAGGCAGAAGCAGGAAGATCGTGAGTTCAAAGCCAGCCTCAGCTACTTAGTGAGTCCTTAAGCAACTCAGCAAGACCCTGTCTCAAAATAAAAAGGGCTGGAGATGTGGCTCAGTAGTTTAGCATCCCTGGGTTCAATCCCTGGTACCAAAAAAAAAAAGAAGATGTATTCACCAAGTAGGAGGCTCACCTGTGTCTCAGTGTGCAGAACTTTCTATCACGTACACGACTGGCTCCGTTTTTGCCTGCATGCTGGAACTCAATCTCCAGCCCCCATCAGCTCCCTGGAGTTAGCACCAGGAACATGTGGCTCAGACCTCCACCCCTCTGATCACAGGGTTGGTCTGTGGCAGGCTGTTCCCATTCTGACACTACGCAGGGGAGTAAGTAGCATTGGGTGGCGAGAAGAGAGACCTTGGTAGGACTCCCTGACTCCATGGCTGCCGACTGGCTTCCTGCGCTGCACCCAGCTGACCTGGGTTGCTTTCTACGTGGTGCATTGCGCAGTCTTTTCAGTGATCCAGGCCCTGAAACTTCAGAGGGGTTAATTTGGCAAATGGAGACTTTACAAGATTTAGGGTTACAGTGTTTTGCCCTGGCTGCACGTGCATTCCTCCAACAGCCAGAACTGATGGCACAAAGCACCTCGTTAGCAAGAATGAAGCAGGAAGTGACCAGACACTGCGTGTGGAACACCTTCCCTGTAGGAGACAGTCCAGGCAGCCAGGGGGATGGGAAGGCCCAACCTGGGGTGCTTGTTCCGTCACTGAACGTGTGCATCAGCATGAATCTCTCTTTCACCTTCAGTAGGTGGTTTGGGGTAGAAATAGGAAATTAATGCCGTACATGGAAAGACTGTGCCAGACTCCACAACACAGCACTGTTAACCTCTTCTCAAACAATCTCCCTGCACACAACCCCCAACAGACACACACGCCCCAGATGAGAGTCCCACACCCGCCTCCTTTCCCCTCCAGCAGCACTTCCCCCGTGCTGTCAGGTCCGAGGCTGTGGAAATGGCTTCTCTCTCCTTTCAATTGTCTTCAGTTCTTTTCCCTTTAAACTCAGCACGGGGCCCGTATGGGGACACATCTTCTGTCAAAGAGAAGTGCAGAAGGTGCCTCTTGGCAGAGCATTCAAGATAGGCAAATGGAGCATCTTTAATCAAAAATATAAAACATGGGCGGGCGCAGTGGCATATGCCTGTAATCCCAGGGGCTCAGGAGGCTGAGGCAGGAAGATGGCGAGTTCAAAGCCAGCCTCAGCAACAGCAAGGCGCTAAGCAACTCAGTGAGACCCTGTCTCTAAATAAAATACAAAATAGGGCTGGGGAGGTGGCTCAGTGCTCGAGTGCTCCTGAGTTCAATCCCTGGTACCAAAAAAAAAAAAAAACAAAAAAAAATACAAAATGCTCTGAAATCTCCAACTGCTGAACACCAACATGATACTCAAAATGTTTCAGAATTTAGAGCATTTGGATTAGGGATGCAGAACCAGTGTAGTCTGTTCAAATATCCAAAATCTGAAGCCATTATGGTCTTACCTATTTGAAAAAGGGACGCACACCCTTTAGTAACTGTTTTAGTCAGCCATTTTCGCTGCTGTGACTAAAGCATCTGACCAGAACAATTTTAGGGAAGAAAAGTTTATTTGAGTGCTCACGGTTTCAGAGGTCTTACTCCCTGGAAGGTCTGCTCTGTTCCTCAGGGCTTGAGGGCGGCTGAACTCATGGCGGAAGAGGGTGGCCGAGGGAAGCAGCTCACATCATGGTGATCCGGAAGCAGAGAGACTCCACTTTCCAGATACAATATGTACCCCAAAGCCCCGATTCCCACCTCCTCCAGCCACACCCTGTCACTTCAGTTACCACTCAGTTAATCCCTATCAGGGGATTAAATCACTGATTGTGTTAAGACTCTCACAACACAAGGGATCATTTCTCCTCTAACCTTCTTGCACTGCCTCACCTGTGCGCTTTTGGGGGACAGCTCACATCCAAACCATAACAAGTAACCTTATGATGTCAGGAAAGAAGGTTGAATCCAAACACGTTGTCAACGCCCCTGGCTGCACACTCCACATGAATGACTCTCCAGGGACCTTAGCGGCTGGCTCAGTGGCTGCACTGTCCCCCATATCTCACTTGCTTTCCTTTTTCCAAAGATGTGGGAGAAGGCCATCAAACTGAGCAAAGAGTTGGCTGAGACCTATGAGAGCAAAGTGTTTGACTACGAGGGCCTCGGCAGCCTCCTGGTGAGTCTGGGCCATTCAGGGCTGCTGAGATCAGCATTCGAGAAAATGTTTTTGCAAGTTGAAAAAGTCGGGATCAGTGGAAAGGTGTGATCCAAAGGCTTTGATGTCTGTTCTCCAGATTATCCTTCCTGGAGGGTCCAGGACTAGGGAGTAGGGCTGACCCCAAGGGGAGGTCAAGCACCGAGCCCCAGGGAAGGGTGACCTGGTGCAGCCTTACCCCTGCCCCCCAGGGTCCCTTCCCACTGCTCTTTGTTTCTCAGGGACCCTCCCTGTTCCTGGCTCCCCTCTGCTCTTAGACATCCAGCTGCTTGCAGACATCAGAAAGAGCTTATTTTGTAATCCACACCCGGAGGCCCTGCTAAATGAGGGAACCACCCACCCTTGGGCTGGGTTTGTTTCTCCGAGGGTGCCCCTGTGCACATCTCAGCTGCGAGAGCATCTGCCAGGTCCCGATTCTGTCCTGCCTGCTTCGTTCTCCCAGATGTCACTGGAGCACTCAAATTGGGCAGCTCCCTGAACCAGTGTGGCACACCTGGCTGTAGGCACAGTTCGGCTATTTAAAAACTATAAAGCAAAACAAAAATAGCCAGCTAAGGCACAGGGGCACACGCCTATAATCTCAGCAGCTTGGGAGGCGGAGGCAGGAGGACCGTGAGTTCAAAGCCAGCCTCAGCAATTTAGCAAAGCCCTAAGCAAGTCAGCGAGACCCTGTCTCTAAATAAAAAGGCCTGAGAATATGGCTCAGTGGCTAAACACTCCTGGGTTCAAACCCTTACCGCCCCCCCCCCCAAAAAAAAAAAACAGCCTTCAGGATGACCATTGGTGGGCAAGCCCAGTGCTGTGCAGGGTAACTTTTAGGAGAGTCACAAAAATATCAAGTCACTATTGTCATGGATGGTTCTTTATTTGAGGAGTTGATTTGTTAAGAACACATTGTAGGGCTGGGGGTGTGGCTTAAGCGGTAGTGCACTCGCCTGGCATGCGTGCGGCCCGGCTTCGATCCTCAGCACCACATACAAACAAAGATGTTGTGTCCGCCGAAAACTAAAAAATAAATATTTAAAAAAAAAGAACACATTGTAAAAAATAAAACTATACCAGCTTCTTCCATCACAGACCCGAGATTCACTCAAAAGTTTCCTGAGCCACATTGACCTGAGATGAGGTAACACGTTGCCCTTCTACAAAAACCTGACTCTGACAGACCCACAAGCAAGTCCATTACAGAGGCCCCCACTGTGGGGTGGGGTTTAGGGTCATCCCCCAGAATCCCCCAGGTCCCCCGCCTGTGGACAAGGGAAGAATCGATTGTAAGCCATTGAGAAGGGTGGCCCAGGTATTGAGAAGCAGGGCATCCTCTTCGGGCTTTCTTCGGTCTGAACCTGAGTGTCCCCTACCCTCTCCTGCGTGTCTCTGGTTAAGTGCACCCCTTCCAGCATCTCAGGAAGCGCTTCAGTCAGGCCCTTGTTGAAGTCCTGGTGTCCCTGGAGGAAAGGCTGAAAGCCAGGCACAGTCTCGCTTCACAGAGGAGGGCCAGCTGCACCAAGTCTGTCACCTCGGGCGCGGCCCCCCAAGGCCACACACACACCCCTGACCCCAGAGAAGAATCCCCCTTCTGCCCACGGAGACCTTTTATTTCTTGCGTTACCTGGAAAATAAGCAAACAGGCTGATTTCTTGTGTTTTTGTTTTTTTAAGTTCTGCTCGCTGTGCCCCTGTCACCATCCACGAGAATGTCTTGTTTTATTTTCCAGAAAAAAAGAGCCTCCTTCTATGAGAACATCATGAAGGCCATGAGACCGCAGCCGGAATACTTCGCCGTGGGCTACTACGGCCAGGGCTTCCCTTCCTTCCTGCGGGTGAGGCGCCTGAGGGTGGTCTCTAGGAGACTGGTTTCTTTTCCAGATGGCAGTGGCTCTTAGCAGCTGCTGACCCTCGCCCCGCTGTGGGAGGTCGGGCCGGGCGGGAACCGCTTCCTGAGCGGCCTCTTCACCCCACACCCCAACACCCCCGTGTTCTGGCCGGCTTTGCAGGATGCCTTTCCTCTGGTGGAAGGAGAAAGGGGAAAACCAGACGGGAAAGTGCGGCTTCATGTGTCTGACTGTTGACTGTATTTCTAACCAGAGCTACTTTTAAAAAGCCAGTTTCCCAGGAAAAACACCACGAGAGCTTCCTGGGAATAAAACATGGTTCTGTTGTAATGTGACAAGGACCGTATTTTTCTTCCTTCTCAAACATATCTATGGTGGGATAGTGGCTTCAAAAAACAAAAAACTCGCGTGTCCTGCTACAGGGGTGCTTCGCTTAGACCTGAGCTTGTTTAGACATATATCATGTCATCCTTTGATTAAAAAAAGAAAAAAGTGACATAAAGAAGTGATTTACATCCTAACAGAGCTTCTCGAGTAGGGAGCTTAGTCCCTGGGCTTGCAGTCTGTGCCAGGTGCGTGTGGGTCTAGTAATACCCTGCTGTTCCCACCAGCTGTCCTGGATCTTACAGCTGATGGGGAAGGTGTTTAATGATCACACAGTGAAGGTAAAATTTAAACTGTAAATGAAAAGAAGCATCCTGTTCAGTAGGAGCCTGTAACCAGGGAGTATTACCGACATGAAATGGAAACCAGTCTCTTCACAAAGATTGCAGGGGGGTTGCAGACCCCGGTGCCTGCCAACTGGTGAAGAGATAAACCTGGTCTGTGTGCTTTGTGGAATACTACTCAGTGGTGAAGAGGAGCAGGATGCTGAGACAGAACCACATGGATCAATCTCAGATGCATGGTGCAAAGGGAAAGGAGTTAGGCATCAAAGGCTCCAGGCTCTTATTTATATGATGTTCCTGCTAGGATATCACTTCCTGTTGAGATTAAAAAACAGATCAATGGTTGTCTCGTGGCTGGAGGAGCTTTGGCTTAAAGGGCCTGGGGGAATAAATATCGGTGCTGATGAAACTGATCTATATCCTGATTGTGGTCATGGTGGCCTTTCTCAAAATTCATAGTTCTATATGACAAAAGGGTCTATTTATCCTGTGTCGGTCATGCATTGATTTTTTTTGGAGAGTCAGAAGGGACTTGCCAGGGAATTTCTGCCTCAGCTGCAATCTGAAAGGTGAGCAGGGAATCAAGGAGGCACCGGTGAGAGGACAGGCAGAGGGAACAGCAGGCCAGAACCCGGGACAGCCCAGGAATAACCACCCGTGCAGTGGGCACAGGGAGCAGGTGAGGCAGGAGGGGTCCACAGGGTCTTGGGGACACAGAGGCTGTGTTGTCCACATCCCAGGAGCAGAGAGGGTCACTGCAGATTTTTCACATCAGAAAGGAATTGGTATGGCCTTGGTACGGAGAATGGGTGGGACATGTGTGCCAACAAGCCACTGAAACGCCATTGCAGATGTCGGGCAAGAGAGGACAGGTTGGAATAGGGAGGTGGTGATGGAGGCTTTAAAGACAAGTGCAGAGAATGCGGTGATGCACATGAAGTATGTTCCAGGATGAATGACGGGCTGCGTGGGGGACAAGGGGCACGTAGCAAGGGTGATTCCTAGGTTTCCGGCCTGTGTAACTGGAGGAGGAGGAGAACCAGTCGTTGGGACAGCAGGGCTGGGAAAGGATAGAGCCATGTGTCAGAGAATGAACCAGTCATTGAATAAGTATTTGTCAAATTCCTACTGTGTGCCTCACTCTAATGCAAGGATGGGGGCAGAGCTCTGAACAAACCAGAATCCTGGACGTACTCTAGCCTGGAGGGACAAAAATCAGGATAAATCAGTAAAACATCGAGTGTGTCATGGCCCAGAACACCGCCTTGTGTGGGGCAGACTCATGGTCATGGAGAACGGGGTAGGGGAAGAGACAGGTACGCATTGGAGGCGAAGTGGCCACTTTAGAGAAAACAGGAAAGACTTCAGTAAGAAAATGACATTTGAGCAAAAACCTGAGGAAAGTGTAAGAACCAGCCACGTAGCTCTGGTTGATGAATGAATGCACTTCCTTTCTTCACTGAGAAGGTCAGCAGCGTGCCTGGTGACCTAGTGGACTTAAACCAGGAGGCAGGCTACTCCTGTCTGCCCGTCTGTGCCGTTTGCAGGTTGACTCTCTCTCCACTTGTCATTTTTAATGATTTCCCTGGCTCTTGACCTGCAGAATAAAATCTTCATCTACCGGGGGAAGGAGTACGAGAGGCGGGAAGACTTCAGCTTGAGGCTCCTGACCCAGTTCCCCAATGCAGAGAAGATGACCAGTACCACACCCCCTGGAGAAGACATCAAGATGTCCCCGAAGCAGTGCATCCTTGCTGTGGGAAAGCGTCTCAGGGCTCTTAAACCCTGGGACAGACAGGTGCAGCTAAGCCAAAGAAGCTAAGGGTGCAGTCCCTTCTGTGCAGTGGATGTGAAACATTCTGCCTCAGGCTCCCATTTGATGTAAAGTCTGTGGGGCTCTAAGACCCTTAGGGAAGAGTGATAAGAAACCTCTGGGGTATGCTATAGCTGGATGGGGATCTTGAGGAGGGCATGACTTCCTGTTCTGGGTTCAGTATTCTGTTAGAGACTGAAATGATATGCAGTCATTCTTCATTACCCTTGGGGGAACTATCCCAGGACACGCTCCCAGCACCCCTTCTCACCATGGCTACCCCCATAGTCAGATGCCCAAGTCCCTTGTATGGGGTAGGATTTACATAGAACCTGTACACCTCCTCCTATGTGCTTTAAATCTTCTCTGGATGATTTAAAATCCCAAATAATATGAAAAATAGTTGTCACACTGTTTTTCAGGGAATAGGGACCCCAAAAAAGGTTCTACACACTTCACCAAAGACAGAATTAAAATATATACATATACATAGATATAGATCTATTTACTTATAGTACTGGGGATTGAACACTAAGCTACTTCTCCAGTCCTTTTTTGATTTTTTTTTTTTTTTATGTTGAGACAAGGTCTTGCTAAGTTGCTGAAGCTAAACCCCAAACATGCAATCCTCCTGCCTCAGCCTCATGAGTTGCTTGGATTTATAGGTCTGTGCCACCACATCTGGCTTAAAAAAATCTATTTTTGCTCCAAGGTTGACTGAATCCTTGGATGCCCACCCCATGGGTGTGGAGGGCTAGCTGTGTGGGACCCTGGGGAGAAACTGATTCTAAGACTCATCTTTAAATCAGAGAAGGTACACCTGTGCCCCTGGCGGGTTTGGAGGCCTGACTTCACTTCCTCTCAGCTATGTGATCTTGGGTCTTAACCTCCCTCATCCTCCATCTTCCTCTGCTGAAAGAGCGTGGTGACATCCAGCTAGTAGGGTGGTTGTGTATGTTGTAGATAAACTCAGAACACCTGGTACATTCCAAGGCAGGGTGTTCAGCCAGCAGGTGGTTTCCAAAAACAAGCACTTCCTGTTGCCCGGCTCTGAAGTCTGGCTATTTCCAAGGGATCCTTATCCAAAAGAAATGATTTAAAACCACTTCTAACCACCTCTTTCCTGGCATTTGCTGTCGCCGATGCCTGCCAGGTGTCCCACCGCAGACAGTGTCCTGGGAGAAATGATGTTGGTGATACGGAGGGGCGCCCCATGTTCAGTGTGGCCTGGGCCTGGGGGTAAAGGGAATGGTCGGTGCCCATGCTGTGTCCGGCTGTAGTGGGCGCGGGGCCTCACTGTGGCTCTCCTGCGAGGCCAGCCTCTCCGCTTTCCTTAACGTGCTCCTCAGACATGCAGTGCTTCACTGTGAAGCCCGTGATGAGCCTGCCGCCCAGCTACAAGGACAAGCCCGTTCCAGAGCAGATCTTAAAGTAAGTGGCTCTTTTCGATTTAAAAACAAAACAACAACAACAAAAAAACCTTATATTTTATTTGGGGTCCATTAAAGCAAAACCTTAAACTCATTAAAGTTTGGAAGACCCGTGCCTGATCTCGTTTGTCTTCCAAACTTTCATGATCAGGAGTTTCATTTTAGGCGTCAGATCTCTTAGCTCTTTGTCCACTCAGAAGCATCACTGAGGACTGACTGGCAGGACCCCCCAGTGATTGAGGGCCCACCCTGGTCTCTTGAGGTCCATAGGCCTGTCACAAAGGCACGTGAATGAGATCCCACATTACCTTTTGAAAGTGTGAGCTACAAAACAAACTCCTAAATAATGAACGTGAGAACTGCAGGAAATCCACAAGCCTTGGCCTTTGGTGTGGCCCCGATCTGCAGGGAGATAGTTGAGTGGGAGCCTCACGGGGGTCGCCAGGTCTGTGGAAGTCGGACAGGAGCAGGCTGTGAGGGAGCTGGTCCAACGAGGTCACTCTGTCCTTTCTCAGCTACTACAGGGCCAACGAAGTGCAGCAGTTCAGATATTCCCGGCCGTTCCGGAAAGGAGAAAAGGATCCAGACAACGAATTTGCTGTGAGTCCATCCCATTGTCCTTCCAAAGTGGGGAAAAATAGGCATCCGGACTGGGGGCCTTCACCTCATCCACACACGCAGCCAAAATGGTGACCCCCCTGGGGACGGAGGCTTCGCCTGCCAATCACCTAGACCACAGGCTGTCGACCTGATGGAAAATTGCAGACTGAGGGCCACACCTTGCTGGACCTCTGGTCTCCAGCTTTAGAGGGGAGGGCCCCAGTGGATGATCACCCTTAGCCTCAAACATCAGAATCCTTAAATTTGAGAGAAAATCTGGCCCTTTCACTAGGAGGCACGTTCCTGACCCAGGGACTTCCACCTGGCCCGGGAGCTGACGGGGTCTCCTCTTTTCCTCCTTGCACTAGACCATGTGGATCGAGCGGACCACGTACACCACCGCCTATAGCTTCCCCGGGATTCTCAAGTGGTTTGAAGTCAAACAGATTTCCACAGTGAGTCATCTGGAACTGGCACCCAGAAATAAAAACTTTCTGTCTGCAAACATAATCCCAGCCTTTGTGGCCTTCCCCTGCCTCCTCCCCAGCTTGGCCGGCCTCCTCTGGCCAACTTTGTTTTTCAAAAGAGAAATAAAAGCCACGTTTGTGTGATGGGCCTGCTTTGTAGAGCCGATGTTATACCAGCCCTAAAGGTCACTCACCGTGAATGACTCTTTTATGGACAGAGGCGTGCCTCTCCCTGTGATCCTGCCGGTGCCCAGGCACATTTTTAGAATGCCTCTAGGAGGTCCGGCCTGTGATCACGGCCTCTCCCAGAGCCTCTCCTTGTACTCTCAGCTCCTGCCCTTCCTCACTCCCCACCGCTGCCGATTGTACCTTCTCACTGTGTATCACTTTGTTTCTAGATTCCCTACTATCGCCCTGTTTCTGGTCCCCAGTCCACCTCTGTGGTTGCCACTGAACAAAGCCACTTGCTGGCCTCACTACCTGGGCTGTCCCTTTTCCCCCTGCTTCAGCCTGTGAGTGCCATCAGTTCCGTCGAGTCCACCGGACCATTTGTTCTCGTGCTCACGCCCCTGTGGCCCCTCATGCCCACAGTTGAAAGCCAGGCTCCTCCTCTAGGTGCATAAGGCCTCGACTCCGCTCTTCCGCCTCCGTCCACCTCTGTCCACCTCTGTCCACCTTCTGCCTGCTCCTAAGAAATCTAAGTGGAGAACTCCATGCTCTTTCAGTTTTCCGTGACACTAGGTCATTTTATCTGCCTGACCTAACTCCCATTGAGGCTCACTTTAGGCCCCTGTTCTGTCAAACGCTCAACCAGGTTGCCTGGGCCCCGTCACACCCTGGTCATATTATTTTTCTTTTTCCCCCCCTCCCTCTCTCTCTCTCCCCCTTTCTTTTTTCCTGTCGTTGGTTTTGCAGTATTGGGGTTGAGCCCAGAGGGACTCTACCACTGAGCTACACCCTCAGTCCTTTTTTTTTTTTAATTTTGAGACAGAATCTTGCTAAATTGTCCAGGCTGGCTTCAAAAGTCCTTCCTCAGAGTTACAGGCCTGAGCCACCACACCTGGCCTGGGCATATTTCTAATTTGTCAAATTTGCATGTTCCAAGTCCCCATTAAAACCATAAGCTCCTTCCAGCCATGAATTATGGTTGGTGTTCAGAATCTGCAGGTTCCACACCTACAGATTAAACCAGTCGTGGATTTAACTGACCACTGATGGCACGCTGTGGAGTCTAAGATGGCTTATCTGTACTGAACACGAACAGACTTTTCTTGTTGTTATTCCCTACAATACAGCCTAACAACTATTTTTTTTTTTTTTTTTTTTTTGGTGCTGAGGATCGAACCTAACAACTATTTTTGTAGCATTTACATCGTATCAGGCCTTACAAGTAATCTCAAGATGATTTCAAGTATATGGGAGGATGTTCATAAGTTATTTGCAAATTCTACACCATTTCACATTGGAGACTTGAGCTTCTGCAGATTTTGGTGTCCTCAGTGTCCTGGAACCAACCCCCCACAGTGTATTAATTTGTTTTATTTCTAGACTCCCTACTATTGCCCTGTTTCTAGTCCCCAGTTCACCTCTGTAGTTGCCACTGAGCAAAGCCACTTGCTGGCCTCACTACCTGGGCTGTCCCTGGTAGTGAGAGACAACTATGTACCTTAATCCCTTTTGTAACCATGCCTGGGACCGGTCCCTCTCCGTGCATAGCATAGCACTTGGCACCAAGGAGATATTGAGGAAACATTTCTTGGGCTTGGGTGTAGCTCAGTGGCAAAGTTCCTGCCTAGCATGCACAAGGCCCTGGGTTCAATCCCAGCCCCACAAAAGAATAAAAAAGAAGTATTACTTGCATAAGTCTGAGCTGAAGTTCAGTGTGCTCTCTAACACTAGTGATAAATCCTTATTCTTCAAGTATGGATGGTTTCTGGACAGAGACATTTGGACTGAAGCCTGGTGTAGGAGATCATGTAGCCGATAGTGGTAAAATGAAGGGGAGGAGTTTTCTGGAAACCTGGTTTTGAAGACGTTTCCATAGGGGGCACTCTCTGAATCTGTATTGTTTCTGATTCTGTTTTCATCCCAAACTCAGATGAATTCTAACACATCCTGCTGTTCCGAGTTCTTCGGCTGTAGAATCTGTGCTGCAGTTACTCTGTGTGGTCTGAATATGAGGCTTCTGAGACCACTTGCCTCAAAATCACTTGTCTTTTCTCAGAGAGGAGGCATCGGGGGGCATTTTAGGTGGACAAGAGTGTCTCAAGCCTGCTCTTCTGCTGTCCTTGGTCTCAAAAATCTCTGAGGAGGCTTTGCCTGAGAAAATCTTTGCTATGACTTGAATTTTTACTTCTCACATTTTCTGTAGACTGTGCTACAAGGAATCGTCACTGCCAGGGCCCCAGTGTTCGGGTCACTCATTCCACCTTCCAGGGGGACTTTAAATAGCTTATTTTGTCTCTTGCCAACATTGGCAGAGAAGTACGGTGTCCCAGTAAACCATCTGGAGGAGCAAAAACTGCACTGTCCTGTAGCTGGCGGGAGCTGGCACCTCTTGAGGGGAGTTCAGCCTGTTCAGTCCTTCTCCCTCCACTCTTCCCAGGAGGAAATCAGCCCCTTGGAGAATGCCATCGAAACCATGGAGCTGACCAATGAGAGGATCAGCAACTGCGTGCAGCAGCATGCCTGGGACCGGTCCCTCTCCGTGCACCCGCTCTCCATGCTGCTCAATGGCATTGTGGACCCAGCCGTCATGGGGGGATTCTCCAACTATGAGAAGGTGGGCGGGGTCCCGGAATCCCACGGGGCTCACAGGCCCAGCTTGTCTCCAGGCCTCCCTCTGTGCCACTCTGCACTTGGCGAATTTGTTGCTTGTAACATCTCTGACATCTCACTCTCCCCTCTATGAATGGGCCTATGAAATGGGCAAAAGGATCATCCCTGACCTCCCACCTCCCGGAGACCAGCGGCAGCCGTCAGGGATAGGCCACCTCCCCATAAAGTGTCACTGAAAGACGCCCCACCAGCATGCCTCTGGTCGGTGCACCTGCTGTTCTCTCTTATTTGGGAGGTAGACAGCGAACAGGTGTCTTCTTTTCCCTGTGCTCTACTCTGCAGCTAGGAACAGTTCAGCACCAAGGATAAACTCTAGTTTGCTCGTGTTCTGCTTCAATAATAATTTCCACTGTTATGATGGAAGTTGATACAAAAATAGAGTCCAAAATGCAGTATGTCTTTAATACCATAATGCTTGCAGTGTGTACTCTTTCTGGTACTAGTTTTCCTGTGTTATTTTTATACGGTATCCCTAAACCACATTTTTTTCGTTTTTTTAAATTTCAGTGCAGGGATTGAACCCAGGGCCTTCTGCCATGGACTTGTCTCTCAGCACTTTTTCGGTTTTTGTTGTTTGTTTGTTTTGATACTAGGGATTGAACTGAAGGGCCTTAATCACCGACCCACATCCCCAGCTCTTTTAATTTATTGTTGAGACAGGGTCTTGCTAAATCGCTTAGGGCTTTGCTAAGTTGCTCAGGCTGGCCTTGAACTTGGGATCCTTCTGCCTCAGCCTCCCAAGTGCCTGGGGTTATAAGCATGTGCCATTGTGGCCCACAAATATTTATAGGCCAATATTTGTGAATGAGATACAGTTTCATATGAAATGTTTTCATTGTTATAGACTTCTAATTCAAATGAAAAAAAAGCAAAGATATATGAACAAATAAGTAGATTTCAAGATCTTTGACTTAAAAATACTACTAATTCATATTTAATTAAAGTGTAACTTTATAAATTTCTAAAAGGGAAAGCTGAACCATTAATTAGCTGGGTATGGTGGGACATGCCTATAATCCCAGTGACTTGGGAGGGTAAAGAGAAAAACCTTGAGTTTGAGGCCAGTCTCAGCAATTTAGTGAAACTTCATCTCAAAAAAATATAAGGGATTGGGATTTAGGTAAGTGGCAAAGCATCCCTAGCCCCAATTCCCAGTGTCAAAAAAGTAAAAAACAAAACCCATTAATCATCATGACCTCAGGCCCTCAATTGGGAAACTCATCATGACATACTTGGTAGAGGTGACCCATCCAAACCAGTGCTTTATACATGGCTGAGGGACAAGAATGCAGGAGACGTTTGCTGTCACCAGTCCTTTCTTTTGCGAGGCAAGGCTCTGCTAAGAAATGACTTTCAGGGCACACTGCTCTAGGGGTGCTTTGGGGCCCAACAGATGCTTTGGGAGTCTCAGTGCATTTTATCGATTGTCAAAAATTTGTTTCAACTTTCAAAAATTCAAACTTCTTGCACTTGAAAGGTAAGAGTGGGTGAGAACTTAAACACTACTTTTCTGTTTTTATTGATGTTCCCTCCAAGCACAATGCTGGCTGCAGGGAGCGGCATTGGGGACGTTCCCTCATGCCTCCTCCTGGTGCTTGGGCTGCTTGTACGGACATTCTCTTGTTTTATGACTTTGCTAGGGCTGCAGTCCCAAAGATCCACATACAGGTGGCTTAAAACAACACAGGTGTGTCCTCTCACCGTTCTGGAAGCCAGGAGTCTGAAAACAGAGTGTCTGCAGGGTTGATTCTTTCTGCAGGCTGTGCAGGAGGACATGGCCCTGCCTACCCCTAGCTTCTGATGGTTTGCTGGCGGTACCTTGGCCTGTAGAGGTGTCTTCTCCTTATGTCTCCTTCCGTGCACTCTCCCTGTGTGCAAGTGTCTCCAAATTTCATCTTATAAGCACCCCAGTCATATCAGATCTAGGCCCATTCAGCTACAATGATCTCAATAAATTATATCAGCAACAGCCCTGTTGCCAAGCAGGGTCACATTCTGAGGTGCCAGAGGTTAGGACTTCAGCATGAACAGGGCGGGGGCACTGGCAGGATATAATTCACCCCCTAACATCTGTCCACAAAGTTGGCTTCTATTCCATTTGCTACATAGAATGGGTCACTTTTATATTTATACCATAGTTTTCAAGAGCTCTTGGGTTTTGTTTAAGGGTGGTATGGCTTTCCCAGGAGTAGAGGAAAGGAGTGAGTAAGTTGGTGTTTGAAAGCACTTTGAGTAACAAAGGTTAAAGTCCCAGGAGAAAATATATATAATTCTTGCTGGAAATGTTCACTACAGACTTCTTTTTCTCTTTCCTAATGAATCCTGTCTTTAAGATACAAGGCCTGAGTTTGGGATTTCAGTTTGGTTTTTATTTTCCTATCACAGGGCCTTAGCTGGCCTGAGTGTTCATTGATGAACATGGTACTGATATGAAATAAGAAAAGCAACCAGCATTTAATAGCCTCTTTCAGCATTTAATAGCATTTCTTCCTACCTATGCCTTTTGGATAGTTGATAAGTGAAGAGTACAGATGTTAGATTTCACTTAGTATAGGGAAGAAATGTCACACAGCTAGTATTAAGTGCAAGAGCATAGAAGCTGTCGGCCACATCTCTAGCCTGTTAAAGTTTTACTTTTTTCCTTATGATATCTACACAATTTGATGATTCATTTTTAGATATTGTCATTTGGACTTTCTTTGGAGAAATTCTTTTAATGACATTTTGCTTTGCTGATAATTCTTTTGATCGGTGAATGTGCACAGAAGTGTGTGCATGCATGCTTATGCTCATGCACACATGGGTGTGGTGATTGCTGAGAACGTACTCTTGCTGGGAATTGGCATGATTTTAGAGAAATCGCAGAAGAGCACATACTTTTTTTTTATGTGGTGCCAAGGATTGAACCCAGTGCCTCACACATGCTAGGCAAGCTCTCTACCACTGAGCCACAGCCCCAGCCCGAGCACATACTTTTAAAAACATTTTCCACCGTGGGATAAGGACCATCCCAGGAAAGGAAGGAACTTTTAGTTAGAAATTCCTGGTTTGTCAGAACAGATGTTGTTCACCTTCCCAGGCTTTCTGCCTGTTAAGGTCAAGTGCACAGAAAGGAATGTGTTCTAATTCATGCTTATATGCTTTGCTTTTAGGCTTTTTTTACCGAAAAGTACTTACAAGAACATCCTGAAGATCAGGAGAAGGTAGAGCTGCTAAAGCGACTGATAGCATTACAGGTATGCACAGGGGCCAGCTGTGTATGGGGGCCAGGTGTGCACAGCAGGGCCTGCAGCTGGGTGGCTACAGTGCTTGATCCAGGCTGCTCTCCTAAACTCCACTCTTCAAGGCCACTTCCTGTGTTGCTTTTTCTTTTTTCTCTTTTGAAACCTTTTGGAAGCACAACCTATCGGTGTATGTGTTTGGCAGCAAGACCTAGGAATGGCATTTAGTTTAGCTGCATAGTGTTGGCAGGGCACTTCCTAGAGCTGAGATCAAAGGCCATAAGCTGGTTCCCTGGGTGCACATCTAGCTGAGAGAGGTTGGCCCTTTTCTCTATTCTCATTGCTTTAGTAGGCAATGGAGGAAAATGCAGCCATCAAGTTCAGGCTAAAGCCAAAACCCATCTGTTACCATCCACAGAAGCGCACCAGGGCTCAGTGGGATCTGCCTTGCTGCCAGCCCTTCCCCAGCGTAGGGCCTGCCTTTGTCCTTGGCGTAAAGACTTCTCCACATTGTCCACTGGAATAGCTCCAGTTCACACGCCCCCCACCTGGGAAGTGTCATTGTCATTCAGTAGTGCCAAGTCCACCAGTCCGTCAGCCAGTCCATCCCACCCTACCCTTCCCTGACCTCCAAATCTGAATTATCCCTCTTCTTCCTAAATCATGTTTCATTCCTTTTATGCCTTTCCTTCCAGATGCCTCTGCTCACAGAAGGGATCCGCATCCATGGGGAGAAGCTGACAGAGCAGCTCAAGCCACTGCATGATCGGTTGTCCTCCTGCTTCCGGGAACTCAAGGAGAAAGTAGAAAAGCTCTATGGGGTCATAACACTGGTAGGCTTTGTCTAAACCTACCTGAGCTTTGTCCCGTCCCTTGTGCCTTTTATGACATTGATCAGGTTTTCAGATGCCAAGTGATTTGTAACAGCTTAGGTACAAGTGGCCAGAGAGCATGTTCTGCTTTTGATGACCTTGAACTGTCCTTGTGCTAGGTAGACATTCTCAGACTTGAAGGACCCTCAAACTACGGGAAGGCTTGTGAAAACAGGCTGTTGGTCCTTATCCCCAGAATTGCTGATGGACCTTCATGGGACCCAAGTATTTACATTTCTAACGAGTTCCCAGGTGACGCAGGTGCTTCCAGGCAGAGCACAGCAGTTAAACAACTGCTCAGCTAGCCGTCGAGGTCTCCTAATCATAGGCACTGGCTGTTCCTGTCCTGTCTGGCCCAGTTCTTTTAGTTGTTCCAAATGTTTCTATTTTCATGAAGAGTTTACAGCTTGCACACCTTTGAAGTGGAGAAGGAATAGAAAAGAGTCTCTTAGAGGGCATGGAGCTGATCACATGATGCCTTTGCCAGTTGTAACCCATACTTCACAGCTGCGGTTTTCTTTTTCCTCCTGAGGAGCTAGGTAGAAGGATGCACGTGCTGACCTTTTGTCTCCACTGGTGACGGTATGAGTGGTTCTAGTTCATTTCTTTGCTCTTTTGTCCTTGAGTTCATCCTGGTTTTTTTTTTTTTTTTTTGGAACCAGGGATTGAACCCAGGGGCACTTAACAACTGAACCACATCCCCATTTCTTTTTAAAAAATATTTTATTTAGAGACAAGTCTTGCTAAGTTGCTGAGGCTGGCTTTGAACTCGTGATCCTCCTGCCTCAGACTGCTGAGCCACAGGGATTACAGGTGTGCGCCACCGTGCCTGCTGTGGTCTTATTCTTAAACCTCTGGTTTCTGATCCATTCCTCAGATGGAAGCTCCTCATCCATCTCCACTAGTCCCCCAAGAGTGTCCCTTTGCTGTCTCTTTCTCTTGGAAGCGCTCGATCCTGCCTTCTTCCTATGAATTTGCCTCCTTCCCTGCTGCTAGTTCGGAGTTCCTGCTAGGAACATGTGTCTTTTGCACACAAGTTCCCAGATGGCAGACTAAGCTTTGACCTACCAAGCTTTCTCATCATTAGAAACAGGCCAGTATCAGCAGGTGCATTTAACCTGGTGTCATATGGGGGTAAGCCTACTGGTGACATTTCTCAGGAAAGTAGATCAATGTTCCTTAACTTACCAGGTTAAACTTGACATCCACAGCCTCCTGAGATTTTTCTCTTAGGCCAATATTCCATTTAAAAAAACAAACAAAAAAACACACACACACAGCAGGGTGGCCACACCAGATCACACTGAGTCCCAGGTTAGCTCACCCTGAGTGGGCGTGTGTCTTCCAGCCACCCAACTTGACGGAGAGGAAGCAGAGCCGCACGGGATCCTTGGTGCTGCCTTACATCATGTCTTCTACTCTGCGGAGGCTGTCCGTGACCTCTGTGACCTCCTCTGTGATCTCCACTTCTTCCAACTCCTCCGATAATGCACCTTCCCGGCCAGGATCTGATGGGTAAGGGCTGAGTGGACCTTTGACCCCCTGGAGGGTGGGGGGATGCCTCATCGTGCTTGACTTTAGTCCCCAGAGTAGGATTCCGTGCAGACGCATTAATCCTACAAGAAAGGTAATTCAGAGAGCAGGGTTGTTAGCCTTTCTGTCATCCTCAGTAGGAATGTCATTATTAATGACGGTGACTGTCGCCAAAAATGAAAAAATGGGGAAAAAATGGTCTCATGATTCTGCCACCCTATTATATAGTTACTTGCCTAATTTTCATCATTTCAATTTTTTTAAAAACAATTTAAAAATTTTTACTGTATGAATTGACAATATAATCGCACAGTCTGAAATCCCAACGGTAGAAAAGGGCATATTATGAAAAATCTCCCTTCAGTGCTGGCTCCCAGTCACCAGTCTGACTGACACGAATATTCAGGTTCCCAGTGTCTTCCACAGCCCTGTGTAGGTATACAAGCGATACCTAAATACATATTCTTCTCCATGCTTTTTTTTTTTTTTGTACAGATGGTAGTGTTCTCTTCACCTTGGTGTTTCTCATTTAACTTCTTGAAAATTGTTCCATTTCAGAACACAAAGAGCTGCCTCTTACACTGTGTTTATCTGCAGACATCTTGCCATGTGTCTGTACCATGATCTGTTCCACCACCGATGGACATCTAGTTGATTTCAGTCTTTCCCTCTCACTGCAGTGTGGCAGTGAATATCAAATTGGAAGTTATTTTCCGTGTATGCAAGTTGTATTAGACAGCTTTTCAACTATAGTGAAATCCCCGAGGTGACTAGGTGACTGTCTTTATAAAGAAAAGAGGTTTATTTAGCTCATAATTTTGGAGGCTAAAAGTCTAATAGTGTAGCAAAGCTCTGGGAAAGACCCCATGACGGCCTATGTGGGAAGAAGGACCTCCTTATGGTGAGGCAGGAGGCAGAGGGAGAGGGAGGGGCCGGGCTTGCACTTCCATTTATAACAGCCCTTTTACAAGAGCTTAGCTTCACAAGAAGCTCAAGAACCGCCATCATCCCTTTCGAGGGAGGGTCCCTAGTGACCTCCCACTAGACCCCACCTCTCAAAGCTTCCACCACCTCCATGTACTGCCACCCTGGGGACCAACAACCTGGGCCCTTGGGGGACAGTCAAGCCATATCCAAATCATAGCCAAGTCTATCAATATGAGAAACCTGCCATAAGGGAGAGATACATCTTTGCCAGAGATACACATTTACAGCATTGAAAGTTATCCCTAAGTGGACTTCCCTACCACTCGGCCAGCTTCCGCCCCACCAGCAACCTGCCTGGCTACCCTGCCCTCGCCACCACACTGTGCTGTCTTCTTGATTTGGGCCAATCTGATAGAGGAAGAAGGTTATCTCGTATAGTATTTTCTGTTTCTTGTTGTTTTTCTTTCCTCTGTGTTGTGTAAAGTGGAGGCTCCTCTCTTTTGTTCAGTAGCCATTTGTATTTATTTTCTGTAAACGATGGTCCAGGACTTTCTATCCATTTTTCGGTTGGATTGTCAGCTTGGATTGTCGGCCTTTGTCTGTAACGAGTTGAGCTGTTTTCTCCCGATTACTTCTTTGTGTTTTGACTTCAGTTTTTTCCTTCTAATTTCTTATTGAAATATACATATATTATATATATATATATATATATATATATATATATATATATATATATATATATATATATTAATTTCAGAGTTTTAAATCACAATTAAAAGCCTTTTTCACTCTGAGATAACCAAAAGAGTTACTGGTTGTTTTCGTTGACTTTTAGAGTTTTGCTGTTCTCAGTTAAGTCTGTGATTCTTTGGGATTCATAAGCTGTGAAGTATGGAAGCACCTTTTTTCCCACAGGTGGTTACCCAGTTCTCCCCATAACATTTAGGGAGCAAACCATCTTTTTTCTGCTCACTTGAAATGTCGGTTTTATCACAAATGAGATTTCTGTATGTTCTTCCATCTCTTTGGGGGCCCTGCCCTCATTTCCTTCACGGACTTGTCTATTCGTGCCTTGGCACTGTGTGGTTTCAGATACCATAGATTTAAAATGTTTTTGATTGAGTTGGGGTTGTGGCTCAGTGGTAGAGCGCTTGCTTAGCACGTGTGAGGCACTGGGTTTGATTCTCAGCACCACATAAAAATAAATAAAGTAAAGGTCCACCAAGAACTAAAAAAAAAAAAAATTAAAAAGAAAATGTTTTTGATTTCTAATATTCTTTATCAGAATTTATCTAACTAGTTTTTCTCATTGCTCACTTTTGGATTCACTGGTCTAGAATGTTATTGCATTTTTATTGGGAACATGCTAAATTAATTGACTAATTTTGGAAAGTTTGATGGCTTTTAAATGTTGAGTCTTCCTTGCCAAAAACATGGGCTGCCTTTCCATGTGTTCAAATTTAAAATGTTCAAAAAGGAGTTGTTTATAGTTGCATCTTTCTACATCAGGTTACTACTTTTACACATTTGGGCGGGGGGGTGCTAGAGATTGAATCAGGGGCACTTAACCACATCCCCAGCCATTTTTAGTTTTTATTTTAGGGCCTCACTGAGTTGCTGAGGCTGACTTTGAGCTTTTGATCCTCCTGCCTCAGCCTCCCGAATGGCTGGGATGACAGATGTGTGCACCACCACACCCAGTTTATACAATATTTGACTAATTAAAAAATTAATATGTGTACAGGTATAAAGTATTTTAAATACTCGAAACTTTTAAAAATGTTTTACATCTTCATTACTCAGCAATAACTACTGTAAAAGTTTAGTTATTTGAAAATGAATATACCTATTTTATACCAATGAAAAACTATTTAGTGGCCTAGTGCTTAATTTAATATAAATGGTGAGTATTTACACATCATTAATTATTCAAGATAGTGTTAACTCACCCCTCATTGAAAGAATTCCCCACGCAAAGACACTTTGCCAGGAGAATTCCAATTTTATTGCAAAAAGCTGTGTGCTTATATAGAACCAAGGGGAAGATGGTAGGGCTTAGATAAATGGCAGGCAACCCGTTTATTGGCAAGTTCTTCCAAATATCAGCTCCGGAGCCCAGGAATTAGTTCTCATTGGGGCTAAGGTTCCCCGCCAGCGAGATTTGAAATTGGGGCCGGCAGGAGAGTTCACACGGGCGGGAACTTTTCGCGCCACTGCAGAAAAGAAGAAGAGGTCCTTAGGCGCCATGTTGGGGTTTTTTCTCTGGGGTATGGCTGCCTTTTATACTTTTCCCAACACTCATAAATTATTAATTCTGCATTATGATAATTACATCCTAAAAGTAACCTACCTGAATGGCACCCTACCTGTAAGTCAAATATTTAGTATTTCCTAAATTATTTATGCATTCTTTTTCATTGACATAGATATCTTCACATGTCCCCAATTATAGCGCAGACAGAGTTTGGTACTTCACTTTTCTTCCTTTTTATTTTCCATGCTGATGTGTCATTTTTAAATCCTTTTATTATTTTTTTATGGTGATATGCCATCACATCCTATGAATATGTCATAGTTGATCCTTCTCCTACTATTAAATATTGAAGCTGTATCATTATTTCTAAATGTTAACTCATATATATCATCATAAATTTGAATGGGAAATATTTACCTTGTATCAGTATAAAACATTTTTAAAAATTTATAGCAAGCATGTCCTTTTATGTAGCTTTGCAGTTGTTTATTTAGAATACATTTTTAGAAGTCATACATAACTTTGTCAGGGGTTGAACATCTTCTTGATGGTTCTTGGTATCAGATGTCAGTGTTTAATGCCATATGCCATCTGTGAATGATCACATTATTTTTAATCCCTAGAATCGATAGATATTAAACAATACCTGATTCATGTGTTTGTTTCTCACAATTTTTTTCATGCCTTAAAGAGATACTGCACACTATCTGAAAAGCAGGGACGTTCTGTTCTGTTCAGGAAGACTCTTGTCTTAAACTGTGTCTCATTGTAAAAAAGAGAAGTTTAGAGGCAGCTATTAGAATCAGAGGTACGGTGTGTGCCTTGGTTCCCCAGGTCCTTCACGTGCCGGCCCGGGTGAGGTGGGTTATTCCTCTGCCCACATTCCCCCCTGGGTTAGAAGTAGCAATAATACTTCCTAACATTTATCCAGAATGTTCCTGACAGGCAGCTCACACCAGTGGACACTCGTGACCCCACTTTTCCTAATACCCATGACATGTTGCAGTATTAACCTTGATGGTGGTTTTGCCTTCTGTGAAGGTGGTGCTGTTTTGTTGCGGGGGGAATGCCAGTGGGCCACGCTGCAGGCACAGGGGGTACCTGCTCAGGGCACAAGGAAAGCAAGAGACTGGAAAGAAATGCCCAGAAGGAAATGAGCACTCAGTGTTGGTGAGGGGCCAGGCTCCCAGTGCCAAGCAGGTGCTGAGAGCCACAGCCTAGTCAGAATGAAGCATGGCATTTTTGCCAGAAGGGAGTGGTTGAGAGGTGAAGCCAGCAAGCCATTGAGATGATGATGGTTATGTTAAGCTGTGTATTCAATTGTATATTAGACCCCTGCTGTCCGCCTTGGGAGCCAGCTACTTTGGAGTTCTCCTGGGGATTCCTGAGGAGTTCGTGTTGGTTGGGGAAGTTCCCCAGGAGGGATTTCAGGTTGGTGGTGTGCCTGGAAGGGCCACGTGGGTGGCGTTCATGGGAGTTCAGGCAATAAAGGAGTTCCTGTTTGAACCTACAAGTGCCTCGTGGTGGCGCGGTTATTTGGTGCCCAGCCAGACTGTGGCAAGCAGGCCTGCGGGTCTGAAGGGCAGCCCGGTGGCCGTAGCTAACAGAGCTCTAGTGTATGTTGAAATTCCCTGAGGGAGGAGGTCAGTGCGCGCACCCACAGAGGTGGGTATGTCAGTGTGTTATGCTTGAATTTGGGACCACAGGGACCCGAGATCGATGTAAGCAGCAAAGAGGTGTTTATTGCGAGCAACTATACTGTCTTTGACAGTATTGACAGTATTTGGGGTTATGGGCCAATTATGTTTTAGGATTTCCCTTAAATTGGTTTTGTCGGATGTCTCCTTGTGATCAGTGTTCAGTGTTCAGGTCACCGTTCTGTATGGTGGTGTGTCCTCCTCAGGACCCCCTCAGGTCTACCTGCTCCTTTCTGGTGATGTGAACTGATCACTTGCGCAGGTCATGGGTGGTACATTCCATGAATCTTAGTATGTGACCCTGAGAGGCCCCGAGAGCCCAGGGTTTGCAGCAGTTTTATACATTCTTTGGAGAAGGCAGGGACTTCACATACATCATAGCATCTCTTAGCAAATCATCACACACCTCGGGGAAAATCAAATAACAACTCTAAAACATGATTAGCACATTCACTGGCGGGAACAAGTTGGGTAGGGGTGATTGGTCAGTACAAAAGGGGTATTCATTTGAACTGATTGGTTTAAGCCAAAAGGGGTGTACGTGCTGAACTACATGGTTTCTCAACACCATAAACTACTGGGAGGGTCATCTGGCATCCCAGGTATTTCCCTGTCTCATGCTGATTGGTGGCTGCTAGGGGGTTGCTATGGATCCCACCTAGCCTGAATGAGTCAGGGACACCTGGTGCCACAGACCTCTCCTGTCATTTGTAGATAAACAACTTAGCAGGGTGGGAATGTGCCTAGGAGTGCTCTGTGGGTTTTTCCAAGGACAAAGGTGATGTCCCTTCCTTGGACAGACTTTGCTCTGAGGTAGAGGCTGGTTTTTCAAGTGACCACCGTCCTGGTGGCCAGCACACGGCATCAGACCATCCCGTTTATATCTCTTAAACACATTGCCATTTTTGTCAGTCATAGAAGAATGAGTCAGGGAAAATTGAAAAAAGTTATTTTTAAACTATTTTGGATTTATTAGGAAAAGTAGCCAAGTATGCATTATAAGAAGAAAAAAATTGGCACACCGCTCCTTGAGCCTTTGCTTTACTGATTTTTATGGCTGCGTCTTTTGGAGAAAATGTGGACCTACAGTCCCCCGGTCATTACCTTCATTCTCCCTCAGTGAAGTAGGACTGACAGAGTGGACACTGGGGCTGGGGGTTTCTGTCCCCCTCACACATTGCTGTGTGAGGTGATTCTTTCTGTTTGGTTTGGTTTGCTTGCTTTCGTTTGGATCTTTTTTGGAATTTAATTCTACAATCCTTTTTAAATTCAAAGATTGAAGATAAATGAGTGGCATCCCATTAAATATGCTAATGGTTGCCAGGTGTGCATTGGCATGCTCCTGGAATCCCAGTGACTTGGGAGGCTGAGTTAGGAGGATCACAAGTTCAAGGCTAGCCTCAGCAACTCTGTGAGACCTTATCTCAAAATAAAAAATAAAAAGGGGGTGGGGATGTAGCTCAGCGGTATAGCACCCCTGGGCTCAATCCCTGTTACTGGGACAAAAAAAAATAGCTCTTTCTGGTACTGAGGATGTGAGGCGAACCTATATTGACATGGCATTGCCACCACTACTCCCTAGTTTATTTTAGAAGTCACTTTTGGGGTGGTAAATTCCATGAATCTTAGTATGTATTAATGACACATCCGTCATTGCTGTGTCACACAGAAGAGTGTGACTCTTCACTGCCCTAAGAATCCTTGGTGCTTTTCCCTTTTATCCCTCCACACTTTCAATTTTTTTATGGAGCAAAATCTACTGAATTTTCAACAAACCAGGACTTATTGGCAGCTGTGAGCAATACTGTCATAAAGACGTAATACCCTTTTTTTGAGGTATTTTGCCCTGTGTCTCGGTCTCCATGCTGCCACGTCCTCCTCCACCCCACCCATCTGGTGTGAGAACCAGGCGGTCACCTCATGTAAACTCACTCGCGCTGGAGTAGTTCCAGGGTCAGGAACCAGGACGTCGCACGTGCGTCAGCTCCAACCCGTACTCCAGTTTTGTCAGCTGTACCCAGAGCATCTTCCATAGCAGTATCTGGTGCAGGATCCGGTTGAGATCCCATTCTCTCTGTAGCCATGGCTCTTTGCTCCCCTGATCTGGAATAGTTGCTTACTTTGTCTTTGACAGTATCGACAGTATTTGGGGTTATGGGCCAATTAGGTTTTAGGATTTCCCTTAAATTGGCTTTGTCGGATGTCTCCTTGTGCTCAGTGATCAGGTCACCGTTCTGTGTGGTGGTGTGTCCTCCTCAGGACCCCCTCAGGTCTACCTGCTCCTTTCTGGTGATGTGAACTGATCACTTGGGTAAGGTTTTGTTCATTTTCCTCTCGGCGTGTTTCCCATTTTTCATTTTGTAATTAATAAGTAACATATGGAGAGATGTTTTGAGACTTCCCTACTTCCCATCACTCTCTCCCCACTATACAACATCCAAGTATGAATCTTGAATGAATCAATTTTTATTATGGTACTTGAACATCTGTCATTATATTATCAGACTTTTAAAAGGTATTCATAGGTGCCAACCCCTATTCCAAGCTTTTGTAACACTCAGTGGAGTAGGTATTATTTTTATCTCCATTTCACAGATAAAGAAACTGAGGTGTGGAAGGTCGTGTGTCCGAGGTCACTCAGTTCAATGTAGGTAGGATTTGAACACAGGCACTCTGGCTCTGGAGTGGGTGCTCTTACCACTACATGGAGTTGGCCACTTACCTTCTACTTTATAGATCCTTTCTTTGCCTATGCATTTAATAAGGCCTTCTCTTCCTGGGATAAGTATCACTAGTACTTTTTCCATTTATTTGATGATCTCATTCATATACCTATTTTTTTTTTTTTTTTTTGTACCAGGGATTGAACTCAGGAACTCTTAACCACTAAACCGCAGCCCCAGCCCGTTTTTGTGTTTTATTTAGAGACAGGGTCTCACTGAGTTACTTAGGGCCTCACTAAATTGCTAAGGCTGGCTTTGAACTCATGATCCTCCTGCCTCAGCCTCCCGAGCTGCTGGGATGACAGGCGGGAGCCACTGTGCCCGGCCTCATTCCTGTACCTTTTATGATGAGATGTTTGTTCAGTTGGCAGTTGAAATTTCAGATCTAGAACCTGCACATGAAAGTCTGGGTGAAGATTAGGCTGAGGAGCTGGTAACCCTTGGTCCTTTTGGAGTGAATTTCAATGATTAGCATTCTGCCATATTTGTCCTTGTTCCTGGCTGATAGGTCAATCCTGGAGCCGCTTTTTGAGCGCAGGTCCTCATCAGGTGCCAGAGTGGAAGATCTGCCCCTCAAAGAGGACAGCGAGAACCGAATCGGCAAGTTCAAGAGAAAAGACTGGAATCTGAGCAAGTCCCAAGTCATTGCAGAGAAACATCCAGAACCCGATCTAATGGTAAAAGAAATTGCATCTATAGATGTTTATATATATTTTGAAGCACAAGGAGGTGTGTCACTGCCTGCCCTGCAGCCAGGCAGATCCCCTTGGCTCCAGAGCAGTGAGTCACCAGCTAGAAGCCTGGCTGCAGCTTGTCTCTCCAACAGCCTGTGGCTGTGCAGATCCCAGATGGTGGCAAGAAAAGCATGTGCAGAGAATTTCAGTCTCTAAGTCAATGCTGGCGCAAGATCTTGTACCCGCGACGTAAACATGTGGGTTGCTGCTCGGAGTTGTGGTTCTCACCACTGTGTTCCATGAGTCAGTCCAAACATTGTCGTTTCTTCTACATTAAAAAAAAAAATCATTTTTCTTCCATGAGCCACATCAAGTTGTTGTGGCAAGACCAGCTTTCCCTGAGAATCAGCGTGGCTTATTTCCAACTTAGATGACACAGTCCGACTGTGGTCAGGATCAAGCCAGTGGCCAGCCAGGAGGTGATCTGTGGTGCGGTGACTCCCCTTGAGGATCCCTGCCGTGGTGCCTGCCATGTGACAGCAGGTCCTGGAATCAAGCCCTTTGCAAATTTTTGCTCAGCAGAGAAGGCTGTTGAGAGCCCCACTAAGCTCAGCATTCCTCACTGGGACAATGTTTTTCTGTGTTTTCCTCCATGATTCTTAGAGTCCAGCCAGAAAAGTGCAGAGGCCAAAGAGTCTCCAACTGGTGGACAGTCGCTTAACGCCATTCCATGGTTCTTCGCCCCCTCAGTCGACGCCTCTGAGCCCACCTCCTCTCACTCCTAAGGCCACCAGGACCCTAAGTAAGTTTTCCTGTGTCTCAAGAATCCTTTTAGGTGGGAAATGGGGTATATTTATGAATCTGGATCATTTTTACTCAAACCAGCTACAAAGTCTGTGGGATTACTGTAAAACTGATGCAGTTCAGTGGTTGTGGGTACAACCACTGAGGGGGAATCACACAACCACTGAAAGTCCAAAATCCCTTTTCCTATTGCAAAGTTTTAAGGAAGGTAAATTCAGACTAGGACCAAACAGGAAGCAAGTAACTTAGGAACCGACCACTGCGTGGTTAGACCTGTTCAGGGAAAGAAGGCGGGGGACCCATTCCACAAACTCTACAAGGAGACCCAGCCTTGAAGAACATCACAAGGTGCCTACAGGCAATAATGGAGGATAAGTCTACCGCTGCCAGGAGGGACAGTGGCCAACCAGGAGTTCGACATATTTGGTAGGGTTTCCCAGAGGACATGGACCTTTCCGTAAGAACTTGGGCTATATCAGAGAATAGAGTAACACCCCAAATTCCTGGAAATAGTCTTATCTTCAGCTTAATGGCAAAACGCCCTGAACAAAAAAAAAAAAAAAAAAAAAAAAAAGGGATTTTTCACTCCAGAACTTCTTCTGACAAATGGAGGGTGCTCCCTTTGTCCTGAGGGTAAGAAGTTGTCTTCATCCTGTCCACAGAAACCACAGAAAATGGCGGCAGCAAATCTGATGGGCCAGGCTGGTCTGGGAGTCCGTGGTGGGCATTATTTCTCTGAGATGCCTCTGTAGATCCTTCTCTCAACCTCTGTCTCCTCTGTTGGTTTCCAGGCTCCCCGTCTTTGCAGACAGATGGGCTGGTGACTGCTGTTCCCCCTCCCCCTCCCCCCAAAAGCAAGCCCTACGAAAGCAGCCCGAGGACCTCCACCGAGGTAGGGAGCCCGTGCCTGAGGACGCGGTCACAGCACGGGGTTGATTCTCCAAGCGTTCCAGTTAGGTTTCCCATCTGTGAGTCCCTGTGGCCATCTGGGTTCCTCCCTGAGACCACAGAGATGGGAAGGAAAGACATACCAGTGGACCTTTTCATAAAACTGAGGCGGAACAGATCCCTGCCCCCCCACACTGGGGCCAGGGGACGAGATCCGTGAGCTCTCGTTGTTCACTTCTGAGTGACAGCCCTTGTCGAGTGGCCTCATGAACTTCCTTCTTTCAGGTTTGCTGGAGGGCTTTGTGGGTGGATGCCAGGCACCCGGTGCTGGGGAGTGTGTATGTGGAGGGGGAGATTAGCTCAAGGGGAACCAGGAGGACAAATGGGCTCAGTTCCCATTTGTCACCTTGCGGAGGCTGTGCAGATAAACACACAGCAGTTCAAAACTAAAGCAGAAGGTGGGGGACGTGGAGCAGGGCGGACTGAGGAGGCAAGAAGACTCATTCCTGTTTTCACGCGTCTGCCCACAGGTCGCACCCCCACTGCCTGTCCGAAGAGAAGCCAAAGCCCCACCGCCACCGCCTCCGAAGGCTCGGAAATCTGGCGTCCTTTCTTCTGAGCCTGGATCCCAGTGAGGACCTCGCCCCCTCCTTGCATCTCTGAGTGCCTTGGACAGCGGCTGCCTGAGAATTGGCCTTTGGGAGTGGGTGTCCTCATTACCAGGGGCTCCCTGCCGGTTGGTTGCATTTTCTGATCAGAGATGATGCTCACCAGCCCCAAACCGGTTTGTTCTCTCCAAGCTTCTCTTTGACAGCTGTTTGGAGCTGTGCAACCCTCCAGCCCACACGGAATTCCAAGGATTGGCCATGCCCCATGCATTTTTCAAGGAGAGTGCTCCTCCACCGTGATTGCGGAGACCCTGGGGTCTGCAGAAGCTGGGCCAGTCCCATAGCCTCAGCACCTGTGCTCTGGACAGATGGGTTTCTTGCTTTGCTTCTGAAAAGCTGCATTTGAGACTTGGTGGTTTCTCTCATCCTTGCACACCTATCCCATCCAGCGTCTGGGAAGAGACAGATGTCAGTACACTGTAGCAGCCAGCATATCCCTGTCTTTCTAATGTCTACTGTGTTTCCTTTGAGGAGAGAACACACATTTTTAATGGAGATTGGCTGCTTTCAGGTGTGAATGGCTGTTATCGCTGAAAAACCATGAACTCACCTTTGGCTTCACTGGATGGGTTCCCTGGCCCATGGCCCTCTGCACAGCAGCCGCTCCGCCTTACTAGGGATCCCTCTGAAGCTCTTTTGCACAGTTTCTTGTCCTTCCTCGGAGCTCAGTTCCCTGGCTGTGAGGGACCTGGGAGCCTGGGTTTGACAGCTTCTTTGCCAGCTCCCATTCGAATGCCCCACGTCCCCTGTCCACTTCCTGATTTTACCCTGGAGAGTACAGTGCAATATTTCCCTTTGATTATTTATTCCTTTTGATCATGGGATTAATTTGATTACTTGCTAATGGTACTAATGTCAGTACTTCTTTTCTGAACAAAAAAATGGGGTGACTTAGATAACCAAATATCACATAAGTTACAGACGTTTTGAGCTGGAAGGGTTTTAAAAGTCATACAAGGAGAGTCTCGCTTTGTAGATAAGGAAACTGAGGCTACACCCAGAAAGTGGTACTACAGATTTCTACTAATGACCCAGCTTGCTAGCATGGGCTGGGCCCGGAGACCACTGGGAGCTAGAGTGCACCCCCACCCAGTCCTCAGCACCTCGCCTCCGCTGGAACGGTATTTGAAGTGTCCCAGATATTTCACAGTATTGGGGTGTTGAAAGCAATGCCGAGAACTTCTTGATTGTGACTCTGAAGGTCAACGTGGCAGGGAGACTCCAGGGGTCTCTTCCATGACTAGGCCCAGAGTCCTTTCTCCAAGGCCAAGAGAGGGAAGGAGCCTGCAGCAGTAGACGCCGTCTGTCTCTGTGATGGGCTGCTCTCCCCACTGCCTTGTTAGGAGAGAAGTGCTGGCTCCCCTCACAGCCAAGGAAGCAAAAGCCTCCGTGACCTTGGCAGCGATGACCCCAGAACGAGTGTGCATCTTCCAGGAGTGCCTGGCAATCGGAGTTCTTCACCCCGACCCGGGAGCTCCTAAGTGGGATCGTGGAAACAAAGTGGACTTGGGAATCAAACCCATTTGGTCACAGTTCCCAGCCACGTCACCTGTTCACTTTGCAAGCTCCAAAAGGTGTTTGATTTTCTGAGCTTTCTTTTCTTGCTTTTAAAAATGGGGACAGTGCCTCGCACACAGGTTATTCGGGGGCTCAGGTGCAAGGGGACATGTGAAGGAGGAGGTACTTGTGTGATGGTGCTTTCCTCTTCTGACAGGCATGAGTAAGATCTGGAACTCTCCCAGGGCATTACTGACCAGAGAAGATGTGAGTGAGAGTGGAAGAGGGGTTAAGAGGAAAGAATCAGGCTGTGCAGAGGAAGGAAGGCACCTAGCCGGCTTCCTGGAAGGGACTGTAGGCCTCACCCTATCTGTTGATCTGCCATTGAAGTCCAAACATACAAACACAAGACTTGGGAGCCTGAGGCAGGAGGATAATATGTTCAAAGCCAGCCTCAGCAAAAACGAGGTGCTAAGCAACTCAGTGAGATCCTGTCTCTAAATAAAATACAAAAAAGGGCTGGGGATGTGGCTCAGGAGTCAAGTACCCCTGAGTTCGATCCCCAGTACCTGTCCCACCCCCACCCCCCACCCCCCCAAAAAAAAAACCCACAAGCCTCCAGCCTGTCCCTCCAGCAGAAGCAGTGAGTTTCCGGTCTGGTCTCTGGGCAGGGTGAGGGAGATGTGACCCACCAGTGTCCAGGTGGTGTCTCTCTCTTTTGTATGGAACATATATTTTCCATGTGACTCCTTTTCCATGTTGATGAGAATAAGAGTTCTCGACTCTTCAAACACAGAGGATCCCCGGTGGTGGTGTGGCAGAGACTGGCTTGCAGAGGACATTGGAAGGTTGTTTCCTTGGGAAGCCAGGGGATAGGCCAATGTTCATGACAGGAAGTCATAAATAATGTCTGTCCTGAGGTCAAAGAGGAAGCATGCCGAGGAGCACCTGATGACTATGGTAAATGTAGAAGAGCTGAGCCATAGGAGAAGAGGGAAGGGACTGGTCTTTGTTTTCCCAGAGACCTTAGCAAGACATTGAAATTAGCCCCCAAACTGCCACCACCTTTGTGAATACTGGTTTATGGTTTGTGTTGTTATCATTTATTTATCTCTCCCTCCCTGTCTATGCTGGTGTCTTTTGTCTTGCTTGGAGATGCTTTTTTCAAAGCAGTGTGGCATTCAGCACCTACGAAGTTGCTCTCGAAGGCCAGACCCACTGTTAACCCCTCAGGATTTAGCATTGGAGCGTATTTAGTGGAAACAGCCCAGAATACAAAAGCAGTTCCCTCTGGGTGCTGCAGGATTGCAAAGCCAGGGTGAAATTGAAACCCTAAATAGAGCTGCTGGGCATGGGTTGCTCACCTCCTCCACCTCCACCCGAGGCTCCGTGATGACGGTCATCTCCTCCTGCCAGGGAAACCCCTTATAAACCACAGCCACAATGCAAGTCCCAAGATGAAGCAAGGTGCCAAGCAGGATAGGAGGTGTCCCACCTTGGTCAACTCTCCAACCTGGAAGAGTCTCTCCCCTCTAGTTGGCCTCCAGATTGTGGGACAATTCAATTGAAAATGACATACAGTTCAGGGCACAAATCCTGGGAGTGTGGATGGATGGATTTCGAAATAGCTGCCCACCGTGTGTGTCAACACCTCTAGATTCACTTACCCACTTCCAGAAGGTACCCGTAGCACCATTTTGTGAATGGCATTTAGAAGGTCCTCTAAGGTCGTGCCTTCCTTCCTCACCCTTCTCAGGTGTAATGAAAAGGGGAGAAAACCCCACCATCAACATAGAGTTAAGACTATAGAGATGAGATCCATTTTAACAAGTCAATTTATAGGCACTTCCTAAGCCTCAGTTTCCTCGTCTGTAAAATAAACTGATATTTACATAATAGAGTCGGCATGATTTTCTTCAAATCCCTTCCAGCCTTAGCTTCTTTTATTTTAAGTGAGTCAGAAGGAAAATTCCTCACCAACTCACATGCACAAGGCCCTGGGCCCTGGGTTCAATCCCCAGCACGACCAAAAAAAAAAAAGGAAACATTCTTACTAAGGCTTTTAGGTCCATGCACTGGAATCCCCAATTTTTATCCCACATTGGTGCTTTGACCCACCTATACCTTAGCTCTTAAGATCAAAATATTGGCAGATATTAAAATAACGACTCTTGCACATATTTTTGAAATATTGACCTAAGTCACTGTAATTCTTTTCAGTAGCCTGTAAATGATGTCATTTCCACACTGTTCTTAAGACTCTGCCAACCTGACCCACCATGTCTAGACTTCCAGTTCATTTGAAGAATCATGCTTCTCTGTGTCCTTTGGTAAAAATCAGTTCCTTAGAGGCTTTCACTCTTCTGTCAGACAGTTGTTAAAACTAGAAAAAGTCAAGTTTCTCTTTGGGTGGGTTCAGAGCCCTCCATTTTAATCCACAAGAGGAACGAGAGTTTTCCTTTCATGTTCATGATTGCAGGCGGATTCTTCTGATCCAGCCAAAGCTGGTCTTGTGTGCATGCTGCCAAAGTCATCTATGAATCATTTTTTTGTGAGTCATTCATCCAAACCATTACAGCTACTCCTTTGACATGACTTTGTACCTAGTTAGGTTTTTAAACATGGACAGTTAGGAAGATGTGCATTGGTAGAAGAATTTTGTTCGGATTTGCTGTTATTTATTTTTTAAATTAAACATGGAGATGTATTTTAATGTTCATTATATGTTTAGTTTGTTATTACTTTTATTAATGAAATGAAATCATGAACTTGGAATTTTTCCTTCCTGACACCTCTTTGAAGACACATCACGCCCAGGCTCCCTCTGGCTGGTGTATTGTGGGTCCTCTTGGTTGAAACGTGTATCTTGGGGTCCTGGAATCATCTGTGCCCAGAAGTAATAAAAACTTCAGACCATTTGGTTATCCTCACGCCTCCTGTCCATGCCTTTGGCACCTGACCTGACGGTTTTCTGATGGCAGTTTATTTGATGTACGTAGGTTTTATTTCCTTCCTCATTCATCATGGGTAATTTGGCAGAGGTAAAGAGAGAAATGGAGAAGTTTAGAAAGACTGTCTCTCACAGGGGAAGGATAGGAACTGATTCTCAGCCTAGGGGGAAGGTTCTTTATTAACTAGGAAGAGGCCCCAGCCCAGCCCAGTCCAGTCCTATCAGCATTTTTGAGGGCGGGGAGTGGAACCCAGGCTCATATTTCATTCAGAGTTTCCATTTGTTCCAACACTAAGCCAAGGTTGAGAAATTGGTAGTTGGGCGTGTTTTGTAAAATCCATGCAGGTGGCTGATCAGGTTGGAGGGAGGGAGGTCCCATTGCAGCTGGAGGGACTTGTGTGTGTGTTTGAAAAAAGTTCCCCAATGATTTCAAACATTTGCAGTCTATTACTTTGTAAAAGCAAAGCAGTAATTCTCCACTGTCTGTCACCCATTTGCTGATTAAAAATGCACGTTTTTTTTTTTTTTTTTTTTGGTGGCACTGGGGATTGAACTCAGGGCCTTATGCATGCAAGGCAAGCACTGTACCCACTGAGCTACATCCCTAGCTCACCCCCCAGCCCCTTAAGAAATTCTACTTTAAAGTATCTTCCACTATCAGAATCACTAAGTGTTGTCAGCTTACACAGGGATTCTGGTTTTTTTCTCCAGTTATCTCTAGGGGGTGTTAAAGCTTTTAAAACTTTGGAAATGACCTATCTATTTTCAAGCCAATCCTTTTGCTACTTGATCATTTAAAGTCGCATACATTGGATAACTTATCACATTAAATGTGTGCTTTGATGTTTCCCCACCCTTTATTTTAAGAGGCTTATTTTGATATATTGATGAGCGAGTTCTTCAGATTCAGGAACATGTTTGACATATGAGTAAAGGGTTGTGTTTTTTTGTTTTTTGGTTGTTTGTTTGTTTGTTAACTGGGGATTGAACCTAAGGGTTCTTAACCACTGAGCCACATCCCCAGCCCTTTTTTATATTTTATTTAGGCACAGGTCTTGCTGAGTTGCTTAGGGCCTTGCTATGTTGCTGAGGCTGGCCCTGAACTTGCGATCTCTCTGCCTCAGCCTCCTGAGCCACTGGGATTACAGGTGTACACCACGTGATGGCACAAAGGGGCTATTTTAACTCTCCTCCTTCCCCTTGGTCATTTGGGAATCAAGTGGACTCAAGAGGCTCACGTAAACTGCAAACCACCAGTGCCACCAGGAGCCAGTAACACCAGCGCCAGGCAGACGGATGAGCATTTCTCACCTTCAGGGAGGCCTGCAGCTGGCTCCAAAGAGATTGCCCCAGAGAAGAAGAGTGACAGAGGACACCTGATGCTTCAAGCAGGACACGTACATGAAGTGGGAGTGGGACTTTTTGGAAAATGTGTTCATTAATGTAAAGATTGTAAATTATATTGTTTTTGTAAAAGCAGTTACTGAGTGATTGGCAGATGGAAGCCTGTCATCCTGACTTGTATCTATCTATTGACTAATAAAATAATGCAGTTATGCTTTTGTTCCATAAAGCAGATTGTGGACACATCATTATCGAATTTTATTGAAGTGGGAGTGAAGAAGTTCTTTAAGTTTTAGAGATTCTTCAAATGGAGACACTTGGGAAGTCCAGCTTTGTGCAGACACAAATATTTTATTAAAAAGGGAGGGTCTGCTCCACAGTGGGATGCTTCTGACCTTTGTTGAATTTCCTAGCACAGGTGTCCCTCTTTTTGAAGGCGGAGGGACAGGGAGTTAGAAACAGGCTTCATTTGTCTGATTAAAAGAGGCAAAAGGGCCTAGAACTTTCCCATGTTAATTTGTTGCTTAGACTTGATCTGAAAATTGAGTTTTTCAGATGGTCTCGTAGCCATCTGGAAGTTAGGACAATAAATGAACATATTGGGGTCACAGTCTCAGGGAGAACTGGCCACCAGTAGAAGTAAGCTGACACCTGAGCTCCAGTGACCTGTTTCAGCAAAATAACCAGCATCCAAGGACGGAGCTTCACTGGCTGCTCGGCCCCATCCAGTACAGGAGCAGTGGATGTGGAACCAGGCAGAACCGAGGGGTTCACCTTAGCCCTCTGAACCTAACATTCCTCGTTTTTTAAGTTAAGACAGTAGCATCTATTTACCACCGGTTGTTTACTGAAAATATCAGTGCACCGACCTAGCACAGAGCCCACCTTTGGTCTTTGTGTGGCGTTGAGTAGCGGTGAAGTTGAGGGGCCAGGGACAGGAAACACCAGGATGCCCTCTTGTGCAAAATACCAAAAAGAATCAAGCAGATAAACATTTATTTTTAGGCATGGGTCCCTTCTGTGGTTGGAATGTGGTTTGTCCCCAAAGATTTGTGTGCTGGAAGCTTGGTCCCCAAGGTCAAGGTCGAGGTAGCCCCACCACCAGAAGGCACTAACGCCTGCCTCACAAGCATTCAATCTGTGGGGCTGAAGTAATTGCCATGAGAGTGGATTGGAGTCAGGTGAGGTCAGCCCACATTTGGCCTCTTCCACACACCTGTCCACTTTTGCACCTGTTCCTTCCAGGTGATTCCATCCACCATGTGAAGACAGTGTGAAGCCCTCTCCAGAGGAGGCCTCCAGAGCTTGGACTGATCAGCCTTCAACACTGAGCCCAAATAAGCCTCTCCTCCTTAACATGTACCAGTCTCTGTTATTTTGTTATAGCAACAGAAGGCAAATTAAGACAGTCCCGACCTTCAATTGTGCACTGCTTGGACAGATCATATGGAGCGAAAAAGAACACTGGACCAAGAGTCCTGTGAGGCCCCCTCTTCCCGCAGGCCTCACTGGAGCTCCAGCTGGCCTTCAGAGGAGGTAGGTACAATACAGGGAGGGAACTTCTTTCCAAGTGGCAGGAAGCCTTAGCCATGGCTCTATCTTAACTTCTGTAGAGAATGGTCAAGATGGAATTGCAGTCCTATAGAATGTGAATCAGCTTTTTCTGGCCTGGGCCAATATGCAGCCATTCTCCTCGTGCATGCAGAGGAGACAGATGAGAACCATCAGAAAGATCCCTTTAGTCCACAATAGACATTATGTCCTCTCCTTTCCCATCTGCCACCAGTACACACATGGAGGGATCCTTCAGAAGGAGCAAAGTCCCTCCCCACCTGAGCTCAGAGTGAGGGAAAGACTTTGCACTTATACCATTTTATTCCCAACACAACACTTTATTGTGAACTATGTGGCGCTTGGTGTAAGAATTTCTGAAATTCACACGATTTACAGATAGGGAATGGGTCACAGATTTCAATGTCAAGGTTTGTCCATCCTTCTGGCCTAGTAGATTTAAATCTTCTTCTGCCCAGTTTCCTCTTCAATCAGACCTTCCTGGAAAATGTAACAAATAGATCAAGGTCGTGCTGAGTCACTTAACCTCATTACATTAAAAAAGGAGGAAAGTCCCATTCATCATCAGGTACTAGAAAATGCTAGGTAGGAAGGATAGACTGTATCTTTTTAAGCCTCTTGGTAAACAATCTAATAATAGGTTAAGGATTAGATATATGGAAGAAGATGAAAGAAAGGTCTCATCATTCAGTTGTCTATTAAACCAGCCTTGGCTTCAATTCCTTCGTAATGTCATATTTGGGAAATTTAACAGCTTGCTATTTTTTTTTTAGCATATGCATGATTTCTTTAAAGAAAGAAAGGAAATAAAAATGAGTACCCACTTTTTTCTCTGTCCTGTGGGTATGGAAGTTGCAGTCACTGGAGAAATTTGAAAAATATAGCTTATTCTCATTTATGATTTTTTGGACTTTCCCAGGCTATAATTGAAAATGAACCATGTTTTCTGACTGTGCAAGTAAGCGGTCCATGGAGCTCAGAGAATGCTCACATTGAATTAAAGTTTTGATTTCTGCACTTAACTTGTTTTATACTTTTTTTTTCAAACCATGTTACATTAGTAGACTGCCACTTGGGGGGGGGATTTAGTCTTCATAGAGAACTGGAAATAAAATCTGTGGCTCTGAGCAGTAAATTTTTGAGTTTGAATTATTTTAATCCAAAGGGGGAATTAAATTTAGAACACCATTTTTAGTGCCCACATTTTGTAGGGCCCTGAAAAACCATCCTAGAACAATTGCTGAATCAAATGGCATGTAGAAATCAGCACAGAGAAGAATATTTGAGGGGGTTGGTGAATGTACTTGGAGAATTAAAGTATGGCAGTGGGAAGACATTCTTATAGATCCTCCCAAAGGCTGGAGCCAGGATTAGCAGATAAAGCTCATAGAAGGATTTCAACTCAACTAAAGGGGGGACAAAGGTCCAGCCATGAGTCTAATCACTGAGTGGGAACGTCATTAAATAGTGAGGTCCGAGGCACAGGTGGGGTCCTGGCAGGAGGTAAGTCCCACAGCGGGCAAGTGTGGTCATAAGTGGTACCCAAGGGCCAGTCCATCTGAGAAGCTCCATGTTAGGATCACTGTAACTCACCAGAATTCCTCTCAGGTCCCTGATGGGGGACCGTGGCTGGTGGATGGTGCATTCCAAGGTTTGGGGTTCCGCCAGCTGATCAACTTCTTTGGCTATCTGAAAAAAAAAATATGACCCATGGAGATGGAGATGAGAAAACAAAATGGCATTCTCCGTTGCCACCAGAAATTGCGAGTGAAGTCTAGAGGCTGTGGGGCTCAGTGGGAAGCTGGAATAACTTCAGTATTAGGAAGGGGACTTGGAGGACGTGAGGCATTTTTATAGCTGGAGTGGAGGTCTGGAGGCAGTGCAGATGAGAGGAGACCGTGTTCTCTCCTTAGAGATGATGAGACTGAAGAACTGTGAATCTCATGAAGAGGCAGCCCAAGTATTTATAGTTGTGAAGAGGAATGTTTTTTATTTTCTAGTTTTTAATGTGTCATAGTTTAATGAGATTTGCCTCACATATGATATATGGAGAAGAGACTTCAGATCCTGGGGTTTCTTTATCTTTGTTATTTCTCAAAAACAACAACAACAACAACAAAAAACCCAAAACAAAAACAAAAATGGTATTTCTTTTCAATGAAAACTGAATGGTTTTGAGTTTTTCCACTTACATTTCCCATTCATAGCCCTATGATATTTTTTGGATTAATGAACTATAATCCTCATCCATCCCTGAGAAGTCATATTTTATAAACAAAAAGAAAGAAAGAAAAAACCATGGTAATGCTGGTGCTAGTGTGTAATCTCCTCTGTATGAAATTTTTTTTTTTAAGAGAGAGAGAGAATTTTAATATTTATTTTTTAGGTTTCTTTTTGGCGGATACAACATTTGTTTGTATGTGGTGCTGAGGATCGAACCCGGGCCGCACGCATGCCAGGCGAGCGCGCTACCGCTTGAGCCACATCCCCAGCCCTCTGTATGAAATTAAATCCAGCATGTTCTCTACCCCATTGCCTTGTCTTAAATTTGTTAACTCCCACTTCCTTGCTTAAATGCTTCTATGGGTGAAAAGAAATCTAGAGCATACCTCCTCCATAAGGACACCTACTTACACGTTTTGAAATATACTACTGATCTAATATTGTAGATTTAGATGAAATAGAAAAAAAATAAGCAGAAATTTTAAGATTATCTTTCCCAAAGGCAAAGAATCACCTGTTAGAGACCCCGGATTTCCCCCAGTTATTCTAATTCCCGTGGAACTGCACCCACGGAGGGCATGACTGACGTCCTGCATGGTTGTATTCCCCCGGTGTTTGCTGTGCTCTGTTTCATCAGCACCTGACTGAACTGAAAGTAGAAATTGGACTTGACCTTTGTAAGAGTCCTTTCCTCCTGACCTAGCCAGGGTGGAGTACAGCCTAGTGCCACACTGGATCTTTTATTTGGTTAAGTTGAACCAAATAAGCTAAGTCTTATCAAAATAAGTCTTATTTTGAAGCCGAGAGAGAGAAACTCACCTCTTGAAAAGAATCAGACAAACTTTCTGCATTTCTCTTTCCTCCAGGGCGCAATCCATAGGACCAATGCTGGCTGGAACAGCCCTGCACACACAGGGTCAGCAGGAGGAGTCCAGCCAGGAGTTTGGGAGTGGGCTCCATTCTAAGGAACTTCAAAGCACAATCAAAACAGACCCAGACTGAACTCTCAGTGAAAACAGACCACAAAGAACTCTGGATGACAAGACCCACATCTATATCACGAACCTGTGGAAAGTGTAAGTTACACTCCTAATTTTACACACAGACCTCTGTTTGACTGTTTTGAGTTTCCTAGCCACTGGGGACCAAAATCAGAATGTTAAGCTCACATATTCAGTATTTTTTTGTGCCAAAGGAGTCATGATTATTTTGATTGCTTGTTTGGATATCTAAAACCCAAGACCTCCTCCCTGATCAAATGTGTCTTTTCACCTTCCCATTTCCCCATTTTCCGGTTGGTTTCAACTATTCCATTTAAAAGAATTGCGCCACCTGCTCCACTCTGCTGCACAGCCCCTGCTAGGTGTCTCTGGCTGAAGGTGCTGGACTGCAAATGGCTACACTATGGGATTGATGCATTTTTCTGACTCTTCT